ATACGTGATTCTGAGTGATCGTTTTGCACATATGTTTTGTACTTTAGATGGATTTTAGTGGATTGTATAAGTATTGGTGAAACCTCATTATGGAATGGACTGCTCATAATTTTGTGAATCTTTTATAAATCTCCGTTTGGAAACAAATTCTCTTGAGTAGAAAATCATTGTAATTTCACAGATTTAAAAATGCTCAAACGATATCTTAGTTATTTAACGTGTAACGGTTGCTTACCCAGTGGTCTGAAGATAACATGACTTCCTCTAACATCCAAAGATCCGAATTTTGTTACTTGGAGAAATCATGGCTATGCTCTATTAATGAGCCCCATATTATTAAACAAGTTATCTATTGCCTTCTGGTTTTCTCTGTTTATCTAGCTGGAGTCCATAAAGAATATGGACTACCTTAAAATTGAATTATGTACACAAACTTCCCATGGTAATAATGTGAAGTTGATTGTTGAAGCATATGCTGGTTTTATGTCATTGACCTGTATCATAAAAAAATACCTAATGACTTGAGAGGCAGCGTCCAGATAAATCAATAAATAAATGGTTTGTAAAAGTATGTCGGTAAGTTGTTTGCTTAATGAAGATCAAGTGCAAAAGATACAAAGTGTTAGAATTAACAACTTATTATCAAGTTTCAGAAATTAGAAGGGTTTAGGATTATGATAGGACAAATAATTAGACTGATTGCTGTAGATTGGTTAAAAATTAAAATAATTTATTCCATAAACTCCTAATACAATGATGTCGTCACATTGGTGATTATATGTAGCGTAGACCATTCAGAATTTATTAACCTTGATTGTAAAACTAGCGAAAATATCTCGACAAACTGAAGTGATACAACTTTAAAAGACTAAATTTTTTAGAAAAATCCAAGTTGCAGGAGGATTTAAACAAATATTTTTGAACTTACCAGCTTTTTGTCAAATAAGATTCATCATTAAGAAGATAACCCGTTTAAATTTTTTGTGAAGAGCTGTCATACGATTGTAATAAGGTTAGGATAATTTTATCAAGATTATTTCCTACGAGATGGGGTCGCTGATCCCATTACCAAACCTTTATCCGGGCTTAGGGCACACAATAACCCTAGATGGGCTACTGGTGAAGTTACTGTGAGAAGGGTAATCACTTGTATTTCACCAACCACTTTCGCCTGTACTAATTGGAAATGAGACTTTGCTAACAGGCGAGTCTGAGTTTGTATGGCACCATTCGAATAACGTGGAGAGGGCTATATCAACCAATTCTTTCTTATCTCATCAACTCGCTTTCATAAATGGAATTAGTCAGTCGTGGTAACGTCATATTATTTAGCCAAACAAACAAAAGTAGAGTTTATGTGATCTCCTCTATTTACTAACATCTTTCTTCACGTCATGTTTATTGTGGTTTGATGACATTTTGTTCAGTTTGTTGAAAATACCCCCTTTTGATATTAGTTTCATATTTTAGTTGAGATTTGAATATGATGATAATTAGAACTGTGAGATCGTTAACGTTTCAGCTATACTGTATATCGATCTTTCCACACAAATACTAATGTTCTTGATTTGATATGATACCTAAATGCTCATACTGAATCCTATGTATTTGAAATTGACTGCCTACTGTCAATGAAACCTCGTATGATAAGGTTGTGAAAACGCTAAGGTATGTAAATTATTTACATATTTCACTCTCCTTTCGAATTAAAACTCAATCACGTTTTCAAATGGTTCTTTATTTTATTTTTGAAAATGTGCTTTCAATTGTTCAAAGATTACAAATCCATCTGCATCAACTATTCTTCCATTAACTGTTCTAACTGAAAGATCCAATTCAAGTGGTGCAACTTATATGTCTACTGATTTGATTGCTGAAATGGCATCTTGTCCACAACATAGTTATTTATTTAGGCAGTCCACTTCTTCTGCTCCAGAGACTACTGTTTCTTTTAACACAGTTTCTGTGGGGACTACATTACCGACATGTGAAGTCACAGCTATTTCAATAGTTACAACATCGACCACAACCAGTCGACCGATTACCAGTAAGAAGTGTTTGAGTTTTTAAATACTTAATTGAGATCTTTGGAATATTTTAGTGTGTTGTTTTGCTTTCTCTTATTTTTCTGCGTCCAATTTAATATAACAATAGGCGGGGGATAGTTAGATATCAGTTTTTCTCAATGAAGTTGTTTGTTTTTGTATGAAGAGCTGAATTGATAAACAAGATAGATGAAATATCTTTCATGGGCAGCTAGATTTAAAATGAGTGATGAAGTTCTCTAATTGACAGATGTATTGTACACCTGGATGATTTTGAATATTGGTAATTTTTGTGTTATTTTAACGACTATAAAATTACGATCTGCTGAAGCATGTTGAATACATTTATTACTAACCTCTTGCAAAGGTACTCATAGCTCAGTAGTAATTTCACTAGATAAATAAATAATAATCTTTTTAAGATTGCTTCTTCAACTCAATAATTCATATCATCAGGTAAAGTACTTAGATCAAAACGAAGTTCGTTTACGTGCCTATCTTCCATGAATCGTCTATTAACTTCTGTTGTGGTTAAAAGATATTTCTGCTTGATAAGTCAATTTTTTATCTAAAGTTATAGCTTTTAAGAGTTCGACATTTTATATTTTGAATGGACTGATAGTTTAGAAGCTTACTAAAAAATAATCAGGGAATGCGGTACATTAGTTATGTGGTAAATACCATTCTAACTTTTAGAGAAAGCACCTTAAATATATTGCTATTACATCTGTGTAAGGTAGTTTGAGCAGTTTCTATTTATTCTCAATGTTATGTGTATAAAACATATAATCCTATTTAAATAAATTCTCATTTGATTTGTTATTTTTCCAAAATTTATTTTTAACCAAAATGTGAAATAAAAGGCTGTACAACTAGTTTAGCTGTTGAAAGCAGCACAACCAGTTCAGTACAAACAATTGTTGGAGCTGATGAATTAATTGCTTCATCTAATGAATCAAGCATTAAATCAAATACAGGAAAGAAATCAGGACATGTTTCAAAAGACAATCTGGAAAAATTGTATGATGATGGTGATAAACGATATTTAAGCAAAGAGCATCCCTCAACAAGTCAAAAGGTAGGTAAATCGTAAGATGTATTCCATCAGTTGCTCTTATCTCCTTTACAGATTATTTCGGTGTTTTTTTTTCGAAATCTAATGTTTTGAGTATGTACTTCGCACTAAGTAATTGTTAAATAGTTCTACAAGATTGATAGCAGGTTCTATTCAGCTTACATTCTCATTCGCTGATACCCTGTTAAAAATATTCGCCAGGTTTGTGTATATGAATAGTTGTAAGGATGCTGATAAACATTTCTATAAATAAAGGTAGAGTGTTTTACGCTACTCTGTATAACCTCTAACATTGAGACAGTGTTAGACTAGAGAGGAAAAATCAAATGTCAAACATTCTAATATGTGAGGTTCCTGGTTTGCATCTCCCTTCCAACTGGGAATATGCAACGACTTTCAATGTACAATTGTCTTTATTTCCAAGGAATTACTTGGTAATATGTTGTACATGGTGGTCTAAAAATATGTGACTGAGGATACAGAAGATCATTAATACTCAGTTAGCAATTTTATTTGGAGACACACCACTATTACTATTTTAAGCTCATTTTACTCGTGATTCTCACTAACTTCCATGTTAAACACTCCTTAACTCTCATACTTAGTGAAAGTTGTATAGGGGTTATTAGCTCGAAATATGATATTCTAGCATGATAGTTATCCTAAGTTTGAATCTAATATCTAATTGTGATTTCGTGAAGTGAGTCTTATGGATTGAGTACCTGATTTCCCTGGGATATCCGTTAGAGAAGTCGAAATGATCCTGCTGCATTTTACTTTATACTACAGTTTGTACTTTGGATAAAATCAAATATTGTTTGTATTCTCACTTAAACTCTGTTCTGTAATGTTCTTATTTTTGTTAAAGTATATAATTTGTCCTGTTTTGCCCCGCTATTTCACCTTAAATTTTATAGTTTAAATATATGTTAATAATGGCAATATTCCACTTAGTATATTCAAAACTATCTAGTTCACCAAGTCTTGTTTTCCAGTATACCTATATTTCGTCAGTTGATTGGGGGTAACCGTTATTCTTTTTTTAAAATGAATATACTCTTTGTAATTTATTTAAAATACTAGTTTGTCTATTTTCACTATATGATTGTGTGAATTTCGACGTTTGGCATCTGGTTTGTAAATAATTTGTTAATGAATTGTTTATTCTAATATCGATATTTGGAAATATTCTGATAATGTCCTTTTTTATATCAGTTTTGCCCTTCTTTTGTTTTCCAAATATAAGTTTTGTCCTAATCCACCAAAACGAAGTGTAAGCCTGACAAGTAAACAGTCTCAAAGAAGTGCCAACAAATCTGATGATCTCCCAGACGGAACAGAAACTGACGAAGTAGTCGATATCGAACCAGTATGTTATTAAGCTTGTTTAACTATTTCATACATATTTATTCGCTAATTTATTAAACAGAAATGTTAAATCTATTAGGTATCCGGTTGCCTCACACGATTTCATTACAATAGTAGTGCTAAACACCAATAAATTCTATGATACATCAAAATCAACATGAATATAGAATTATTTACACAAGTTTGCCAATAGTGATCTATAACATTAGATTGGTAAATCAATAATCAGAAATACTAATCCATTTTAGTAAATAATATCGATTGTATAACTGGTCGATGATCCCTTAAAGTTTTATACTGGGTTGTAAGACTTGAATCCTAATGACAAATCCACTATGAATGCAGACTGATCCAAACAGTGAATACAAAACTGGAGTCTTAGAGTTTTGTGCCAATAATCACTAAATATAATTCGCGTATTACAGTGATAAACTAAGCATCGATTTTTATACACTCACAGGTATCCCTGGAAGTAAATCTCCTTGTGAAGATTGACGAATGAATTGTTCAATAAGTTACTAGTTAAAAATGCGTTAACTATGTATAATGTTTTGAATTATTTGAATTATAGTACGAACTGAGAGTCCCAGAAACAACGCAATTGAATTAAGAAGTAAGACACAAACACAAACGCATGTACTGTATTTGGAATTCGAAATCGAGCATTCAACAGGTACAAAAGAACAATTAGTTAATTCAAACACCACATCTGCCACAACTTAAATAGGAGTATAAGTGTCTGTAATCGGTTGTACGTTTTCTTATTAAGTCCATCCTGAGTTTGTCCGACATTGTATTAGATAAAAACTTTGTAGTATCTAGAATATGCTCATTAGTATTGGAATTAACAAACGAAATCGGAACAGACTCACCTGGAATTGTATACAATCAGCATGTCGATTTTGTACCGAAATCATTAATATCTAGAATTAGAACCATAGATTTTTCAACACTATCCTCCCTCACGAAATAATGTTGGATCTTTATATCTCCAATTTATGAATAATGTGGCTTCATTTAAAACATATTTCTCACATTGACTAGAGTATTCATTGGAAGTGGATCTGTGATAAGGATGAACAGCAGTTGATATGAAATCGTCCGAATTGTAATCAAAATCGAGATCACTTAGTACTCGTGCTTCGCATTGAACAGGTTTTTCACAAGGATCAAATGCATTATGAGGATAGGTAATATATGATATGACATCAGGATTTGATTCTTCTGAAATATTCTTATGAAATTCATTAAGAATGTCATTGCAGAGTAATGGGTCATTAGAAAAATTAGCATCTATAAAAACTACATTGGGTTTTCCATCATAATTATGTTCACTCAACATATTTTCTTTAGATTTGCAAGGAATTTCATCAGAAATATGTGAATCATTAGGAAAAACCATACCTGGTACAATAGCATAAGAATTCTGATAAATCGATTGGTTAGAAACTGTTGTCTCGCAAGAATTTTAAGTTTCATTTAACTCTGAACTGCTATGTGACTCTACACTGTCTATTGCAATCGCTGATAAAGATAAATCATCATTATAAATAATCGACTTAGTAGAATCAGAATCACAAGACTTAATATTAGTTGCAATAAGATGAACGTCAGTATTACAGACTGACTGAACGTGTCCAATATCACCACATTTAAAGCACTTAGAATTACGAAATTTACATGAATTAAAAGAGTGGAACTTGCCACAGGAAAAACACTGCCTAAACTTGTGCCCATCTTCGTGAAATGCATCGCAACTTCTCAATGAACTGCCTGCATAATCTTGAGTATGAACTGGGTTGGGATGACGTAACGTAGTGGAATTTTTTATATCCTCATGAATCATTTTACGAGATCTCCCTCCTTTACCGCATTCGAAATTTGTATAATTAACATAGTCTAGCAGCAGTTCCTTGAGAGTTGTATAAGGAAGCGAGATAGGCTTTTCTGGCATAGCCAGAGTTCTTAATAAGCTGTATGCTTCTTTTCCAATGAATGTGAGGAAATGTGCCACAATATTAACATCCTCACCATCTTCCTTGGTCATAACCCAGATTTCGAACCTTTCAAAATAATCCTCAAAAGCTTCAGAAGTTGAAAGAATATCTAACTTTTCCATCGCAGGCTCCAACGCGACGCCAGTATAATGTTTTGAATTATTTGAATTATAGTACGAACTGAGAGTCCCAGAAATAACGCAATTGAATTAAGAAGTAAGACACAAACACAAACGCATGTACTGTATTTGGAATTCGAAATCGAGCATTCAACAGGTACAAAAGAATCATTAGTTAATTCAAACACCACACTGTCCTTGGAAGTAGAGCAAAAATAAGCAGAATTATAAATTAACAAAAAGATAGAAAAAGCCCATAAACGATTACACCTGTGCAGAATTACGGTGTCAAACAATAAAATAAAGAGAAACGAAATGGTTTTCTAAGACTGAGCATCATTAACAAGAATGTAGACAGTAATGTGAATGATACTTAACGAAAACCCAAGATAATTACAGTAGCTTATCGGTTTGATACGTAAATCTAAGTCCTGTCTGTTAGATGGTAGAATAATTATTGTAACTATACTCTAGCTCATCATTCTATGGCTTTTAGGTTTGTGCTATTTTTATATAATCCGTGTAACTGATCTGTAATTTAACAAAAGAAGGTTCATAGACGTCAAAATATGTATTCTGCATAGAGTTGTAGATATGTGCGGGCAATCAATAAATTTGTGTGGAAAGATTTCCCTCAATTTTCTCCAACCACCGGATTGTATTTTCAATCTAATTAACTATTAGTACATTTAGATTTCATATGATGATAATGTTCAAATTCATATCATAGAATGAATGACTATACGCTGATATTTATGGCTATTCTAAGATTACTTCATAGAAAGTAATAATCAGAAATTTATATCAAAATGAATCATTTCCATTATTTCTTCCTTGCTAGAATGAATACGTTGACTCAACTTCAGTTAAATCGATCAAATCAAACCAAATGGATTTAATTACAGATATTACTCAAACTATCCAAGAATTGCACAATGAAACCGCTAACACACATAAATCATATGATAAAGTTCATTCTGCAACACTTGGACGTCTTCCTTCATCATCATCTTCAAAATTAGAGTTAAAATCATTATTACCTGGTTCATCTGTAACACTACCAGCAAATTCATCAACCACATCGAATAATCCACGTTCTGCTTTAAAAAGTTCTGATAAAACTGGTCCAAAAGTTAATAAACAGTAAGTAGTAATTTTATTTAAACGATTAGTATTAATAGGAGTCCTAGGAGTTCTAGGTTTTCCATGGTGGTCTAGCTTCAATTGACTCATGACCTCAACTATTGAAATTAATATTTATTTATTACACAATTTACATTAAATTATTTATTTTTTTATTACTGACTGATAAGACTTATATGCGAAAAAAGTCTTTGATTTTTACTACGTTATCTATATAGATAGAATACTATTTACAAAGAATATAGGTAAAGTAACTTTGTTCATTTCTTAGCTTTAACTCGAAAGTTTATTAATGAGAGGAGAAGATGACTTGAAATCTAGACACTTGATTGAGTAACAATTTTTATTTGAAGTTATACAACCTTTGAAAAAATCAGTATACCTTATGGATTCGGAACAAACGTGTTATGGATATTTAGTCGTCAGGATGAAACTTAATCATGGATTGATTGAAATTAAACATTAATACTGTAGAATGGTGGCTGTGTTATAGAACTTGGTAGTTCGTGCATGAGGCTAAAGGTCTTGATTTCAGTTCCCGTGGATGCTCACTTCTGAGGAGTCTCATACTAGGACGGAAGGGCCATCCAGTGCCTTAAGGGTTCCAGTGGTAACCTAACATAGATCGATTCATGGTTTCAAAGAAATTAAATGCAAGATTACATATTTAACTAGATATGATTTTCATTCAGTGCACATGCTATCGTATTAATTTTGGTTTATTTGACTTTAAAACTAATCCAGAATAAGTTTCGTTCAGCCTAGCCTTCATTTGTATTAGTTTTGGGTAAAATTGGCTCAATGTGAAAATCTTTTTAACTAATAATCACTGCAATTAAATCTGAACATAAATGAATGCATTCAAACGATTAATAATCTTCATGGGTCTGTATGAATGAATCTTTTCCTCTGGTTAGTGGGCAGGGAAGGAGACGATGGTTAAAGTTTTAATGTCTCTGAAGTTGGGGTTGAGAGTAATTAACTTTTTGCAAATATGTATCAATCGACAAGAAGGTTGGTGAAATGTGGATTGTTCTAAATTCGAATTACTACTTGAACAGCAGTTTAAACTAGTTCAATTGTCTACAAACACGGAAATCATATCAACTGCTTCATTTAGTGCATCTACTCTCAACGTCGATGCTACTATTAATAATCGAGCAGATTTTAACTACAATCCAGTCTCTAAGATTGCATCCTATGCTTGGTTTGGAAGATATGATGATGTTTAAAAAATTGACTTTACGGGTCAGAATGATGCATAGAACATTTGACCGCTGCTTCTTCCATAAGATCCAACTGAGTTAGATAGGTTACTAAGCTTCTAGTGAGAACAAATTCATGAACTACTTCTTAATAAATGTGCTAATGTTATGTAAGGTGACAGTGTTAAGCCATACAACTTATAGAAAGTAATTTTTAGCTTAATCTCCTTAATTTGTGAACTATTTTCACAATTTCTAAAATGAACATTAGTTCCTTATCATCTAGATTGATTATATCATCAAATTACTACATTTTTTCACATAAATTTTACAAATGTTTTAGTGATTGTCTTACTTCATGTGTAAAACTTTATGCTTACTTATTCTCACTTACAAATTGATTCATTAGTTCTCAATAATTGAATTAATCATAAACGTTTTGTTTGCTGTTAAAATGTTTTTTCTGCACATATTTAGCTGATGTCATTTTTTGTTCACTTCGATCGTAACCCCATTGCTACTTCTACAATCAATATCACTAGTAATAATGCTGATAATAAGTTTCATATGCAAACAGCAGTAATTATAATAATAACTATAATAATAACCGTTTTAACAATATAAGGGATAGAATGAAGTCGATGACCTGGATAAATTATGTTCTTGTGTCTAACATACAAAGACTTCAATTCAAATACACACATATGGTGTACTGATTATTTCTATTCTCACTTATTTATACACTAAATAATTTCTTTTTGAATCATAGTAAAAATTTCAAAATGACTTACTTGCTTTATTATTCTGTATTCGATTTTTTGTCAATATGCTGCATTTATAATGACCTGGTTTATTCGGGAAATAAACCAGATAGAGAGGGGGGTGATATACGGATTATTTATTGATCGGAGCGTTTTAGTATCTTTCACTGATTAATATAAGTAGATGGCTAATGAACATTTCGTATGTCTTTCAATTAGTTCCATTTATTATTATTATTATTATTACTCATTGTGTTTATATGTGTATTTGGCCTTAATTCATTTTTGAAATAATAAGAATTACCAAATTATATAAGAAGACCATACTTTAGAATTTTGGTTGTAGAAAATAACTACCTCAATAACAGCAATTTATATGATTCCAATATTTCGTCATACAAGCTGGTTTGAGATTCTTTAAGGGAAATAATCCGAAATTGTCGAAATTATTCAACAAGCATTTTTACATTTTATGTCTTTTATAAACTCGACAACTAACATTTTTTAAACTATTCATTACAATTTTGATGAATGTTTATATAAACAACTAGATTATTGAAAATATTAACTTAGTTCAATGTACTCCAATGGATTGTTTGTAGTGAGAAATGATCAAATTAACTTGTATTTTCTTTTTAAAATTCTGAACTGACATTAAATTAAAGAAGGTATATAAAAATAATCCTAGAGATTATTAGACACTTGAATTATACTTAGTTATCCCTCTTTGTTAATGAATTCCATAACTTGACCAACAATAACAAAGTTTAGTTGTTCAATGTTTATGTTAAAGTAAAGTGCAATCCAGGAGTTGCGTTTCGTCCTAACCACTATCTATCTTAGCTTATAAATCTTGTGATTTAAGGCAATATCAAGGCAATCCGTACAGATTGTGCATGTGCCAATAAGAGACTGATCAATTACAGTCCTAAACAACAATGAGAAGATACAAGTAATACAACACCAAGTGAGTTTAAACTTCACCCCACTGCACAAAAGGAGGCTATCAGGACCCAGTAGCTAAGTGGATGACGCGATGGCGTTTGAAGCGAACGCTACTGGGTTAGAATCCCGAAGTGGATATTAACTAGGGTGAAGGTACATCAAACTGACGTGTCCCAAATAGGGCGAAACGTGCGTCCTGGGTCTTTTTGCTAGCCACTACCCATCTTTGCTCATAAAGTTCAGATTTTTTTCAGCTTACAAATGGGTATAATTTATTTGTGTCATTTATTTATATGTGACCTTACTATAGAGCAAAAAATTATTTTAAAGCTTTGCGAAAAGTTTAATTTTACCAACTTGTTCATAAACGATTATACCTATTCACATCTATTATTCTGAATCGGTTTTTAGTTTGCGCTTCACTACTCTGACAATTATTGCATTACTATTGATGTTAGCCATTGTTATCGCGAGTCCAGATGGTATGGGATCACTGAATGATGCTAAATCTATGACTGAAACGTCTATTGTCTTCCAATCAAATGATCAACCAGTCAAAATGGTCAGATATAATGTGATTAAGGCAAATATATATCGATCTACTGCTAATACTGCTTCTACCAGTACTGGCTCTTCAAGTATGGTGCTTGAAAGTTCTAACAAGGAGTCTAAAACCCAATTAAAGAATAGTCCACTAAAACCAAAGGAAAATAATTTAGAATCTACTTCAACATCTCAGTTTGTACACGTAACAATTTGGTTACCGAAAAAGATGATACCGACTGGTGAACCGAATCAAGATGAATCTTCTAATTGGAACAAAAATAAGAAACAACCTAATTTGACTCCTCAAACTATACAATTATGGTTGAATCAATCTAGTGGGACGGAAGTTCGTATAGCTGAACCCATTAAACGCAGTTCAATTCATATATATGGTAATTGTTGTATATATAAACTAATTTTAATTAACTGTTTGATTTAAAGATTTTGAGTGTAATCGTTTATTAAACCTATAAACTGTGTGTAAAATCTTGTCGAACCTTCTGATTACGTGGCTAAATTACGCGTAAGGTCTGCAGATCGAAAATGCAAGATTTGTCTAAAATGTGCAACTTTTAATGCAAAAATATATAGAATATTTATACAAACTTTAATTGATAAATTGTCTACACTGTTTAGCTTGTCAGCATACAATCAAAGAAGAATGTTTCCTGAAATGAATGTTTGTGTTACTTTTATTGTTCTTCTCACACTACTTACGTATACACATAGTCTGTTATCTTAACACTTTTCCTTCCACACCACATATTTCTTACACAGTAAAGCAAATACTCACTTTAAACATTGTTAACGTTGATTGGATGACTTAATTAGTATACACTTAACCAGAGAACCCTGTATCTATTTATATTCGATAATTTTGATGTTTGATTATAATTCCTTGAAAAAGCTTGGACCAGATTGCCAGGCAAAACGTTGGATGTGCTTCAAATTCATTCGCTGTTATTTTACAAATACATTCTTCCTCTTTAATGTCTCACATCAACTCGCTGCCCAAATACTGTGAAACTATTTAATCAATTTAGATTAAAGTTCTTATATATTGATTGCTGAATATTAGTAAGTAGGATAACTAAATATACAAAAGAGAATCGGATAGGTAAGGAATAAAGATGAAAAAGTCAAAAGCATTGAACACCATGATGCATAATAACTTTCACCCTTTCTATTTGAAATATCATAGTTATCAAATTTCCGGAAATATCACCCGTGTTTTGGTGCACCTAGTTGAACACTACTACTTTAAACATTTAGTATGATCGATGGTAAAGAAGAGCACCTCTTAACAAAATATCGTGACAAATATATAACTAACTGATTACTGAGTAAAATAACATAATTTTTCTGTAACCTATTTACTCCGTCTGAATAAATTCCATTGCGTAACTTAAAATGTAGATGTGGTTGATACTCGGCATATACTTGGTACACGAATCTGTCGTCAACGGTATGCTTGTGAACATTCTTGTGATCCAGGTGCTGGACATGCATGCATTTGTCAACGTGGTTATCGTTTGGCTGGACCAAAAGATCGAGCACGTTTAGCATCGATTGGGGATCGTAAGTAAATGTTTTTCCCCGAATAATATTTCACAGTTTATCTCTAGATTTTAACATTTTGTTACTTGTTTAGATAACACTATTCTGAACTGTATGCAAGTTTTGAAGTTCGTAAACTGAGCGGAAATTTTAAAAATTAGACAAGTCAGATAAAGCATGAAGTTAAGGATTGAATATAGAATCGTAAACCTAATGAGTTTTGATATATTTTCCCGTTATTTCTCTCACTTTATCTAACATTACTAATAATTAAAATATACAATGTATAAATATATCTACCTACTTACTTACGCCTGTTACTTCCAATGGAGGATAATTGTTGGTTAGCTACGCTTAAATGAATTGGTAGTATTTACAATAAATTCAGCTATTCTATGAATAACCGGTACAACAGGTTGATGTATGTGGTGTTTGGTAACAAACTTGATTGAGTAGTATGTACTGTTCAGTTTTCATATTAATGTCAGTTAGATTAAATGTTAGTGCCTGAATATGTTGGTTTCCAGTGAAAACTACGGTTGGATTTTTCAGTTAAGCTTCACTGACACATGTTAGTATCATGTTATTCTGTGAATTTTACAAGCAATTGGTTTAACACTATCGAAGACTAAAGTCTCACTAATAGTAATGACTATCCCATTCGGATCCCATTTCTTGAGTAAACATCAGATCCAATTAAGATGATTTTTAATTTTTACGAACATTAGGTTTAGATAGTATTACCTGTGCATTCAACCTATTTAATCAATTTATTCCTCTCCATGTATACAGGGATTCCGTTAGAAATAAAAGTTGTCTAAATTATTAAGGTTAAAAAATCAATAAACAGGACGGTAACAATATATATGTAATAGAACTATTTGACTGACTATTGGAATCATTGAAGCACCGAATAGCTTTCCCATTTAACTTTGAGATTTGTCGATAGTGTATCTGTTTGAGTTACATTACAACAGAATGGCCGGTAATCATTTTTATTCAACATATTTGTCTGTTTATTCCTTGCTTGATTTACTTATCTACTTACTTATGCCTGTTACTCCCAGTGGAGCACAGGCCGCCAACCAGCATTCTCCAACCCACTCTGTCTTGGGCCTTGCCTTCTAGTTCTATCCGCTTTTTGTTCATTCTTCTCATGTCTGTCTCCATTTCTCAGCGCAATATTTTCTTTGGTCTTCCTCTTCTTTTTCAAGGTATCGGTAATATGGCATTGGAGAATGTACAAGGTCGAATATGTTTAGATATTGATGAATGTGATAAACCTTCTTTACGTCGAGAATGTGCACGTTTAGGAGGGGTATGTACAAATCGTCCTGGAGATTATGCTTGCTTGTGTCCATCTGGTCAACCATGTATTGGTAAGTGTATCAATGTAATTTTCGGTTTATTAACTTTCTGTCCTATTCCTATTTTAAATTTGGTTTTGTCGCTGTTACTGATACAAGAATTTGTAAATCTAAGTAACTATTTATAGTATAAATAAAATTGAGATGTCCTCTAACTTTTTTTCTATAAACTTATTTCAGAAGGGTGAAAACTAACTCATATAACTATTATCTCACTGCAGAATAAGTGCATCTGTTTACAATTGCAGATTTGTGTAAATGATTATTTATTTAATGATATAACCTGCTTATTGAATTATAACTCATAACAACTTAACTGACTTTCGTCGTCTTGTCTACTTCCATTTTAAGCTTGTGATACTAATTGTCCTAAAGGTTATTGGATGTCTGGTATTTGTGGAAGGAATCAATCAGTTGAATGTAAACGTGAGTTATCCTGAGCTTTTTTATTTTTCAAAACAAAGATAATGTTTCCGTAATAGACTGTCACTAAGACTACTCATTTGTCAACTCCATTGATGATAATGTATTAGACTAGCGGTGAAATTTGAATATCATGTTGTTCACTCTGTTTGTTGTGTAGGATCATATGAAATCGAACGGAAAAAACTGTATGAAGAGAAATTATAATTTATATAAATGGATCGAAAGTTATTATTAGGATATAACTAAAATTTTAACAACAGTTAATCACAGTCGCGTTCAAGATTGATGTATCTCGAATTAAAACAAATGTCTACAAATTTATATTTTTCAACATTTAATCTTAATTAAACTACTTCCAGGTTTACATCCAAAAGCCATATGGCACTGGAAAACAAAGGAAAGCATAGTAATGCCAGAGACGTTATTGGGAACAAATTGTTTAGAATCACGGTATATATTTAAATGGTATTTGATTACGGAAGTGAAGTTTCAATGGAAAATGAACAAACAGTATGAAATTCGATTTGTAGAAACATTAACAAAAGTTATTTACAAATTAAGTGTTTCTGACAATTTCTGTAGCATAGTTGTGAGTCCTCATTGTAGATGATAAAAACAGCTCTCTTACTTTTTATGACTCACGAACCGATACCAGTTTGTGACTGAAGATACTTTGAAATTAAATCAGTCTTTACAACCAAATTATTTAAAATAGAAATTGTTTCTCTAAATCGGTCATTCATTATAATTGAATGAATTACGTTTAGTCTTTACCATTATTCGATTGCTTCTTCAGGAGCGAAAATCTTCAGACTTAGGGGGTTGTAACTTAACCCTGAGAGATTCAGATCCACGTTTTTTTTAATTTTATGGTTAATGATCATATCATTGAGCTAATTAGAGCACAACTGATCTGTAAAACTTATACAATTACATAGAATGATCACTTAATATCAGATAGTCAAAACATTTGTGTTTCATGTTCATCCGGTAATCACCGATCTTATCTATCCATTACTTTTTTAATAAAATGTTTGAAACGGCACCAAATTCCGATGTTTTTTCTTTGTTTTCACTCATTTTTTTTACTTTATAGGCTGTTCAACTTCCTGCCCACCTGGGATGTATGAGTATAAACCGTGTACGCAACATTCTGACAGGGTATGCCGAGGTAATACAATGATATATTTTAAAAACTGTCATGCTTTTTTATAATAAGTTTCTTTTTACTGAATTATTATTCCTGAATTATCTATTCATTACTCAGCCCCTAGGAAAAATCGATAGTAAGTACTGTTAATATAGGGTTAGGACTCTTTATAGGATACACTGAAAGATTTATCGAACTTTTCAGTTATCGAACTCTATTCATTCTGCCTTATTCAATGTGTTGGTTACGAAATCCATTTATACAAAAAAAGGTCTTATGTACAGAAACCTGTTTAAATAGTGTAACCCAGCAAAAATTATTGCGTAACTTTACAATCTTGATTTCTTTTTACAGTAAATTATTTTAGTTCTAGAGAGTACTAAGGATTTTTCAAAAGCCAATACTCTTTTCACTAATCTAGTAAAATTCAAACAATTACATAGTATACAATTCAGAAATATTTCTGTAAATTTTGTTAGCAAACGAGTTTTAGCTTATTGAATTTACTTAGTTGAATAGCGTTATCCCTCTGTTAACGTATGTCGCTGAAATTTTAATCTAAAAAGTGATAATACATTTTATTTATTACTATGTCTATTCAAGAGTTATTAAACAGTAGTAACTTTCATCTAAATAAAAATATTTTAATTTTCCAAAACGATTCAGTGTCTCAACGTAACAGTTTACAGAAGCCCGATAAAATCATTTCGTTTCATAAATAAAGTGTTTTAACTCGATTCGAATGATTGGTAATCCTTTCGAATCGTTTGATTACACAAAAGTGAACTGCATGGAAAATCAAAGTTAAAAATAGAAATTTTATTTAGAGAGCGATACTACTATTACGAAAATATGTGGACAATAGTGAGGTGTTTTCTGTCTTTAACACATCAATATGTATAGAAGCGAAAAGTTATTTATGAACTAATCACATAAAGATTATTTACAATATACGATAGTATAAAAAGCACTTGGAATCTTTGTCTGAAAATATCTGTCAAAATTCTAAACAAAAACTAAGAACACAAAATGTGGTAACTATTACATTTAAACAAGGATTCAATGAGCTTTTAAAATTGTAAGTAACTGTTAAAACATAAAGACGTTGCGATCACGATAATAAATAAAGTGAATTTCTCAGCTTTATGTGAATACTTAAGAAAGCTACATTAGGACGACCAAGCATGCGATATTCTCAAAATGATTGAAGATAATATTTGTTACTGAGTATTAGTAAGTAATATAATTATTACACGAAAAATAACTAAGTAGGGGGGTATTGGGTAGGGATACAAACAGACATAACAACGATATTAATTCTTAAGTGACAATTCTTAACTGATATTTTACCGTTTGACAGTGACATGTCATAACTTTCAGATCCGAAGTATGTTTTATAAAGTGGTCTTTGTTAAATGATCACTGTAGTGAAAATGTCAAGCATGTATTGTGTTCTAAATTGTGAACTCTTACTTGATACTCATTTCTTCTAAATGTTAAGTTTCTCTTGATGCATTGGAACATGATCTGTTGATCACTATTTCCAGATTTCTGCTATTATATAAGGTAATGGAAGTTTCATTACTGTTTACAATCAATATCACCTATTATCTCTTTGTTCAGTCTATCTTAAAGAAATTTTGCTTTTACTAGGAACTCGTGAAGATTCACCTCTCCATAATTCTTCCCTATTTACTTTATGATTTGACCACATTGGACTCACACATTCTTCCAAAATTGTAATATAAACTACTGACTAAATTCTTGAAATGTATAGTGTATGAAAAAATATTTTTCTAACAGGCGTTTATAATCACTTTTAGTCCGCTTTTTTTTTAATTAAAAATAGCCTGTCGTCCACTTTGCATTTCTGAAGAATTTGAATTGTCTCCTTGTAAAGGATCAAGTAATCGTATATGTAAACGTAAGTAATTTATGATGATTTTGTTTGTTTCTGCGTTCATAATTAGTTTATTATCAATTGTTTGTTTTCGTTAATTCAGTGTTCGATCAACCAATATATGAATTTTACTTATAAATGAAAATGAAATTCTTGAATTTGTTCACTAGTTTCAGAAAAGCATTTGCTTTGATAGATGATGAATTACTAGTTAAACACTGCATAATTCTTCTGTTTTGAATAAGACCTTGAGTTTGGCCTTTTTCTTTGCTAGTCAAAACATTTTAACCCACAGTAATTATTAAGATTTTATTCCTACATGCGTTGTTTCGTTAAAAAATAACAAATACCTACTGACCAATTACTTGTCTACATTACATTACATACTATGAACAAATAATTTTACTAGCTCTTGTTTCCGAATTACAGCTGTTGTCAATAAATACTTGGATATGAATATATTGTACGATACATTTGTCTTACATCCGACAATGTAAGATTTCTTTGTTTGAGGTTTCTCGATAAGAACCGTTAAGACTGATCAGATAAAAAAATTGTATCAAATTAATATATTTCTGTCTCATAAGTACAAGAACACATCACTGCTTTATTACGAGCTGTTTAATTGATAAATTAAGTCGCAGTTTTAAAAATACGTTACCGCTGTGTTTTCATCTTGTATATTTCATTTTGTAGGTAAAGATCTCATACCTGAATTAGTTGTTCCGTATAAGAAAAATGTTTGGTTTGAAAATCGTAAAAAAGTGCAAGAGGCCACAGTCACATTACATCCAGATGATGTTGGACGTTTACCATTGAATAAATCTATAATCATAGATCGTGGATCTGGTTATCAGGTATATATATACTCTTTTAAACACTGACATTTTTCCTTTTAAATGTTGACAGTTTTTGTGTATTCAAAGAGATCACTATTTTTTGTTACCTTATATAATTGCATAAGATGACGATAACAAACTATGAAAAATACATCGTTAGTATATCCTTATGATTTATCATTTGATTTCAATGTAAAAATAAAATGCTGAACTCCAATAGTTTTGCTGATGTGTATATTTAATTCACATGATTTCTCAAATAGGCGGTAAAATGAATAGATGAATGTTGTGTGTCCTTTGGCTATTAGTCGCCGAAGATTAGATATGACAATGGACACAATGTAATATGTTTAAATTAAGTTTAACAAGCATAATATGATACAACCAGTGATGTTAAAATTATACATGTAAAGATTGGATAAGTTCACACAAAGATTTGTATCGGTCTGTCATATTGGTTCACTATACGAGTGTAAATGTAAATAAGAGTTCCTGTTTCAAGTGTATACTGGATCAGTAGACAGTTAACTAGTGTATATTCATTTTTAGATTTGCAGATCACTTAAAAATTGGTGCAAAATATGTAAGGAAGATTGTTTTCCTATAGAGTAACTAGACGGTCAATTCCCAAAGAATATAATGCTTCTTGAAATAGAAGACATATTCTAGGAGTTTTGTACTAATTTCTACTTAGATCGTAGTGGAACATCTCGTAACAAGAAAAAGAACAGTTGATTTTTCTGACACAGATTAAATAAATTCTGTTTTAATTTCCTTACAAATAACTAATCCGTTAATGATAATATCTATCAGTTGGTTCAATCTGTTCATTGAAAATAGAAAACAGAAATAAAGTAACAACTACACTCCAATCAGTTGCTTTTTTTCTAAAACAAACACATATTAAACAACTAATTGCATTGTATTAATTATCGAAAACTAACTGAAGCATTTTAAAGTCTTTTTATCTCTATCTCAAATGCTTAATCCTATTTTGGTAACAATCTAAACATATTGTTACCATTAGAATTCGATTGATAATTTATCTTAATAAATATATTTTTGATTGAGATCATGAATCGATGAATGTTAGACCACCATTGAAAACCAGGAAGCACTGGAGGTAATCCTCGGAGTTCTGGTGTGAAACCGTGACCAGTGGAGCTAGTCATTGTTGGGTGTGATGCAGTTACTCACCGAAGACAACGGAAGATGGTTGTGCAATTTCGTGGATTGATCAAAGTTAGATACTAACACCGTTGGATGTGGGCTCAGTGGTCTAGAGGTTAAGTGTTCGCGCGCGTGACTGAAGGTCCTGGGTTCGAGCCCCGTGTGCGGGATCGTGAGCGCGCACTGATGAGTTCATACTAGGGCGAAATGGCGAGCCTGTGCTTCCAGGTTTTCAATGGTGGTCTAACATTGATCGATTCATGGTCTCAATCGAAACTTATCAATCTCTACAATACCATACTGAAAACATATTTTCACTTTTCATTCACATGAAAACATTACCTTTTGCTTAATAGGTTCGTTAGATTTTGATATACTTAATTTAATGCCAGTTCTGGGTCCAGTCGATCATTCATCAAGTAATGATAACCATCTGTTTTTATCAGCTGCATCATTAATGGATCAATCATTGTTGGAACCAGATTCTTACAGATGGTCTTCTGCTACTGGTCAATATCATACAGTTCATGCTTATTCATTGAAAGCAAATAATACCTTATCTAAATTATGTCCATATCCAGTTCCACCGTTATATCGTTTAGGAATGCGTGTTTATCGGGTAAAGTTAATTATTTTTATGAACAGATTTATACTTTTAAATAAAATTTTATCACATAAACAACAATAATAACAATAAAACAAATTAGCTACTCTGTTGTTTACAGATAAGGGATGTGTTAGTGAGTTATTTAAATGATTAAAATTTAAATGCAGTAGTTTTGTTTTTGTGATAGGAGTGAATGTAGTTGTTAGTGTATAGTTGTTAAATCTTCGTTCACTACTCATTGAATATTCTTGCAAAGTTTATCGTTCAAAGTTTTCATTTGACAATCGAGTAAAAAGAGGTAACATCTACTAACTAACGTTTACAGAAGTTAAAGTAATTCCAGGATAAATTATGCGTACGAGATATTCAAACTATGTACTTAACAAAGAAGCTCTATTCCATATACAAATGTTAAGTCATTTTAATGACTAGTCTAGAAATTATATATATATATATATATATATATATATATATATATATATATATATATATATATATATATACTGAAGATTACTTGTGGTTATGGTAAAGTAATCCGGCTAGTCACCAGTAATTTAGAATACCTTTTTTATGTGAATATAATGGAGTTCAGTGATGTTAATGTATACATTCAACAAATCTTTTTGAGTTTCTGCCACAAAATAAACTCTAGAGAAGAAAGACGTTTGATTTATTTTATTTTAGATGCATAAATTTCATCAAGCTTTTACCACAAGGTTACTTATGTGTTTTACTGAGTAAATATTAGATTTTTCGATAGTTTGTCTTTCAACATTTATCGCACTTACGTTTGACAAGTATTTTTTTATATATAGAATGTTACCACTGCAACAGTACCCGATGCAAGTCTACCTGGACATCGGCCAGTATTAGCCAGTTGTAGAACATATAAACAACATGGATATTTCCCACCATTAGAGTTAGATGGATTTCAGTCGGAATCAGAACATTATACTCAAGCATTTAGTTCAGAGTCTAAAAGTATTTATGATCAGCCTAAAACTGGTACAAATGGAAATCCGACCCCGGCTGTTGTTGCTTGTTTAGAACCTGGTCGATTACCATCAATATTTGGATCACATTGGAATGCTGAACTTGCATCACCGCGTTCTATTTATTATGAAGAGAAGCAACTGTAAGTATCACTTTGTTAAATGAAAATTAAATGGAAGTTTATTCATTTACATATTATTCAGTGCTGCTATCTTGTAATTCTACATGTGGTTGAAGAAGTACAGCTTATTTGATTGTACAGGTTAAAAGTATTTTGATATTACTGAAACTTGTCATTCAATGGAAATAAAGATTGATTACAACGTTATCTATATATGAAAAATATATACTGTAGTTATTTAAAATACTTTTATATCAACCATCAGCTTCTGCCCGAGGTTAAACATTTACTGGATTACCTCAAAATATCAACAATTTTTGTTAAGGATTAAAGGTATTGGTATCCGATGGTGTTAATGTTTAAATTCAATCGATCCATGATCTTGCACAACCCTTCATCCATTATCTGAGGTGGATACCTTTCTCTATCCAACTCATGAATCCAACCATTAAAATATCTACAACCTCCACAAATCCCCATTCTGATAATATTCATGTACTCACTAGTGACTAACTCCAGGATGGATTTCCTGGAGTTCTAATGAGACCAATGGAATTTAATCAGTGCCGGGTAGAGACAAATATCTACCTCAGACAATGAATGAAGGGTTGCTCAAGATCATGGATTGACTGAAGTTAGACAGTAACACCGCTGGATGCCGGCTCAGTGGTCTAGAGGTCAAACCTTTGCACTCGAGGCCGAAGCTCCTGTATTCGAGTCCCTCATGCGGGGTCTTGGATACTCAATAATGAGTCCCATACTAAGACGAAAAGGCCATCCAATGCTTCCAAGTTTTTGAATGGTGGTCTTGCTTAGATTAACTCGTGAATTCAACTATCAAAATATGATAATGTTTTACGTTCAGTTTTATGCTTTCTTTTTGTCATCCAAAGAAAACATTCCAAGAAAATTCACTAGTGTATCATTAAACTATTTTATTTAATACGATCAATAATTACTTAACAAGGAGAAATTTTCAAATTTAAGATTAGTTTATACTGATGGTGTATTGTTTAGAAACTAATTGTCAAATCCTTATATTGTTCCATTTTCAATAGAATCTTCCAAATGATTATTGTAATAACAAACAAAATTTATATTTGAATATTTGAAAAAGCATATTCTATTTTCTACTGACATTTTTAATTCTTCTTATACATTATATTTTCAAGTTGTGGTCAACTTAAACTAGACTGTCAACATTGTTTGCATCGTGTGCTGAAGAATTGAAAGCTAGTTCGTTAACTTGTAAACCAACCTCAGGAGCTGCAGATAATGGACGTTCACCGCGTTTAGAAACATGCTTTGATTGTTGTGCACGAGATAATTGCACTGATGTATGTGATAAATATCCTGCACACCGTTGTCACGTTCAACTTTGTAGTCATGGTTAGTATATGTAAAAAAATTTTATAACTTAGTAATTTAGTCATTGTTAATTGTGAATAGTACTTTTTTTCTTGAATAATATGAACCGTACTGAAAAACATATGCTAATGCACCTTAAGTAAGATCATAAGGCATTAGATAATTAAGATTTACTTGCGTCATTTAAATTTACTCCGACCGTTCACGAATTCATCAGTGATGTAACATATTTGAATTTATATATAATCCTTGCTTAATTTTCCTTCATGCAACGAAACTATGGATTCATAAGCCACCTTATCACGTAGATAATCCCTTCACCTTCCGAGCATGGACAAAGTACACATACATATAGTCCATAGCCTTGCCTAAAGTATTTTAAAGAACGCACCTTCGCGATCAAGATGTTGATGAGGATGTTGTTGGTTGTTGTAGATTCTGTTTGATTACATAAATGTATTTCACACTGAAAGATTTCGCTTTGCGATGAGTGTCACAGATAATGAAATAACAGGAAACTTCATTTCCATAAGTTTTTAATTCTCTGCCAAACTCTTCTGACTTTGGAACTCCATGCCGCACAATCATTACTTTAAAAAGATTTTCACTCTTTGTTCTTTAAATAGACATATGAGGTGACGCGACTGTGGTTATAAGATTTGCGAATCCGTACTCAAAACGAAATATTGCTGCGTTTATTGGTTTAAAAGTTGTCTCTGCATTGGACTTCAGGAACTGAGTTCGTGATTGTTTGGAGGGGGGACTGATGAAGAGGAAGAGGAGGGGTAAATAGACCCTTAAAAGCTGTATTCCAGTAGGGATATACATAGCTCTATGGACATTGTTTACTCTTTCGAGTTATTCAATATATGTATTCTTCCATGTTTTAGCAATACTAATAAGTGTTTGTCATTAAAGATCATTTGAATTCTGGTCATTTGATTCACGTTTGAAGCGCTTGAAGCCTATTTGTTTTGGAGGGCGCAGAATTCTCAGTATTTTATTGTATAAAATTTTCACTTAGAAAAAACTGAATTAGCTTAATTTGCTCTTTCATATTTCACAATCGACCTTCTTAATGAAATTCACGTTTCATTGCTTTTATTATGACATTGGCGTAGGCTAAAATATCTCACTCAATATTCCTGTCGTTTAATGAAGAAGCAGATATATTTAAAAACATTATGGAAGAACTACGTACTCCAATATAAATATGTGATATACCAGATACTTCTGTTTGAACTCCTTCACCAATCACCGGTCATTTGTAATTAGCACATCAATTTTCGCTAGATGTTTCAGCTGACAATTTTCTTCTAGACTGACACTGGTTTTTACCTAAATTGTTGAAATTTCCCCAATTCATGCTATAACCAAGTAACTAGCTAAAAATCATTTTTATACACTGTGATTGTTTGGCTTTATTAATTTTCTAGTGTCATAATTCCTTGTGTTTTGTTTCTAGGTTTACGACTGGATTTCTCACTTATTCCAGAATGGCCTAAACAAGGTGAATTTTTATGTCATGTTCAGCCAGCTCCAAGTAGACCGATTTATCGTCTTCAGTGGACTTTATTATATCAAGGTAGACCACTTACACCAGATCGATTTCCGGCATCACTTGTACTACCATTAAGTTCAATAACAAATGAGAATTCTGATAAAAATGGAGTTAATTCAAGTAAGCTTTCATTACAACCTACATTGTAAAATGAATTGAAAGAATTACTTCGAAGTTATTTCAAACATTTCATTTAAAAACCTGTTGCATCTCTAAACCATCTATCAGCTAGTTCCTTCCGAATTCTTGGTTATCCCATACTAAATAAAACATTATTCGAGGGATATTTTCTAAAACCAGAATCAATGAGGCCAGTGATGAACAAAAATACAGGCTCTTCAACTGAAAATGTCTTAAAGTTTAACTTATCATATTTGACTGATTAAATCGAGTTGACCAGTTGAAAAAATTTAGTTTCGTATCGCAGATGATTTTCCGAAATATAAGCACGAAATACTTTGTACAGTATAAATTGATTGTTCGGAGAAGAAACCAAACAAATAAAGCTTTGTCATTCAGGTATTGAAAGTCTTGTATCTTTGAATTTCTGATAGCTCCATGGTTGTCTAAAGTTAGCCAAATATCACGTAAATCAAGTGTACTGAGTTAGACCCTGTATAATGCTGTGAAATGAAATAACTACTTAGTGGTTCATAGTTTTTTAGTGGTTCTCCAGATGTTTTCAGTTGGAGATGAAAATTAGTAGCGACATCAAACTTTTCCTACATCAAATATTGGCCATAGATATAGATCGTACGACAATTTCAATTTATTCCACCTTCGTCAGTACAGTAAATATTTGTAGTCAGTATCATACCCATGAAGTTCTATTCACCAAATGTTTGAAACATATTTAAACCAATATTATGACAAAATATATAGGAAAGTTTTCACAGCGTGGAGTTAGAAACCTTTGTCCAAATTTCCATTTGATAATTTCATTAAAAACAACATCTGACTAATTTAAGTGTTCACCTGTTTATCTACTTCGTCATTTTTGTAGACATAAATGGATGGAATTTAGCCGATGGATTAATTGGTACTAGTGGTAGTACTATAACACAAACCTACAGAAGTTTGTTGAATATTCAGTATACATCAGGACTGGAGCATTTACCTGATATAATTGGTGGCACTGATACAATGCAGAGCGCGTATTTTTGGAGTAAACAGGTATAATGAGAAAATGAAGTTTCACATATGTGCAAAGTCAATAAATGCTCGTTTTATATGGTATCTTCTTATTGTTGCTTTTTTATCAAAAAAATTTTCATGAACAAACATGAATTTACGGTACCATTATAAACTAAGATTAATTGAGTAGTTACTCCATTTCGATTTCCATAACTTTGTTGAATCTAACATGAAAATTGGGCTTCTCAAATGCCATTTTATAACTCAACCCGAACCTTTTGAAAGCCGTACTACAACCCACATTGTTAAACTAGGATTTGTTATGTTATTCATCAGAAGGGAGCTTTTTCTGAAAGACACGTATTTCTGTATTGATAAGTTTGTGAGTGTGAGAGATGTGACATATATGACATGAATGAGTCATTTAGTTTATATAACCGCGGTATAATTTTGGACCGGTTGTATAAGATTGTTTGTAGAAACCGCCTAGATTTTTCGAATTGTTAGGCCTCCTTTTTTCTTGAACACTGAAGAATTCTGCAATATATCTGGTGTCTCCAAAAATCTACCCTTCTTGCAAGTTGGAGGAACCCATTTTGGATTATCTGGATATTTTTTAATATCTCTTAGATGATCTTTGAATGTAGCATCGACTGATACATTGTCACATTTTAGATAAAAGATCATAGTCAACCTATTAAATTGCAAGTTGCTTTGATGTCAAGTGATCGCCAGGAAACCCTGACCCTAAATTTGCTTTATCTATGTTTTGGTGTATCTACGTTCTATGTTCTCAAATCAAATATTTTAACATGATAGATTACAATCCCCGCTATTCAACCTTACAATCTCAGATGTTTCCACTGAGCTGTTCGGGTGACAACTGCTCTCCTGTAGAAACGAGATATCTACTACTGATTAATCGACGAGTAATAACTAATATTGTGTTTGTCTAGTCCTTCAGTGCTGATCGAATTTGATTGATCAGCATACCAATTATATTAATATGTTACTTTTGTTTCTTTGTTACTCTAACACAATTGGTAGCTCTTCTGGAGCAGAACAAAGTTAAACATTGAGAGCATGTATACCTATTTAAATGTGTCAGAATAAAGGGGGAAATGGATTATTTTCATTAAAGTTTATTTTAAGTAGCCAGTTTAATGGTGTTAGTTCGAAAGTGAATTTAATATGAACGGAAAGTTTATTTCTGAGTTTGAAAAAGATTATCGAACCTGTATTTTTTCTAGTGATTAGAAACGGATTGTTTACATATGGAGATCATATGCGTGGTTTTAAAACTTAGAACTGTATTTATAGCACATGTATTACTTAACAACAATTATGAGCAAACAAGACTTCGTTGTCATTCCACTTTTCTGTTTATACGATGTCCCCTTAAATGTAAATAAAGTTGCATGTAAACCTACTCTTTAAGATCTAATGGTTAGATTTATGAACATCTGTTTGATAGAGTATAATCAATCTTTAGCAAACCATTTCTACAATCTATAAATATTTCCACAGGAACACTACTGTTTTATTATACTCCATTGCTTACCAAATCAGCACGAAATGATGAAAGTAACAAGTGAATTGAAAAAAAGATCAAAATAATGGCAAATAATGGTGATGTTTAACGAAAAGACAAACTAAGAAGGTATATATGAAGGAATATTGAAATTCTTGATCAAGAAGAAGGTGGAGAACCAAAGTATCTGCGCCTTTATGACCAACTCTGAGCCATGTTACCAAAAATCCTCTAGCCATTGATCATAATCATCGGGCTTATAAAATCATAGCTTAAAGCGACTGACGAAGAGACTTAAACGTTTTTAATTAAATTTTTAAGTGTTTGATCAATACTTAATCTTTTTACAATATAACATTTTGCTAGTGAAATTTACGTTTATCTTCTTTTCAACTAAATAAATTTTGTGTTGTAGACTATACCGTTAGTTAGTGGGAGCGGAACGGGTATTACGTATGACCCAATAACATCATATTCCTCACCGAGTCCATCACCATCAGATCGATTTTATTCAAATGCAATGTTATACACACCATCAGGAGTATCAAACGAAATTGCCGGTATACAAGTATGGCCTTCACAGCCATTAAAAGTGAGTACATCCGCTTGGACGCGTTTAAGTGGTGCACCTTGTGCAACAGCTGAACCGTTAATTGAACAACTGAATATTTATACTCCGGCATTGCCACCGTATATAGCGATGGGTGAAGTAAAGGTGGGTAGCGGAAGATATAATATTTATGTATTGTAAATTTTATTTTAGATTCCGAATTTGTTGTTGTGATTAATTAATTAAAACAAATTACTCTATTCAAACAATGCACTAAAAGTGTCGATGGTTGACTTTTTCATTTTAATTATATTTGTAAACAGGTTGAATATCTGGGCAATTACATGTATGCTGTTTCCCACTCAAGAATTAAACCAAAAGTAAGTTTTCTTTCCTACTATACAGAATACTGAATATGATATTGTATTCATTCTCTTCAGCATTGTTATCCTTGCTATTAATATCGGATTTCCGGTATGTAATCGAACAAGGAAGAATTGGACAATGACTATATGAAGTGATTGTTGAACCTGATTCTTTGTAACGATTCAAAATGAATTCAATTATATTATCATTTGTATAATATCATTGGTTAGGTATTTAAATGGATGACATATTAAGTAAGGATGTAATAATGGGATATATAGAAGTTTGGATTTGAAAGCTTTTAACTAAGAGATCACTGCACTGCTATGTTTTCTTTTCAATTCTTTGTGTTAGATGAGTGAATATTGATCACTCAATATTCTGGTTTTCAGCACAGACAGTAAAGTATTATTGCTCCAATTCACATTTAATTTAAATTCTTGTAAATATCCGAAAGATTTATATGGCATGAGAAATTTTTACAACTTTTATCTTTTATTTATTTGTAGTTGTAAATATTTCTGTCCCGTTCCATTCTAATAGCTTTTTTCATCGCATAGTAGATATGTTTTATATATGTGAAATATTTGTAAAATCTATAACATTCGTGAAAAGTAATGGAGCTGTCCATATTTTCGTCAAAACGTGGAGAATGAGGTAAATATACCAACATCAACTGCATACAGTCATTTGAGAAAATGGAAATAATTAATGGAACATTTCAGCAGTCGGAAAATAAGTAGTTCAGAAATTCAAGCAGACTGTGAAACAACCTGCTTGTTTCTTGTAAAACAACTAATTCAAGTACACACCACTTTACAGCTTTTAACCGCCATCTTTTCTCTGGTAACGCATTTCGGCAAAGTGAAAACTTACCTGTGGGTGAAATCGTAGATTTTAACTGTCTCTTAGTCAAACAACATGTTTTAAAATTAGACGATCATATAGAAAAAGTCCAGGAGAGTGATTAATTTAATAAAAGTATCAAGTTGGAGTACAGACTTGTCGGGCTGATAGGCATGTACATTGATACATCACAACTCCATATGTTGTGCAGAAGTTAACAATAGACATTAAATTAATAATCATCAGAAGATATTTTGTTTAAATGAAATTTGCAAGTTAAAAGTTTATGCTGACATTCCTTTTTTCTTACTCCTAATAATTTAGCTGAGCTTCAGTTTACCTAAATCAACATCGTTACTTGGTGCAGTATTTTATCCAACCTCTGTAGAACGTGGTCATTATCTTCGAGCTAGTCTGGCTTTGGCATGGTTAACCGATTCTGAAATAAGACACAATGATATTCTCACGGACAGTCAAAATTCTGCCACGAAAGTGAAAGATTCTGAGTCATCATCAACATCCACAGCATCATTAAAGAAACAGAGATTTTGGGTCATTGATCTAACAGGACAAGTTGATCAGTTCCTGGTTTATTTCGTCTTCTCGTTTATCCAGATAATGTAGACGATGATAATGATGATGGACGAAATGATAATATAAATGCTAGTAATTCCAATTATTTAACACGAAATCGTCAAAATACCCAATCACAAACCTCGTCCCCTGACGCCATCGTTGAGATCGAAGATAATGCCAGTGACGATATTGATGTTGACAATTTAAATACTGGACTTGATTTAAACGGTAAGATATCTGAGGAGGAACCATTATTGGACTACGATGTTGGAGTTTTCGAAGAACGTAAATTCCAGGTGAATAATATTTTTTAGGAATTAATTTGTGTTATTTGTGAATAGATCAAGTCTTCATTAGTTTTGCAAATGATTCATTTTGGTATACATCATCACTTTTATTATACGATTATTCGAACATATTACAAAATAAACAAATAAAATGGATGGAACTGAGTAGAAATCTCAGACTTTAGTTCAAAACTCTCTGATTCTTACTATCCACTCATCACATTTAGTGACAATTATATTTTTGAGAAATTATTTTCCTATAATTTGTGGGGTTGAATTTTTAATCGTTACTTCCCATCTGCAGATTTTATTCTTTCTGATTATAGTAAGAAATGCACTATTCTTCAAGCCACATTCCTCCCGTTCTAAAAAAAACTAGTGAGATAATAGTTATATCGAGTCAGTTCTCATAGGATTCATGCATACCTACTAAGACTGATGGAAATTCAGTTAAGAATATCAACAATGGGATAACTCAAACCATTAAAAATTAAATCGACAAATATATTTTAGTACGTTTGTTAAGTACATTTGATCACTTTGCATAAAGTTCTGAAATATATAACTTGCTTCTATGGTAACTCTGAAGTCTAAGGCATAATACAGTGTACTATGATGTTAGAGCATTCAGAGGCATGCATGCCCAATGTGCTTCACATTTAGATCTTAATCTTAAAGGAATGGAGTATTGAAAACGTTTATGACTTTTCATTAGTATTTATGCGTTTTTTATTTACTCACATACTTAACTGTGACTGGAATAAAACAGTTCTTCGGTCTATATCTAAAAGTGAACGCACTTGAATACCCAGTCTAGAAACGCATATTGTACGATTTTTTTGACTAGGAGTTTTGTAATACTATTAAACTATAGAGTTTAGGTGTAACATCTATAATCAGTCAAATAAATCTTGGTCTTCAATACTTCATTTATTTCTGAAATATAAATTACCATAATTTGTGCGAAATTATGAGTAAATATTAGTTAGCAAGAAAAAAGAGTAGAGCACACATAAGAGACAATAATTGGAAGTGTTAAACAAATGAATAGTACAAGAAGTAGTCATAATCACAAAGATGATATATATTTTCTTAATTGACATTTACATAAAGAAGGGTCAAATCAACGTCAGAGTGAATTGGAGTGAGTGGACTTTCATATAAACACAATCATATCAACCTAAGCTTAGAAACTTATAAGCTATACTTTTGTTTCTATTTCTATAGGTTCGAATATTAATACCTGGTCCAACTATTGAACCAGATTATGAGAAATCTTTCCGTTTGGTTATCCTGGATGCTAGCAATCGTTTAGATATTCGAGTTAAACGAGCTATTCAACCGCTAGATGAAATGGCTTTACGAAAGACTTACGGGCAATTATCTGATGGTAAATTAGTAGTATATAATAAATATTATTATTTTCTTTTTGAATAACTTTTTCTGGTTAGCGTTTTTTAGCGAGTTAGTTTTCTACGGGATGGGGTCGCTAATCCCATGCCCAACCCTCCTCCTTTATCCGGGCTTGGGACCGACAGTAGCCCCCAGAGAGGCTCCAGGCAGACTTATTATTACTTTATACACCTAATAATCTGAAATACATAGGGAAGAAGTATAAAAGATATTTCTTTTAGAATGTATGGAGAATTTATACTGGGTTTGAGAATAAATAACACGGGATTATTGTTTTTGCATCAAAGTTGAGACCTTGAGCTATTATGCAGTCAAAACGTTAGAATGTTAAGTTACTAAACTAGAACATTGATCATCAGTCAAACGACTAAAAATGTCTTTTTTATATTTTGTATTTGCTCTAACTCATCTTGTGCAATGAAACTCAGCACTCTCAAGTATTACATTGGAAATTTTAGGTCAATAATGAAACCTAGTTTATTTCAAATTTTACTGAAACTCACCAAGTAGTCTATAGAATCTTATCTGTTAGGAGATGTGCCGGCCATAACTATATAGTTAATCGATAAATATCAATGTCCATTGTTTGTTAGATATGAGAGTAGAGGCTGAGAAACAACTAATCTCACTATTTGATCGATTGTAAACAATCAACAGTATAGTTAGTATTTCGGCAATATTTTACACATATATAATTACACAGTTACAACAAACCGACTAATCACCTAAACACATCCTGTTGGAATTGCATGAACTTTGTACTATTGGAGATGTTGGTTTTTCTTCTGATCTCTTGTAGTTATCCCATATTTTGATAATAAATTGAGGATGGTTTTCTGTTTGAATTATAGTAAGAAGAGGCTACATTTTTTTCGGCATTACTCGAGATTGACTTTTAAAATATTTAAATTGCTTTATATTATCTACTACTCTATAGTGTTCTTCATTATTCCTTCCTGAGATTTTGATATAAAATTTGTCTGTCCTACGTAGGGTACTAAAGTCAATTGGAAAAGTATATAGTAAATCTTTCGATGTTGTTATGAATCTGATTGTACATAGGCATTTGAAATATGGGAAACAACTAGGAAATGTTTTCTTATAAGATACAAACTATCCACTCCATTCTCATCTTTCTCGTCATATATCTCGTGGAAGAACAAGACTCAAGTACACTAGAATTCCAATATCTTTCAACAAAAATACCAGAGATTGTTTCTAGCACACATACTAAATGACTGACATGTTGTAAGGGTCGAGGTGATGAAAAACTTGTATCATTCAGCTTTCAGCTTTATTGTTATGAAGTTTCTTGTTTTTCTCCTAGAGATTTCATGAAATTTTGTAGTCTTATTTACTAGTTATATATATATATATATATATATATATATATATATATATATATATATATATATATATATTCGGATGAATAAGAATAATAAATGGAACTTGCTAAAACATTGTATTCTGAGGATTCCATATTGTGCTAATTAATTAGTATAGTTAGTTAGTAATTAACTACTGATTATTACTATTTGTTGTATCAATCAGATGTAGCCTAATAAGAAGGTCAATCGATGACAATCATAAGTGACCTGATGGACCAGTGCATTTCACTAGCTAATAAATGGATTAATTTCCTAAGGGGTAGAGATGTGTCTATAAAAATAAGTATTTGTGCATTTTATCCGGTAGCCCAATATACTTTGTTGCTCACTTTAATGTTCTTGCTCAAGTAATCAATTGGGGGTTTAGTGTATCAGTATCTGTTTTCGCATAGCACCGTTACAACACTATTAATGTTACTTGTTGTAACCAAGATACTGCTGTTGCATGAAACTGGAGAACCACTGATATTTTCGGTCCCCAAAGGGGAAGACGACAAAAACCAGTGATAAAAAACTATATCGATAAATGTTGATTTGATACTCGATATCGATCAAACTTCTGTCTAAAATACCCCAATTTTTATGTTTTCTTTACACTGATGAGTAGTCATATTTTCATGAATTAAACAAAGTAGCATTTGACACTAATTAGTCAGTAATTTACTTTATGAACGCAGATTTGCAGCATCATAAAACTGACCGTCTGCAAGCAATCGCTACAAATTATGCAAAAATTCTTTTCTAAAATATTGTTAAATATCATAGATAGCTGAAAAAAGAAACCAGTTTCGTACGTCATTAATATTCTAACCGATCAAATCTTTGTTTAATAGATCACTACCTGTTCCATCTCGTTTTTGAGATGAACACCAGTAGTTATAAGAAAATCCTTAACAAAATCACTATTATTCTAAATACAATGAGAAAGCCCATAAAAAATCATGTTATTCAAATCAATTCAGGAGTTTCATTAATTTGTGTAAGTCAAAAGCATTCATCATTGTATACATCAGTACATATATCAGTTCGTCCTAATCATACGTATTTTCGAATTCATTTTAATATCGAATAAACCAAAGAAATTTGAATTGATACAGTCAACACTAGTTACACAATATTAACCTTCTTCTTTTCAGGCTTTATAAACCATAGAATTCATTGTAATAATAGGTTAACTCTGTCTTTATTCATAGGCACCTAACGATAAACAACGAAAACTGGCCTAATTTCTTTTACATACATTATATAGGGATATTTAAATCAATGAATCCAGTTGTTGTCTGTTTTATTATATATCTGTTAATAAAAACTGGTCTATTCCCTTTTTAAAAAATGCATCTAAAACTTTCAGGTGACTTAAATTAAGTTGTATACTCACCATTTATACTTCTTCAGTGTGTTATTTATTTATAACAAATAAATATAAAACCAATGAAAGTGAGTTAGAAAATTCTAAGATACTTCACAACGTGGTTGCTTGGATTATTAAATGTTGCCAGTTATTTTCTGTCATGAATTCAAGAAATTAAATGAAACATGGTTTTTTTTTACTAACCATTTAAAGTCTATAGATTTATAATAGACAAATATTTTTTTAAAATTAATTATTTATTCAATTATTTATTTTCATACTATAACTCATTACAACTAGTCTCGTCTAGGTATTCATGATATATTGTTTTGAGAATTATCATTGAAACTATTATACTTTATTTTAGGTGATGGTCGTCCAACTTTAGTTGATCTACTACCAAGTTTAGCTGCACGTCAACAGGCAATACAGGATAGTCTATCAAAAAAAACTTCATTAAAAGATGATTACAAAAATGAAAATTCAGATGAATACAGATTAGCTAAGCGAAATATTAATTCAGAACCAAAAGATCAGTCATCATCATCATCATCATCATCATATCTAACCAAGAATACGTTTGGACCATCATCCGCACTTGTCTATTCAGTAATTGGTATACTTCTATTACTTTCAATCATATTATTTATTGGATTTGTCACCGAACCTGGTATGCTCATTGTTTTAGCAATCATAATCTTATATGACTAAATTATAATATTTTCAGTATTTTGAATCAATAAATCTAATTAGTAAAGGTTTAAAGGGAAATGTTTATGAAACTGCTAGAATTTTCTTTATATCTTTGTTTAACCATTTATTTTTCGGTTAAATTCAGTACTAAAAGTTATTTTCTATTGTGTTAGATGGTGAATTTAAATAATTATCCAGTTATATTGATTAGGGTACCTGTCATTAATTCTACCCTAAATGAATATAAAAGTTACAGCTTTCCATTGTTATATCCATTGTAAAACATAATCAATAAGTATTAAACTAATACCAGTTAACTATGTTTTGGGGAAAATAACAAAACGTAGCCTCTAAAAGTGATATTTTACGAGTTAATCTTCTGATTATGACCAGTATCTCAAAAATGTTTTCTGTACTGATGAAGTGTAGTTTTTGATATATGGTGTAAAGTATTCAATGTCGAAATCTTAAACCTCTTTAATGTTGACCGAAATGTTTTATCAGCAATAAAACCTCAGTTTACTCTTCGAATTTATTGTAGTTTCTTAGTTGTTTCAGATACAAAGAAATAGTGAATAGTAGCTAATTACAGCGTTTGTCGTTTTATTGTTTATATGAATGATAATTTTTTCACATCAACTTGATTTATTATAAACTTACACTAGTGAAGTTCTATCATATTTATGAGAGATTTTTCATCCATATATTATGATATACCTTGCCAACTTATACCTCACATGGATGGTAGTTTGTATAATTATTTCTGTCGACAACTGTTCATGTAGTTTCATAGTAGTTACTGGAATGAAATTGCTAAGAAAGAGTTACTACTCTATATTTTAACCTCCTTTATTGTTCACGTACTACGCTGTTTAGATAATATTTATAAAATAACTAATGCACCAAACTCCACAGATTATGTTCTTTGATTTTTAAGAGGAACTTCATGATCAGTTCAAAATAGATTTGTTCTACTAGAAGGATTGCAGTAATTTGCCATTTATTTAAACTTAACAACCAATATGTGAGATTATTTTAAAACACAAGTTAGAATTTTCATTTTCTTTTTTTAAATTTCTTACAGATCCTACTATGGCTTGGGTTAGATTGGGTCCAATTGATAGTCAATCAAATTTAGACGGCGATCGTGTAGCTCTAGTCTCTAATCCAATTCGTCATCATTATAACAGTTGTATATCACGTTGGTTTCGTGTATTTCTACTTATGAGTTACTTGTGTTTGAAATCGGCTTATACATTTGGAGTGACGCTAACAGCCTTAGCAATTATTATTCGTTATATGACATGGTAAGTGTAGTGTTCGATTTGATAATTTGGTTAGTTTTTAGGACTTTGTCGTTAGATTTCATTACTGACTAGCTTCAACTTGAGAATTATTAAAAGCAAGATCTGGGACCTCTCAGGAGTTTATACTTGTAAACCCATTCAGAATTGAACTCAAAACAGTAATATTTCAGGCAGTCACGATATCTTTATATGAATAAGTCGAAAACACTATTCCACTACACAATGAGTAAAATGTTTAGATACCATTCAAGATTTACTAATAAAATTTGGTTCTGTCTACGATGATATCGATAGTATGGAGTAAGGTTATCTAGAGTTATCACCTTTAGCCACCCATCTAATCGACTACAGTCATTGAGCTTCTTACCACGCTCATGATTCACATTTTTGAGATAGTTTGATTTTATTGCTACTTCACCCATCACATACAAGGATGTGAAGTCACTCATCGAGTTCAGCACATGTACAAATAACTCAAGTTTGTCTGAGTTTGCTTCATGACTGAAAATTCACGTGTAAGCATTGCTCGATTGTATACTACATCGTAGACTATGTAAGATATGTAGATATGTCGTCTGGATCATTTATAAAATAATTTTGCAGTTGTCTATCAATCATTCTATATTTTTTCATAGATAATGCTAGTTATCAACTTCTCTTGCTTCACATAAATTGTCAGGAAACCTATATAATCAGCTTAATTATTTAACTAAATCCACTATTGAATTAAGTGTATAAAGAACAATCTTAGTAGTATCATACATTTATAAGAATGGATCATTGGAATTAAGAATTAGATTTTGATTACTCTATGTATTATATTATGTTTATCTTGTTGTAAATTGAAGGACTTTTAAACAGTTTTTCATTTAATACAAAATTATATTACAGATAGATAGGATTAGCCAAAGATTGATAGATTTACCCTTATGTTATTTTCAATATGAACTGAGCATCTTGAAGTTGTTTAGCTGTGTTAACTGTGTTAGTGGTTAGTAGTGTAATCTTGAATGTACGTTTTGTCCTATATGGGACTTGTCATCCGGATGTATCTTTGCTTCAATGTTATGATTCACACTGAACTAATAACTGAGTTTAATTTTTCGTTTTTTAACACTTATTTTATTTGAAATATACTTAGTCATTCACAAAATTTCTTTTCTCTTTTTTAACATTAAAATTATTTTAAGTGAATATGCTAATAAATTAGGTAATTTGCCTGAATGGAATAGTTTAAATGATCAATCTGGTCAAATAATGGGTACAAGTTTGACAAGACAAAAATTATTACAAGATGCTATGGATATTCATTTGAAAAACGAATTAATTAGACAGCAAACAGAAGTCAAACGGTTGCGCAATATCTGTGATCGTAGTGTTGAAGCTATGTTTGAACAAATGAATAAAGTATGCACATTATTATCACAGCTATTAATATTACTATTATTATGAATCGTATCAATATTTTACATTTATCTCCATAGATAAATCAGACAGTCAATAGTTTATTACACATTTAATACACAGATTCCATCCATTCAGTGCTGATGTTATGAGGGCGTCTATATATCAAAATGTAAATGTAAATTGAACCAATCGTTTATACACTAAATCTCACAGTCAATCATCTTCATGCCCATGCATACATAAACAGACTAGAATTATAAATTCATTTTGTATTGTTTGTTTGCAATTAATCAGTCTCTTATTGGTATATGTGCATCTTGCGCGGATTGCATCGATATTGCTTTAAGTCTCAAGCTTTATAAGCAAAGATGGATGGTGGCTAGCAGTGGAATCCAGGACGAGCGTTTCGTTCTATCTAGGACACGTCAGCTGGATCTCCCTGCATCCCAAAGTTGGTGTTCACTCTGGGACTCGAACCCAGTACCTTTTGAAGCGAACGGTACTGGACAATCCGCACAGGATGCATATATACCAATAAGAGACTGATTAATTGCAGTCATAAACAAACAAACAATACAAAATGAATCTACACTTCACTCTATCGCACAAGCTAGTGGCGATCATGACTCAACGCTAAGTGGGTAACATGATGAAATTTAACGTGAACGGTATTGGATTCGAATCCCAGAGTGAACGTCAACTCGGATGGAGGTAAATCTAGCTGACGATTCCTAATTGGAACGAAACGCTCACCTTGTGTTCCACTACTTGTCGCCATTTATCTTTCATATAGGACTAGAATTATATTGTGTACAAACATACTTGACCCTAAATAATAAGGATATTGAAGTATTTAGTTTCGGTTAGATATTTTTATTGATTCTATGACCCGATTCATTTTCTAATATTTAAACGTCAACTAACTTATAGAATTTCTTTATTGTCTTGAACAGTTTTTATGAAATTTGTGATGAAATAACCCATTTAATTTTTGCACACTTATACTAAATTTGCAAATTTCTATTATAAATAAATTACTCAAGAGAGACATAGTGTAATATTTAATTAATGAATTCAATGCCTTCTGATTTTATCGAACTTCAGTAACTTATTGATAATTCAAAACATCAATGAAAAGGTATTGAAAGAGTTTACTAATTGTCTTCAAGATCTAATACGAAAAAGTATTGTTTCATTTGTGTCATATGATTCACTGAAACTACTCATTTTATTTAAATTCATCGGACTGATAGTTATAAATAATGATTTATCGTATTATATTAATATTCTAACATATTCATAGTGTTAGTTTGAAGTTTCCTTTGTTAATATTGGATATTTATGAGCATTTTTTTCTATACAGCGTTTAGATTCTATATCAAGTTTATCAGCATCGAGACGTAGTCGAGTACTTCTATCTCAAGCAGTAGCTGAATTAGCACGAGCTACTGCCACAGCATCTGCTTTACAATTAGCTGAAGGTTTAATTGCATTTAATGAAACTGCTGAATGGGCTATGAATCGTCTTCAAGCAGATTTAGTCGAAACTGAAAGAGCATTAGGAAATTCAGATTGGCTTACAGGTAAGTGTTTAGTAATTTTTTATTTTTTATTATTTTAAAGTTGTATATGTATAGACGAATGAATAAATTATTAACCAAATAAGAAATGATGATGATATTTATTAGGGTTGATATATTAAGTTACTTATTAGTTCCTTACACCCAATCAATAATCGATAATATATTATATGGTCTGAGTTGCATAATAAGATTTAAATGTTATATGAGTAGTAGTGAGAAAGAAGTGAAGAAAAAACTGTCGAGAACACAGTTACAAAGTGAATAATTCAGAGATTTTGTAAAAAGACATATATCTAAACCTTAAAATAGTAGAGAAGAAGTTAAAGTAGGTAAGGAAATTATATACTAAAAATGAAATATCTAATTGTACTTTAAAGAGTCGATTTGATAGATCTGCACCGCTTTATATCTACATCTACTCCTCCATTAGTGTAATATGTATTTCATTGACATTATGTGTAATATCTATAAGTACTTGGAGAAGAGAAAAATTCTTTAAAAAGAAAGATTTATAACTTAAATGCTTAACTATTCTTACATTATATTCGTATGACTTCAAGAATGTCTTGTTTATATTTTGGAAATGTCACAAAAAAGTTTAATTTACTCATAGTAATTATCTCGATATTTAATTTCTCTTTGATGAACTTTCCACTTTAAAAAAAGTCTGTTATAACTTGAATACCTAGAAATCAGAAGAAATAATATCTTTATAATGATAGTTGTGTTCTCGATCTGCAAAATCTACAATATATCTATCTAATGTTTGAAAATCGTTTTTAAGTAAATTCGTTACAAAAGCATCAAATAGTTTTGAAAGTGACAGGGGAGAGATAGCCTTTCTTTTCTCTGTTAATAAACTCTTTAGTCACAAGCTGCAAGTATCACCTTATGATTCTAATCCACTGACAACCGAATCATGGCATAGAATTGTCAATTAGCTTAATAGTAATCAATAACTGAACTCTACTACCTAAACACAGAGTACCTTGGTAAGCGAAAGTTCGTGTTCTTTACAAAGTACTGTGCCTATTTCGAGTACTTTTTATTCTTAAAACGTATTTCGTAAAGAAACCATTTATGCTTCAATCGGTTCAGCTTATGTTTCATTTTGGTAGGTTTTCAAGAGGTTAATAAATCCAATTGACCTCAGTTTTACAGTGCTTAGTTTTAATGCTGCTCATCCACACACTGCCCTTTTATATTAAAACAGTAACTTTCGTTTCATTGGGTAGTATAATACACAGCTGGAGAGATGGGGTGTGAAAAATCATTTAAAAAATGGTGGATTTTCCTACCACCTTAAAAATCTATCACACTTGGACCAATGATTGTCGATAAGTTTCTCGTCCATCGACATTATCATACAATAAAACCGCTATATGTTAAATTGTACATCCCCCACTAATATTGTGAGGTAATGATTAATAATATATTTAAGAATATAGAGGTTCGATTTAATGTAAATTAGTTGCCTGGTACATCCTTTTGCTCCCAAAAAGTTATTTCATTGGTTGAATCCAATGGGCGAGATTGCATGATAACTACTCCATACCCGAATTGGTCACTAGTGGGCAGATGATAATCTTGAGTATTGGGTTGTGGAGATTGTAGTAATTTTAATGGTTATATTCATGAGTCGAATAGAGACATTTAGCCACTTCAGACAATGGATGAAAGGTTGTACAAGATCATGGATTGGTTGTATGCCGACTCAGTGCTCTAGTAGGTTAAGCGCGCGAGAGAGAGAGACTGGATGCCCTGGGTTCGGATCTCGCTGGCAGGATCGTGGATACACACTGCTGAGGAGTCCCACGACAGGACGAAAGGGCCGTTCAGTGCTTCTAGGTTTTCAATGGTGGTCTAACACCAGTAGGTTCAAGATCTCGATCAATAAAGTAATTTTAATAGTTGAATTCATGAATCTACCTAAGCTAGACCACCAGTGCGAATCCAAAAGCACTGGATGACCATTCCGTCCAGGTATGGGACTCCTCAGTAGTGCGCACCCACTATCCTGAACTCGGGACTCGAACCCAGCACCCTCGGTCTTGCGCACGAACTCTTGACCTCTAGACCACTGAGTCAACATCCGATGGTGTTAATATCTAACCTCAACCAATTACTACAATTTCCACAAACCCTCATTTTGATGATTTCCATGACCCCAAACGAAATCCAATGGAGCCCATTCAGTTGTGATTGTGATTTTTGCATTTGAAAATCATTTGATCAATAAAATTGTCGAAGTTCCAACAACAGTTTAGAATGATAACTTTTTTCAAGTTACTTTAGAACGACCACTAATGAATAAAAGTAATTAGAGGAGTTTAAGTTAGCCAATGTTATACAAAGTTTATATGAATACTCCAACCCCTGATTATGATATGTATAACACATAACAACTAAACATGAAAATGTAATTGGATACTTGTTAAGCGACGTTTAAGCAGATCTAAAGATTCACCTTTTAATCTAATTAAAGTGAATAAAATTACAACGATGGCTTTATCTTGTCCATGGATAATCAATTGATAGATGCAGGAATGCAGAATCCTGTCTTTGACAGGGATAGAACTGTTTATTCTTTTGTTTTGATTATTCTTCTGAAGATATTCAAAGCAGTTTGTGTTGGATTAAACCTTGAAATTATTTAAATTGCAACTTATGAGATTATTTCAAACATAATTCCAACACAATGTTTACCATAACTTTAATAACATGTATTGGTATTAGTTAACTAGATGTTTACATAACACTATTCTATTTTTATCTTATACCTTATGTTTTCTTTAAATTATAGGTGCTCGTATTATCTACTCCGAAGTAGTTCGTCTACGAGCACTTACACCAGATCCAAATGATCCAACACGTTCATTTTTAGCATGGACTAAATTAATTTCAGCAGAAACTAATTTCAATAACATTAAAGGACCCCAACTTTCATTACCTGTTAATTTACCATCATTAGAACCGGAACAATTTGTTATACCAACACCTACAATAAAACGCAGTCAAGCGACTCATGGAAAATTATCTAGTTCCGACGAACCGGAATATGGACCAGTTTATGTTCCATTTGTATCTCAACTGTTAGATGTTGTAAGCGTTTATGTTATGAATATGTTATTGTATTCAAAGATTTCGGGATCAAATATTATCTTCTGTTTTGATATTAGAGGCTATCTCTTCTTAGAACTTGGGACAAATTTCTCTAAAACTAATCATTTGTCAACTGGACGATTACGGGTTTTTATTTTTTACTTTATACTTTAACAAATTAGCCGTAAAAACGTTTTGCTTTTTGCATAATGTGCTGAATTAATCCGAATTTAGAGACCGTTATGTATTTACTGTATATTATTGGTATAGAGGCTTGGTGAAGATTGCTGGATGTTATTGGGATGACGAACGGACTTAAGTTAGACAACTACTGGAAGCCAGAAAGCAATAGATAGCTATTTCACCTCAGTATGGCACTTTTCAGTACTGAACATTAGTGACCTCACTGAGGATCGAACCGGGACACTCCGGTTAAAACTTATATTTAGGCAACTGCTCCGGCCTAAATTTTTTGGGTTCGATCTTGAGTTGAGTAGTTGGTGTGCACCACTAGGAAGTCCCACATTAGCACGAAATAACTATCCATTACTTGCTGGTTTTCAACGACTGTCTATCTCGTCCTGGCTCGAACTCTGAAGCCTTTGTTTTTAGTAAAGTTTGCAAGTTATAACCGTTTTCATATATTTTGATGAACTGATACCTTTAAGTAAACAATAGATGAACAAAGATAATTAAGTGCATGGATAATATCAGCTATTCTCATTATATATTTCGTTGAAATCTCACTATTTGTCCTTGAACTGACTGGATAGGTTTTTTAATTTTTACCTGATAAATGGACAAATAATTCAACAGGAATAGTGAGGAAGTGGTATGAAAAATAAGGATTTGAAGCATTAAAATAACTAGTGGTTTGTGACTTATCTGCTAATGTGTTTACTCTGTTCATGTCGATGTTCATTCATTTGTATATATCCGTACAATGATTACACAGTCAACTAAGAAATTAAAGGAAGAAGTTCGCATAATCGTTGATCGTTTGTGTTCTTCTTGTGATTTTTGAAAATTTTATTTCTCTAGATTGGAACGAACTAAAAATGGTGAATAACTGCAATCAGTCTACATATTTTTTAGTGCCTTCAGAATGTAAGACGGGGTTTATATGTATAACATTCCATTGGTATGCTAAGTTGATCAGTTATAATATTATTTCTAGTCAATATGAAATTTAATATCAGTACTTAAGTGCTTGTAAATCGTATAGAAATGCATACACAGTTATGACAATTATTGACAGTTAAGCTATTACGCGTAATAGACCGAAACTATGTATGTTAACCAATAATAATAAGTCCTAAGATGTTTTTGAAGGGTGTGTATTCTATGCTGTTTTGGAATGGACGAAATAGCTCTTCAGTAACTCCTGATTTTTAGTAGTGAAGGAAGGTGTTTACAGATTGTTTTGTTTACATCGATCTAATCAGTTTATCGCTAATCTATACTTTCTGGATTATTTAGGAGACAAGTGGGGAATTCTGGTCACCGTATCATGTTGAAAATTCCTTATCAGATGTAGGTGGAGTCAATGATTTATCAGATAAATCAAGAAATAACGACGTGAACTCACTGGAAATAAAAGATTCAAATGAAACTACAAATACCGCCACTGCTATCACTGCCAGTAATGATGATGATAGGGATAGTGGTGATTTATCAAAATCGACCAATGAAGGGAATTGGATATTTTCAGATTTTGATTTAAATTGGGTGCATATTTTAGGCGTGGCTTTATTTTTGGATGCATTATGGCTTATTCACAGAGTACTACACACTGTAGATACTGCTGAACGTATATTATACGGTGATGTTGTATTCATTGACCTTACTGAAGAAGGTATCTGAATTTGTTTTTGGTTGTTTTCATTCAAATTTCATGCATATATGAATTTTATAAGTGTTTTTATTATCATTGGAACTCCAATTGTAATTGTAAGTCGTTATCTATGGAATCGACCAAGTTAGGAGTGTACAAGTAACTTGATAATATGCAAGGTGAGGATGCTGTCATAATGACTGACTGAAATTGAATATGTGGATCACCAGATTGTGATTCCATGAGAGAAATGCTCTTCATGACACATAAACACCTTGAGTTTTATCATATATAGTGTTGCAGAAGCGGACATTGATAAACTGGGACAGAGTAGCTGTCAAGTGTTATCTGTATAAAATATTGATAACTGTTAGTTTGAGGTTGTGGAGGCTGTTGAACTTCATAAAAATATTAAACTCATCTAAGTTAGAACACAATTGAAAACCTGAAAATACTTAACAGGGTTTCGTTCTAGTATGGATTCCTTTTCAGTTGGAACCCACGACTCTGCATATGGCACTTGGACTTAGAGTTTTCAGTCGGCTGAGGCAATTACTCACCAAAGGGAATGGAAGATGGTCGAGCAATGTCGTGGATTGATTGAAGTTTATGAGTTTTTCTTGACGAGAGCTACGAGTTTAATAAGAGCGCATGACTACTCCATAATGTGAATCAATTACCTATATTACAATTAATGTTTATTCTGATTGATTGTTTTTGAGAAAAGTATCAAACATCTCAAAATAACTGTTGAAAATAATCAAGCATCACTAATTGAATCAAGTTTATTTGTGTATTATCTTATGCTATGATCATGATAAAACGTATACTTTCTTTAAAGTATTATTCCATTTCATTGAATTTTTAGGTCTTAGACGTCGAATGAGAGAAAGAAACAAACTACAAAAAGGGTTTAAACATGCGTTTCAAACAGTAAGTATTAAATTTGTTGATCTTCTGTTATATGCTTGAAATATTTACTATTAATAAAGTGATGTTTGATATAAAATTAGCTAGCCCTCTCCGGGCAAATCCCATAACTCATAATTTTTCATTTAGCTGATTGTGTATTTTATAACTACAATAAAAAAATTGTTCAATACACCATTGGACTTAGTATCTTAGGGTTGATAACTATCATCATTATTTGTAGTAATAGTATCACAGGCACGTTATTAATTCATGTATGGAGTCCATTTTTAATGACTAAACGACTGAGTACTTACTACAAAACTTAAAAATTCTGAATTCCCTTTAAGTAGGAAGTTACCGTACGTTGTTGTTCAATTTGAGAGTATATATATAATTGAAACTTGGTTACGGACACACCGTAGAGTTGAATTTCAAAGAATGACGTCTTTTAACAGTTATTTATCATTTTTTTCATAGAAGCTTTAAAAACAATCACATTTGTTTTCAGTTGATCATACATAACTTTTACAGTATTATTCCCAGTTATTTCAGGATAATGATTACCACAATTTTCATTGTTGTATGAATTACTTGATGAGTTATTCTGAAAGTAATTAAAATATTTCAGTTATGGTATATTTTGGAAAGCAGGTAATAGTACAGTCTATAATCCATGTTTAATCCCACGTGGGTTATCTGTAGCCTAATAAAGTCTTACGTAATATAATAAAATTCATCTCATTATGTCAATAAATAATAGACTGTTTTTTGAGTACCGTTTTGCACAACACGTTTTTCTCATTCCTCAAACACTTTACTCAGAAAAATATTAATTTGAAATTACCGATAAATTAATTTACAATCTAGAATATTATAAGAATTTGATATACTGGTATTTTACTTAGATGGACACCTTAAAAAAAAGAGTAATACAATACAACGTAGTTGTAGCGATTAACACATATACTACTCATAATTTGCACTAATGAAGATAATCGCATATGTTTGAGCCATTTATAAATACTTCCCTATTCATAATGGGCATTCTAAGCAATAACTACTGATAATAATGCGTAATAATCTCAATTGTAAAACTTTCTATTTGTTAAACATAGTACACTAAGTATGCGTGTTTCCCTGGTTATATATGTACATTTATTATTTTATCGAGATCACTTTTCTATTTTATTAATACATTTAATTTTTGTTTTCATATTTTCCTTTACCTTCCTGATTGTTCGGCAACCTTGTTGTGATAAGTACAATTCTGTACATTTTTTTTCTGTCTTTCAATAAACTACTTTATTTGTTGAATTACTTTAAATATAATTATACAGCTTTGATCCCTAGGAGTACGAAACATTTTTTCGCTGAACATTTAATTCTTCTTCAGTGACACTTTTCTTTTTTTAATTCAACCTATTGAAAGTTATCAGCGTTTTTCAAAAATTCACTGAATATATCCAGTTCATATTTTCTAACATTCGCATTATATATATATATATATATATATATATATATATATATATATATATATATATATATATATATATATATATATATATATCATAATGTTTCATTCCTATTTAAAAAAACTACATCATATTTATAATGGAATGGAATTTAACCACATACTTCTTATTATATCCAAATTGTCAACTTTTCATTACATTTGTTGAGTGAGGAATATGATAATGTGAGTGTAAATATATCTTCAACCCGATTTTAAGGGAAATTTTAGATTAATTTTCATATACTTATGAAAAATGAATGAGTTTTATCATTTGATGAATATAATGTTAATCCTCAATATATAATGTAATTTTATCCTCAACAAACAATAAATTTCCAATAAACTTGTTGAAATTCGGACAAAATATTATGGAGTATCAAATGAATCCAGATTATATGATTAGTATAAAGAGTTTGGTAATATAAGATGCATAGATCATCAACAATTCACAACCACTAAATGTGTTATGAAATTTCGGACATAGTAGTAATGAAGAAACCAGCAAAAAAAAGACAAAAGTTGGAATAAAATCAATAAAAATTGAGAAATTCGGTTCGTAAAAGGTGGAAGAGTGAATTTACGAAAAAAGCCAAGTGTTAATGGCATAGGTGACTATGATTTGTACAGTTTCATGTTTTATTTGGTAGCATGAACTCATTCCATAAAAGTTTATATTAAATTTTATACTACTTTCAAGTAGAATTAGATGTTCAATAAAATTTCACATCAGTCATATTTGAAGCTAAGAGAAAATTTAATTTATATAATCTCGACGGCTTTTGAAAGGACATTCATAATGGCCGTCGTTTTAATAATGCTTTGTTTTGACATACGAGAATTCACTAGATAGATCGCTATTAAATATCTTGGGTTGTAATGAAGCGTTAAATGTTAAGTCAAGATTTTCATTTTACTTTTAAAATTTTTCTATTATGTTACAGATTATGCAGCCTAGTACAATCCGGAAATTATGTGCTAGTGTCATTGCACTTCTGATTGTAACTCAAGCTTCTGCACATTTAGACAGACTATTATCACAAGAGATGTTAGACTATATTGGATACTATGATAATTTGGTAAGTTCATCCATTTTGTTTTTCTATAACAGTATATCTTTAATGAGCAGATTTTTGTAAGTACATTTAGGGTCATCACGTCCATATTTATTATCAAAGTAATTGAGTTTGAGAAATTGTTTAATCTGATTTCACTTTATACCCTTAAACTAACGTAGTTGGAGATCAATGGAAAACTGGAATTAATTTATAAGATTTAATTATCACTTGAAATTTATCTACAAAAGAAATTGAACATCTGCTCAAACGAAAGCAGAATCCCAAGTTTCGCTGTCTATAAAGAACAATGGAGGCAAAACATTTTAGCTGAGTTAAATCATGATAAAGACCTGTTGTCTCAATTTTTCAAAGGGTATTTCTTTACAAGATTGGTCTATGTGCCATAGTTTCTTATTCGAAACTTCTAGAGTGTTATCTTTTATAAGATAGTCACTCATGATAGTAGGATTTGTGCTTTCTCATGATCTCATCATTTCCAGCTATTTTTAGTTTCAACATATTCACGGAGCAAACTGAAATTTGGTTCCTTATATTGTAAAAAGTTGTTTGAAATTGGGATGTAATAGTTCTGCAACACATTGTGATATGTTATAGTTTTTGAGGTTATTTTATTGATTTCTAACTAACACTGAAAGTCATAACACGTAATTGGTCGTATTTTGACTGGCCAATAAAATAGGCGTGCATTTAGATGCTGCTGTTCACACTAGAACTTGTAACTACTTGTTTTATGAGCTTTACCACTTCTTCAAAATTTTCTACCATCAAACAATTTTTCAGGTAATATCAAACTTCGCAAACGGGAAATAATCACCATGTGTCAAGAAAAACAACAAGCAAACTGCACCCTTAACTATCAACTAAGAATTTATTATTTTATTGGTTAGAGTATATGAGTATCTGAATTTAGTTGTTCTCAAATCTTGCGATAATGAGCAGATGTAATATGATTATAGTCAGCATCCATACGATTTCTTTCAGGCTTTATTTTAAACTAAACCCTTAGTTTGTTTATTTATCATTTCACTAAATCGTTAATCAAGATGAAGTATTTGAACAAACTGACGTGTTGGAAATCTATTCCTTTGCAGGTTATCTGGAGCTTTCACATGAGAAATGTTATGAAAGTTAACTAATCATAGTACTTTAATAGAATTCAATAAGCTATTTTCTTAAGTAGTTTTAAAAGTTGCATTCTTCTAGTTGTTCATACAATATTTTAACAAATAATACTCTTTTTATATAGTTTCATCATTGGATTCTTTAAGTATTTATTGTTTCGGCCTTATTTAGGTTCTTCCTGTTCATTTACATGCTCGTCTTGTAAATGTCCATGTGACACGTTCAGCTCAACGTTTGAATCAATATGAATTAACAAGTTTAGAATCAGAAGTTAGTCGTCGATCAAGAGAAACACAATTCTTACTCCATCAATGGACTCTTTGGTTAAATGATGTTGAGCAAGAACAATGTCGTTTACTACTGGCATATAAAGTATGTGAATGTACTAACCGGTGGATTTGCTTAAATATCTAGACTCATTATTTGATAGATATTTGAAAAAATTTACAGATTTTAAATTTCTTCTGAAATGACTGGCTCAGTAGTCTAAAGGTAAAGCGTTCTTGCGAGACCGAATGTTCTGAGTCAGGGTCCTGCATGTGGAGTCATGGATGCCCACTGCTAAGGAGATTCATGATAGGACGAAACGGCCATCCAGTGCTTCTAGGTTTTCAATGATAATCAAACATTGATTGACTCATGATCTCAATAAAAAAAGAAATAACAGTTAATCTCTAGTGTTTCAAATTCTGTTGATAAAAGAAAACTGTAGGAATTTATCGAAATTGTTCACATTTTGTGGTGATGATTTCTTATTGCTAGCAAACATTGTAGTGAATAATGTCATTACCACCGGTAAAATTACTTTGCATTTTTCTGCCTTGAAGTTTTAAAGTAACGTTTAGACAAATTGTTAACTGTCTTATTGCACTCAAAAGACTTCACTAATAACTATTTGCACAACACCTTTATAGGATTTTTAGAGAACGAATAAAATACCGTTACAAACTCTCGTATGTCTTCACAGGTGATCTATGAATTTATTTAAGTATATGTGAAGTAATCTCGTAATCAGTGTTATTGATTCTTTTCATATATCAAAGATATTCTACGTGGTAGGGTTTCTACTTTTGACTTCTTAACCTATCAATATTTCTATGGTATCATTATGACAGAACACCGATTCATTCTCAGCCATTTGAATTAACTTTGTAAATAGTTTTAATTTCCAGTATACTTAAAATGGATTTCGGTTTTTGCCACATTAAACAGTGTAGACAATAACAAGTCTATAGTTTAAGATTAAATTTTCCATGGTTTTATTCTTCATTTTCATTCAGCTTATTTCAGCTTTTGATTATTCACCTATATCACATTATAATTAATGAACATTGAATTCTCATAGTTTTATTGTATAACTAAAAGTATTCTGACTGTAAAGTGACCTCCTGAAAAACATTTAAGATAAAACTGATCAATCATGATTTGTAGCCTTAATTTAAAAGGAAATAAAACGATTTAATAGTTGAATTCATGAGTCGATTGAAGCTAGACCACCATGGAAAACCTGGAAGCACTACACGGCCGTTTCGTCCTAGTATGCGAATCCTCAGCAGTGCGCATCCACGATCCCGTCCCGCGAGATTCGAACCCATGACATATAGGTCTCGCGCGCGAGCGCTTAACCACTAGACCACTAAACTGGCCGACATCTAACGGTGTTAATGTCTAACTTCAACTAATCTAGTGCTTCCAGGTTTACAATGGTGGTCTAGCTTCAATTAACTCATGAATTCAACTATTAAATTACTATCATATCCACAAGACCCCTCTCTGATTAAAAATAAAATGGTTAAAAATCATTAAACGATCCCACGTTGATATGTTTGGGGTTAAACGTAAAAAGCCAAAGATTCGATATCGAAAATTCCATGAGAATTGGTTTGAACATTCAACCTAATGGTTATAATATAAATAATTCTAGTTAATAAAGAAGTAATATTAAACAAAAAATGAACTCATATATAAATTAAAATGATTAACGAAATTCGATAAACGTTTTTAGGTATTAATATCAAGGTTTGACTTGATAATTTGTTCATCGAGTAGATAGTTAATGATATATGCGTGACGTTAAATTCCTACCCATTGGGATATCATGAATATAAAATAAGAAAGATTAATTCAGTGAAGAGTTCTCTTCTTACTAAATTCATTTTCAAAGCTGTACAGTCGTAAATATATACTTATTTTTCAAAATGATAATAACAACAATCATAGTAATTATAAAATTCTATTAAACATGGTAATAGTGAGGTAGAATAAACAAAGGCATTAAAAAGTTATTTTTATCAGGAAAAATAATAATAGCTTTGTTGTTGTAGGCTTGAATATTTATCATGAAGATGGATAGGGGAATTATAATTTGAAAATGAAGACTCAGCATGATAAAATCAAATGTTGAAATTGAATGAACTGTAATCAGGAGGATCATGGAAACAGAAAGGAAACCAGTTAGGGGTAAGAGATAGATGGGAAACAGATAGCTATGAAGAAAGAAAAGTATGAAGAAGAAAGTAAAGTACGAGAGACTAAGACCATGACAGATGAAGAGGATGTACCAGTTTCTTTAGGAAACAAATCTGGTTTTTCCATATGTATAGGTAGTGCTTCGGTAGTGTTAAGTGGATGAAGTATAACTGCCTTTGGCAGCGTTCTAATTACCTTGTAGATGACTTTGAACGTAGAGTCTGCTTTGAATGAGTGACCTGTGTTCACGAGGTGTTCGATTATTGAGCCGCTTCCACCTCTTTTTAGCCAAGTCGAATAATCTTTTGAATTCTTTTGGATAAAGTACGCATCGAACGACCTATATACGTGGTTCCATAAGAACAGGTAAATTAATATATGCACATACCGTTGGTCGAATAAGATAATTTTTGAACATTGGTTAATGTAGTAAAGTTGCTGCGAAGAACGTTCTTTTGAAAGAATCACGTCTTTAGTACGTCTGCAACTAAATCACCTTTGAAATCGATGGTCATGTAAAGTGTTTTCTTTCCCACTGAGACTATTTATCCCTGAAGTAGTTTGAGCCAGATATTCTAGTCCATAAATATCGAAGGATACCCGTTTTGATAAATATTTTATTAAAGAGGCTCAGGTCGTTATCTATCACCTTTGGGGCTACAAATTCTTCGTATTTGCGTAGTGTGGGATATGATTAAGTTTCTCTTTAGACTAATGAGAACCCAGCTGTGGAAACTCAACAGTTGGCCATTCCACAAGGTTTTCCTGCAGTTAAATTTATCTTAAAATTCCACCATGTTTTCTTGTCAATTCAACATCAAGAAAATGAATACTTTGTTTGTAATTATTATCACTTACAAAAATAAATATATATTTGCAATTGTACAGATTTGAAAATGGATTCACAAAAACAGAACTCTTCGTTGAATTAATCTCTCTTAGATTATGTCTCAATGGGTATATCACCCATAATATATATATATATATATCGATGATTGTTTATTAATTTCTGCATACATATGACTATGTGGAATTGTGAAAAATTCAAAATACCTAAATGAGTTTATAACTGAATACTTTTCCAACAAAAAACAAACAAGGTTTTGTAGTATATAATTTATTACTTTTTAAAACTAACGTTATTTATATTCGGAAAAAATATTTATTATTGTTATTAGCCTATTATTTGACAATAATAATAATAATAAGGATATTTGCGACTTATTTCAGTTGACGGAGTACATTGTCTGAAAGCTAAGGATATTTAATGATTTTTCATTTTACTTAATTCATTCTTGAAACAAATTGTTGCACTAAATTTACTTGGTGTTGTTTTACATGTATCTTCCCATTGTTATTTAGGAATGCAGTTCATCAGTCTCATGTTGGCATATGTGCATCCTGTTCAGATTGCCTCAATATAGCCTTAATTCACAATTGCAGTCCTAAATAACAATGGGAAGATACAAGTAAAACAACACCAAGTGAATTTAAAATTCACCCCACTGCACAATTAGGTGGCTATCAGGACTCAGTAGTTAAGTGGATAACGCTATGGCGTTGGAAGCGGACAGTACTGGGTTCGAGTACCAGAGTGAACAGAACTCGGGGATGAAGGTACATTCAGCAGACGAGTCCCAAATAAGACGAAACGCGCGTCCTAGATTACAGATTGTTGTACTGTTATTTGATATATCATGTATTACTTCCAAGAAATGTACAGATATAAACGTGAAGTGAATCGTAATTCGTTGACAGTACTCAATAATAGAAATGTGTAGCATACACAGTTGAGATCATCCATACATTGATATAAAAATGCTTAAAAATCGAATGAAGTAGTAATCCTTCTATTTTTTTATTTAATATCCCATTTGATGTTGTAAAGAATTATTTATGAAGGATTCGAGTGTTATGAATATTCAATCTCTTTATTTCTTCCTCTCATTATTATATTTATAGAAAATATCTTAGTGTCCATTTTGTTCCAAGTTTGTTTAGAAGCGAAGCGTTTTATTAGATTTTCCATTAGAAAGAAGCTTATTTCAAGGTTAAAGAGTGATATTCGTATTTGGAAGTTTTCTTTTGACACAATTATTCTTATGCTGACATCAATCACTTTTGCTGGTGATATATGACTGTTTTAAAATTACATACATTATGACTTAGAATCTCTAAGACCCTATGATCACTTATCTCTTGTAAGTTGCAAAGTAAACTTATCAGGTCCACTTAAACAAAGAGAGTATTTTCCATTAATAACATTGATAATATAAAAACATTCCATTTTTCTTTTTATAGGCTGCTGCTCAAAATTTACGAACTAAAATGTTAGCACAATTAAATCGTAACTCAGCATTAGCTAAATTAAATCTTCCTATTCATATGATAAATAAAGAAAAACAACCATCAACTTCTGATTGGAATCATCATTCTTCATTTACACTCGATGATATTAAAAGACATAATGAATATTCAGTTGCAGATGCTATAGTACCAAAACACTGTCGTATGACACAATCTGAACGTGATATAGAATTAGCGGAAGCTCGTCGACTCGATATACCTTACTGTCCATTGAAACCGATTGTCCCAAAATTGTTTAAAGAGTAAGTTTAGTAAAATTTGTTTTATATCTGGTTTGCGTAGATATATCAATATTCCCCTTCTGATCTAATTACCTGTTTTCATAACACCATGTATAAATAGGCTTAATGTTGTCCTTACAATGAAACGTATCATTTTCATTTTCTGTCTCAAAACTATAAGAAAGTCCAGAAATACAGAAAATCACCTTCATGTAGATTGTCAGAGATGGGTAAGTGACGTCCATATGAATGACTTATAACTCATTCATCAGAAGATATATAATAGATTTTTTCATTCATCAAGAGCAACTTACCTAATTTTGGAACGTTTCAATGCTTGTAACCATTGTCTTCCTTTTAATTTATTACAATCTCATCAATATCATTGAACATATTTATTTTAAGCGAATTTCAAATGACATTATAATACGAATATTTTCGCATGCACAATATGATATTTGGGATTATTAGAAATCATTTTTTTGTGATGTTACTGTTATATCCTAATAAAGATTAGATTATAGGTAACTTCTGAGAACTATTAACAGACCTTATATATATATATATATATATATATATATATATATATATATATATATATATATATATTCTTATTGTATAACTATTCAGTAACTGGATTATGCATATCTATATTCCTCTTATTATAAGCTTTATTTTGACCTATAAACTATTATGATACGATTTACTATTCTTAAATTATACTCTGTTTATTAATTACAGTCCCTCACGTTTATAGCTAAATTTCGGCTTGATATTGAACAAATGTTATTTCCTATTTTATGGTGTGATGTATATAAACCAGGTATATTTGAAGTATATGATTCGCATAGTGGAATCTGGTTTTAGTGTTCTGGACTCAACTGTAAAGGCTGGGAGAACAAAGGACCACTAAAGACACTAGACCTGTTCATACCGGTCGAACGTCATTGGTTTGGCATAGTACTAAGATTGTATAAGTTGTATTTCGATTGGCGAATAAAACGTGATATTTAACCGGGTTAAAAGTCACAACAGTTACATATAAGTAATTAATCATAAATCAGATTTAATGTCATAATAAAATGAAAACGAGTTAAATTTAAATTGACTTTATTCATTTTGTATGTTTTATTAATGATTCAAGCTCCAAACAAATAATACCAAGTAATTAAGTTACCGTAATTTGATGTACAATAATTCAGAATGGATTGTTTAAAAGAAAATAATTCAATAAATAAATGAACTGGATACATTGAATTTTGTGAAAATAGATCTGATCGTAAATTGCAGGATTTACATTATTTCACATTTGGTTAATATTATGCGATCAATACTCAAACATAACATTTTATCATATATATTTTAAAGATAGTCTTATTTTAAGTCAATTATTTTCGTAAACCATAGACGGATATTAGCTAGATGATTGTCAGGTAATGTTACAAACTGACTAAAATTGAAAATGTTAATCTCTGAGCACCAACTCAATGGTTGAAAAATAATTCACTTACTTGGAGGCTTGAATGTCTTAGATTTGATTTATGGAAGGAGTCTAGGTGAGTATTTCAAAGGAGTCTCATACTGGAACGAAGCAACTGTTCAGATTCCCTTGCCTAGGTGAAATTATTCCGTGATTTAAACTACCTTCAAATTCAAACGAAAAATATTCTTATTTAACTTCTCTATATTGTTGAACATTATGTCGACAGACATAAGTAGCATATACTACACATATATATGACTGTATTTATTTAATAGTCTATACAATATTATCAAAGCTATAGTTAACTGATAAGATAAAATATCACTTCCTAGGTAATAAGAGTTAACCCGCCATTTTTTTTCATTCAAGTGTATAAAGTTTTCAAGAGAACTTACCATTAAATCATTGAATTAACTGAAAAAAGCCAGTTAATAAAGTTCCAATTGGCATTGTTTACAGTTGAAACTTGTAAATACACAATATGATTACCGTTAATATGAACTTTGATTTATTAAAGTAAAATAATTTATTACTTTACAATGGATAGTAAAATTACCTGTTTATTTTTGATCGAGATCATGAACCGATTGATGTTAGACCACCACAATTGAAAACGTGGAAGCACTGGACGGCCGTTCCGTCCTATTGTGGGACTCCTCAGCAGTGCGCATCCACGATCCCGCTCGCGGGATACGAACCCAGGGCCTTCGGTCTCGCGCGCGAACGCTTAACCAAATGGACCACTGGGCCGGCATCCAATGGTGATAGTTTCTAACATCAACCAATCCACGAAATTGCGCGACCAACTTCCGTTGTACTGAGGTAGATACCTGTCTCTACCCGATAAGGATTAGCTCCACTGGTCACGGCTTCTCACTAGAACTCCGAGAATTCCCTCACGAAGCTAGTCACTAGTGAGCACATGTTGATTACTAGTATAGGGGTTGTGGAGATTATTAAGTTTTTGATTGAGATCATGAACCGATTGATGTTAGACCACCACAATTGAAAACGTGGAAGCACTGGACGGCCGTTTCGTCCTATTGGGGGACTCCTCAGCAGTGCGCATCCACGATCCCGCTCGCGGGATTACTAAGCTCGATGAATAAACACTCTTTGTGAAACACTAATACAAGTAATTTATTTGAAAAAAAAATAAATGAAATTAAAAATGTATTTACCTAATTATTATTATTATAATAATAATTATTATTATTATTATGGAACGTGGCGCCGTAAAGTTGATATTGGATACACAGACTCTTTCGTTATATGAAAACAAAGATGGAGAATGAAGAAGGTGGTTCATTTAATTAAACTAAATCCATTTTATATGGATCCATATATTTATATGTTCAACTGATACTAGTGAAATGAAATATATATTTTTTATATTTAACAATATCATTTATTTTACTTAAATATTATGATAAATAATTATTTACTTTATATTTTCTTCTTTTTTTATTCTTTATGATATATCTATATCTATATATAGTTATAATGCTTCATTATATTTTACTGAAGTTGTATTACAATCAGAGAATTGGTTATCTACAGCACGCGACTATTTAGGTCGTTTCTTATTTTGTGTATTTATTTATGTTAGTGCTATTGTTTTATGGAATACAATGGGTTCAGTTATATGGCTTATTTTAAATAGGTAAGTTTAATCAGTTATGTATATATCTATTTTGTCTTAACCATATTTATTACTAGTAATTTAATTGATTTTACTGGAATTTCTTCGATAATATTAATGAGTTGTCAGATGATACATAAAGAAATGATAAGGTCATATTTACTTTACAGGAATATATACATATATATTATTTATTTATTAGATAAAACTCCTACGTTCTTCGGTTTTGTTTATCGGTAGTAATGATGTTCTCCTTTTTAATAATAATAATAAAAGAAATGAATTATGGTTTAATGATGTAGCCTGAAAATTTCTGACAAATTATGTCGTTAAATATAGATACAGAAAAAAACTTTGGTCGATATGATTGTCTGATCCACATGGAATTAAATAAAACAATGACTTGATACTTTTTTTAGGCAGTGATGGATAGTGGCTAGCAATGGAATCCAGGACTCGTCAGTATGTACATATACCGATAAAAGACTGATCAATTGCAGTCTTAAAGCTCAATGGGAAGATACAAGGCAAATAATACCAAGTGAATTTAAATTCACCCCATTGCACAAGCGAGTGGCTATCAGAACTCAGTAACTAAGTGGATAACGCGATGGCGTTTGAAGCGAATGGTACTGGGTTCGAGTCCCAGAGTGAACATCAACTCTGAGATGCAGGTACATCCAGCAGTCGAGTCTCAAATAAGACAAAACGCGCGTCCTGAATTCCACTGCTAGCCACTATCCATCATTGCTTACAAAAAGCTTGTGAATTAAGGCAATATTGAGGCATACGCACAGTATGCACATATGCCGATAACAGACTGATCAATTGCAGTCTTAAAGCTCAATGGGAAGATACAAGCCAAATAATACCAAGTGAGTGAGTCGATACATTCAGTTCATTTCAAATTTTCTATGAAAGTGAGCAATTTTAGGCTACTAATGAAGTAATTATCTTTCTTATGAAAGATTTGTTTACTTCTAATAGACATAACGTTTTTATACAGCATGAGATATATTTTGGGGAATCAGACATCGGGTTACGTGTTCTCGGATTTAGGTAGTTTAATTGGAAACTTACATAGTAGTTATATTAAATATCAAAGCTTACTTCATGCAGAAATGAGCTGCTTAATTATTCTACAATGACTAAATAAGTCTGTTTTGATGACCTGTAAATCAATGGTTGTCTCGATAGACTTTGTCAATTTGATTCTTTTTCATTCTTGTTCATTTTGATCACATGATTATTTGATATTTTCTCCATAGATTGGTGGATACCATTCATTATTTTAAAATTAGATATCTGAACTTTATAGCTGCACAGACGATCACAAATCTTAAATCTACCCAGCTGACAAATAAGACTTTTGATAAAGCTTACTTTTTAGATCATTTTGTTTTTGTTGAAAAAAAACCTCAAAATTTGTTTTGGCTCTAAGATTTTGAGCCGTCATTTTTATGCGCTATATTTCACAAGATAACTTAATAACTGTGTATAAAAATGCTTTCACTTAAAACGGTGTTAAATCTTCTATAGTGAATACGTTTCACTGGTTTTTAAGCCTTGGAATAAGCTATGGATTTTATCTGTGGTAATCCAACCCCTTAAGTTCTTATCTCAAATTAGCTTTTACCACAGTGGCCATATTAGTTTCTTTACAACAACCTCTTTTAGTTTAAGTTTACTTCAGAATGATTTAAGGTTAAATATATGCAAAGAATAATTCATTATCCGTAGTTACTTGTGAAGTAATCTTTTAGAAATATACATTTTTTGATTTCCACATTAAAATAAGAATACATTTCAATTAAGTTTCCTTATATACGAATATTCGTCAAGATTAAAACAAATAGTTTGACAGAAATTTTGGGCATTGTATAGGGAAGTCATTATATGTGAAAATTATATTTGAAATAATATCAGTGATTCAAATTTAAATAATTCCAACGTTTCGTCCAGCTAACTTGTCTAGACTTCCTCAGGGTAATAATCAAAATCAACCTTGAAGAAGTCCAGACAAGTCAGTTGGACGAAACGTTGGAATTATTTAAATTTGAATCACTGAGATTATTTCAAATATAATTTTCACATATAATAAGTTTATTTTATTTTATTATTATTAAGTAACAATAAATGTTTAGTGCTTCATTCGGTTATTATACTTCAGTATTGAGATACAAGCTTTTTTTAGAAAACAATTCACTTGATTTTATTGTCATATGGTTCCAATTGAATCATCAATCAAAAGTCATAGTGATTTCATGTTTAATACTAATGATGGTAGACAGAAAATATCCAATCAAATCTTATGTTTCCATTTCATTGTACATAAAATTATACGAATAATATAGCCTACGGATTCTAACTTTAATTCATCCTTTATGAGCACACTATTAAGAATAAACATGCAGTATTCTGGGAGTGGTCGAACACATACTTTGTACATCAACATACGTGATTCGTTGTTATGTAGGTTTCGAATTATGCAACCCATAAGACGTTGTGATTTGGAGATCTGTTTCAATACCTGTTCTTTAAACGATAAATCGTAGGAGTATCTAAGTTCTAAGCCCACTACTGTATGTAACTTAGATAACACCTCACCATTTATGGTAAAATCCAAGTCGATTGATGTATTACCGAAACCTATCCATCCACATTTAGCCATGTTAAGCTCCAACTGCAATTTCGAGCACCAGATTGGGTACCACTGAAAACTAAGGAGTAGTATACAGTTGTTTTGTCTTATTATGGGACTCAATAGAAATGAGCACCCATGGCCAAAAATTTTCGTTATACGACTCAATCCGAAATTTTACCATTGTCTTCCGATTCAATGGTATTATTGGTCAGACGTTCGCCGTGAGACCCGAAGGGCTCAAACCCTCGTGTGGTTTTGAGTGCACCAATGATGAGTCCCACACTCGGACCAAAATACTGTTACTCTCTTTACTTCAATGTTTCTGTTTTTCTTTACTATGATGAACTCTCAACGTGTCACTTCCATCTCAAAATACAAGTGGAAATTAAAACGTATTGAAAAGAGAATTCAATTAGCTTGATATTTTATCTAATGATTCTGGTTTAATTCAATAATCATTAATAAAGAGTTTTGAACCAATCGAAAATATGTATACTATGGTTTTTCATTTTGAGTGATGTAAATATTTAGTAAAAAATCATCAAAATTTCGAATGAATATTTGATAAGATTAAAATAGTAACCATGTGCAATCAAAAATAATGTTCTTCACGTTTATAACTTATTACATGATACGATATTTTTGAAATTTTTACAATTTAATGCTTATTAAGAAATTATTTTTGATTTCAAGAATACTGCTTCTCTTTTGAATAGTATGAAACATGTTATATGAAAATAAAGTATAAAGTATACTTTCTAGATTTACTAATGTACTTTATTAGTTGAATAACATTTGATTATTATATATTAATTGTAGTTAATGAACACAAGTATATAATGTCTATATTTAATTTTTTTTTCTTTTCAATAGACTTAATCTTTTACCGCAAAAAGTATTATTCAAATCCGATGTTACTAGTTGGCAACCAATCGATGTACCACAACAATTGTGAATCTTAAAAGAAAAAAAAAACAGACCAAAACAGAAAAAAAAACGATGAAATCATTTTATTGTGATTATATTTCCATTTTCTTTGGTCATATTCACTTTTATCATAACATTACCCTATCCATTCTTTTTTCATATAATCAATGATTGAAACTTGTTATCAATCTAGGTGATTATTATTTAAATACAAAAAAAAATTTCAATATAAATGAACCGGTTAGTCGATACTAATTGTTTTGTTCTATGAATTGTAACCAAAATTAAACCTTTTGTTTTGTTTGTTTTTGTTGTAATAAAATTTTCCATGAATTTATTGTAAACGTGATTTCCTCTTTATTTCCATTTGTATACAGAAAATGTCATTGATTTTTTTTTTTTGAAAATAGTAAATATACTGATTTGTGTTGAATTTTCTAGTTACCCAGTGCTCTCTTTCTGTTATACTAATCTGTTAATTTGTATTGAGTTAACTTAACCATAATCAATTTATTTCTAGCAGTTGGCTTTCCGCCAATGATAAATATTTTTTTCAAGAAATAGAATAAACAAATGGGGCATTTATATGTTCTCATTTTTCTACTATATTTAAAAATTACTGTGTATGACAATCAATGTTAAAAATTAGTCTGGTATGTTTTCTTCAAAATCTAAATGATTTGTGTGTATGCCAATCGTTTTTTTTTAAACAAAGAAATGTTAATCGACTTTGGCTTTTGCACAAAAATATGCCGATTTGTTAAAAATTTTGTTTTATATGCAAGAGGAATTCTGTGGTTAAAGTGTTCGATTTTTATCCTCAAAGTAGCAGATCTGTACTTCGAGCGTAAGGAACCGGGTAAGTATCACAAGCTTGCACATTCAAAGCCAAGTATACAAACCTGTACTTGGTTGATTAGATAATAAAAGTCTAAATAAAATAATATGATCTATTTTCGTGGATTCATCAAGTGACTAACGAATAGAATCATCGTCAGTGGCAATATAGAGATACACCGGCCTTGAGAGATGATTAAGATGATTGTTCGCAGAGCAATTCGCTTGACCAATATGACTAGAAAAATACTAATGGAGGATTTGTTGTTGATTATCTAAAGTATTATGAGAAATATTATTTGCTGCACTCACAGTGACTCTTTCGAAAGGAAGATCATTTGAAGTAGATGTAACAAAAAACAATTTCTTTCAACGATATCTTTATTGACGTCAAGTCAAATGAAACTATTGGTATTCCACTGGATTACAGGGAAATGCGTCACTAATGAGGCTATATATAGTTAACTGGTTACGATTAGCAAAAATTATCTAGTTGATCTTCAATTTGTAGTCTACAAAAAGCAAAGGTAGTATTACCAATGAGATAGAAGCATTCAGCATTTAATAATATCATATAGAGGAGTATTTGTATTATATGTGTATCGAATGTAAACTGAAAATAATTGCAATCTAAATAGATCCATCGATTTAATGGAACAGAAGTAGACCCAACAATATATGTATATATAAGAAACTGGAAAATTCAAAGCGGATGTTATGACCTAGACTTTTTAGCACAGACTATTTTCAGTCTCTTTCATTGCTAGACTAGAAAATATTACTACTGTAAAACTGTACTTTAAAAGTCATATCTATTTCAGATTCCACACTGCTTACAACTGACTGATAATTTAAGGGTATATATAGTAGCTTTAAGATCTGAGTCTTCAGTTCGGTCATTTTATCGATTGTAAGTTCTCAATGAGTCCCACACTATTTTCCTGTGCAACAATACATGATATCAATTCAAAACTTTCAAAATCATTGATACAAAGTGATATTTAATTCAAACTGATTGCTTATCATTCACTCTTTTAAAAGAATATATATTCACTTGTATACAAAACCCTAATAGTAATAGAAGTTTCATTTAAATGAATATTATAAACACAGTCCTGCAAAATGAGAATAATAAGTTAGTGAAAATTAATAACTATAAAAAGGCATTAAAAAAACAAAAACAAACGAACAGAAAAATAAATCAGAAAATTTATTAAGTGAACAGAGCAAGGCAAAAGAGAGAGAAAATTAGTATTTATGACAATTAGATCGATATGATCATTGTTAATTGTACCATTAACAGTTATTTATAAGAATATACATTTATTATTCTGTATAGATTGATATCATTACTCTGTTTCTCACTAACACACACTCACAACATGAATATCGAGGCAAAAACAAGACAAGGATTTAAGGATAAAGAACGCTATATATATATATATATATATATATATATATATATATATATATATATATATATATATATATAGTCAAAGCAAATATCATTTTTTTTTTATCATACTGTAATATGTAATTGGGAAAACAAGAGGGATATGAAAGAATGAACAGAAATACAGGAACAAAGCAGAAAATATCACGAAAAAGAAGAGAATTATCATCATATTCAGTGTTTTATTCAATACATTATGATAAAGTAATAATAATCGCTAATTAAGCCAGAAATTACATAAACTGCTTAGTTTTATTTTGTTTGCAGAAAGTTTCCATAAAAGAAAAAAACAATTTAATACAATCAGAGAGAATAATATTGCAAAAAGATTGATCTTATTTGGCTATTATATATATATATATAATCATAATTATTTACTTGATATATACAAAGAAAGAAGAAAGAAGGATAAGAATGACCAGCTAATATTCTTAATTATTCGAAGAAGAAAACAACCCGATTATAATTATTATCACTATTAGAAATTTCTGAATAATGTACACAAAAGAACAATTCAATGAGAATAGTAATAGACTAGTTTATATAAAGTATGTATATATATAAAACTGTTTAGTTATTAACAAATACATAAAATTAAAATAAATCAATTTTTAAATGACAAAATTAGTATGCTCTTTGAAATTGGAGTACAATGATCAAAATCTGAAAGAAAACAAAAAGTAATAAAACAATCATTCAACATTTATATGAATAAATATACAAACACATAAATACATTCAAGGAGAGATAAAGAGAGATAACATGATGAATATTCTTTCAATTGAATGAAGTTCATAATAAATGAGAATAGATGGATTACATATTCTTCATAATTCCACTCTTACACCACCACCACCACCCCGCCGCAAGCTCGAACACTTGGGGAATACTCCAAAAAAGAAAAAAGTTGTGTAGATATTTACAGATGCAAAATGTTAATTTAATACAAATCTCATAACAACATGTATGGATATATATATATATATATATATAAACAGAGAAGAGAAAAATAGATTATTTTATAAAAAGAAAAAAAAAGAGGCCAATAAGATAATAAAATTGAATTAATAAAAAGAAAGAAAATTGATAAAAAATTAATTGAATAAGAACTGAAAGATAAAGATACTTAAATTGACGCATAGATACGTGTAAACATGCATAAATATAATTAATTAACTTGTTAATTAGGTTTGTATACAAGAGTAACAAAAAATCTATTGACTAGGGTTAAGATATCAAATAACAGACATCTTCTTTTTTAATTTACGCATTTATAATAATAATAATAATATATCAGATTATAACGGTAATAAATACAAACAATCACAGTAATGTACATTATGAATTTTCTTTTTTTGTGGCAAATACAAAAGAGATTAATAGTAAATAAAATAATCATAAATGAATAGAGAATAGAGATAGATAATGTTTAAGATTGATCCATATGTAATTTAGCCATATAATCCGATAAATGTGAATTACTAAATCGATAAGCTGCTGTTGTAACTGTTGTTGAAGAAGAAGATGTTGTTGATATAATTTGCGCTTCAACTGATGATGGAATACTACTATCACTTAATTTTCTACTTTTCATTGAACTGAATTCAGTTGATTTATTCATTTCAACTAATTGATGCTCCATGTGAATAGCTTCAGAAAATGACCTATCAAGTTAATTACAGTTGGAAAATAATATATAAAAAAAATTAACTTTATAAAAAGGTGATTTGACAGAAAAAAAACGTTTATAAATACAGAATTGATTGTTGATCATTGGAAAGAAAATCCAGTATTGAATTAATAAATTAAGTTGTTAAAATAGCAGTCTATCCATAGTTTCTCAAAAATAAATATATATTTAACTTGTAAGTGCTTATATCTTTTTGGTTAACATTGCCGAGGATTGAAAATGACCCGTCTGTTTTAGTTTATGTGCACCTTAAGTAAATCGCTTCAATAACGTTGAATATTGACAAAATTAAGATAATGACTAACAATGGAAAAAACTGCGCCTGGAGCCCCCCCTCTGAGATTACTGTCGGTCCCAAGCCCGAAAAAGGAAGAGGGTTGTGCATGGGGTTAGCAACCCCTTACTAAAAAAACGACAACCAGAAAAATAATTCAAACTATTAACATTAGAATAGCTTATACACAATCCATTATCTATTAATGGATTGAATAGGAGAACAACAGAATAATGACTAAACTGTATAGTATTAGAATTCTCAACGAAATTAACTTTCATTAATACTAGTATATTAAATCATAATTGAAAAGTATTGCATTCGATCTGCACTAATAAGGACTAGACACGCACGACATTGGTCACCACCCAGTGATCAATCAATTGTGATTACATCTCAGTCCTACAGGAGTTCGGTCGTTGCCCGGATAGCTCAGTGGTAACATCTCTGACTGTGAAGCTGGATGACATGGGATCGAATCCGCCAGGTAGCACCAGTTCCCTCAAGATTACAGGTATACCTTGCTGACGAGTGTCAAGTAGCACGGAACCCGGGTCCAGGGTTTCCTGTCGACTACCTCTTACCACCATCTAGTAGTGTCTCACTTTTTTATTTCTATTCTTGAATATATAAATATTATCTAGAAATCTAATCTATCCGAATGCCCTAGATTTATATTGGCAAAAATATTAAGTCATAATTTCTACTTTTAATTGACATAAACAAACAAACAAAACTTTACTACATACAAATTAACAATAACTAATACATAGAATTTAATTGTATATTGTTGCCAGAAAAAAAGCAACCTTAATCGTATAATTAAATTCATTGGTCAGTAATTTTGTTGTTGTTGTTGTTGTTATTGTTGATAGTTCTATTCAACAGTATCATCATGAAAGTTAATCAAATCGCCATAAATTCAGTAGAGAAATAGAGTATTTTGAAGCGATACTAATATTACTTATAGTTTAAAAGCCAAGAATGTTCTTTTTAAAAAATTAGAAATAATCTGCCGTCACAAAACCAACCTTAGACAATCGATTATTCATATATATATATATCTGTTTAGATCTTACCACTGAGATGTTTAGTATTGAAATTGATCAGTCTCTTTTGCTTGTTTTTTTTTCTGGTCACATTGTAATGTTTACTAATTGATGTATTAAAAACTATTTGATAATTTTTCTACAATCATTTCTTGGAGAGAATATACGACTTTTTATGGACACTAAATACACCATTAAGTTCACTGATCATTAGAAAATTTGATATTAGTTACTACTCAATAAAGTTTCGGTGTAAACATTTCATATGATCAATGCTTGAGTCTATAAGTCTATGACATTGGGATCAAGTGAAAAATGTTGTGAAGTCAATTTAGTATAAGTTTATTAAAGATCCTAAATACATTTCGTTAATGAGTCACAATATGTACATGACCTTGCCTTTAACCAAATGAAGATCACGAATTGACCTAAGTTAGACACTTCTTGAAAACCAAGAAACATTGGACAGTTATTTCATCGTAGTATACGATGCTTCAGCGCCGTGCACGCACTAGCAGATTAAGAAGTAGAATTAGGACCTTTAAGCGACTAGCTTTGAGAGGAAATTACTGAAGTTCAAGTGACAAGTCTTAGCCAGAGAAATTCTACCACATAAGGTGTGAGACAGTCATCCAGTGAAGATAATACCGTGGATTTGCTGAAGTCAGAAAAATAAACCGTTAGAAGTTAGTTCAGAGCTTTCCATGAGAGCTCAAAGTTCTAGGTGGATGCTGACTGCTGAGGAATCCTTACTAGGATGAAATAGTTGTCAAGTACTTCTTGTTTTTAGGTAGTTGTGTAAATAAATCCTATTGATTGAGCTATTAGTCAGTAAATCTATAGATACTGCTGCATTCATATATAAGTATTCTGATGCTTTATTTACTCCATTGGGAGTAACAGGCGTAAGTAAGTAAGTAAGTAAGTACGATATTGACCGATTATCAGTTATTACAAACTGATGAAATTATTCTGGTGAGTAAAATACTGGTTTCTTTTACTCCAATACAATCCAACTCAATATAGATGAATATGAATCATTAGGCATGACTTTAAGTTAAGGTGGAGAACAGTTAAAATAAAGCATGGAAAAGCATTTTTGTATCGAGTACTCTGACTTAATCTAACAATACAACCCTAACCAGACTGTAAAATTTATCAGTTTTAAAATCTGATATTTCGAAAATGCCACCTAGTTAGTTTCTTGATCGTTCACCTAACCTCTGATTTAATTCTAAAAATTTTTATCATTTAAAGTTGAACAATTAGTTCCTTGCCAGGCTTTACCGTAATATGCAGTAATATGGAAATATAAACATAAGTATACCTAGAAAATATTAAGCTAATAGAAGTAATATATGAGTCAATGATAAGAATGAAAAAGGATAACATGACTGGATATAGTAAATAACATGTATAAATCATTTGTAGGATCATGAATGTATGTACTAGTAGTGAAAAGAATATGAACTGTTTAAAAAAAGCAGTTCAATGTAGGAAGTCAACGAATTCTAAATATAGGCATATAAATATGAAAGCCCTGGACACTCGCTTTTCATCCTCTAAATTTCGCAATGACTTCCCTGGAAGTGATTGTATATGCGTGGCCATGTGAGAAGATTTCGCGACGGAGAGTTGATTTCCCTTACCCCCAACCGTACAGGGGCCTTTGGTGGTTTTATGACCTTAGACTACTAACTTTTAGCTACAATGATCAGAGTCTCTTAATATTACGCTTCGGTTATTGCTAATTGTTGACGTTTTTTGCCGTCATTCAATGTAAGGGGATCGTATGTACTTGATGGGTCACTAGCTAACTTTTTCTCTTCCAAATTCTCTCACATGCGACTATTTAACCTTTACCAGGAAAAAAGGCACATGCAGCTAGATATAATATTACCAAAAGTTGAGTGTTTCTATATATATTACTTCAATGTATTGCTCATTTCATCATAGGGTCATTTACATTTCATTTTACCAATACTTCTAAAATTGTGGAAAGAAATGTTACATTGTCAAATCTTAAGAATAATTTTATTGATTCCCTGTTTTAATTCTCTTGTATGCATTAAATTATAGAGGGGAAAAACCTAGAAGTGAGTTTACACCAATTATGACTATACACAATGAAAAGGTACTAATTAAATGTACCGCAAGTGAAAGAATAACAAAAGATTAATGGTCAAGTATTAATGTTTTTATTGTTATAATTCTTGCACGTAGCTCAAATAGTTGTACTTACAACATGTTTCCTTTAAACAAAAGAAGTAGAACACCTAAACAAGTGTTCAAACGTAAGTATTCAGTTGTAAGCCAAACATTTTATGTAAGGGCTGATCGAAATGAATTAGGTATGGTTGGGTTAGGACCACTTATGATATGTCAGTTGAAAGTCGAGTACTTGAATAAGTAAATTAATATCCAATTTCTTAATGTATAACTATTTACTACACAAAATATATTGATTTGTTGAATTGTCTATGATTGTGCAGAACTGTATTTTTAAGTGATTAGATTAGTTTTCTTTAAATCTATCTTAATTATAATAATTCTGTTTTCAAGACCCTGTAGTAAAAACATACGTAGATTCAATACATATATTAACAAAAAATATTTATATCTTCTTATGAATGGTGCAGATTGATTGTGGTAAGATGTACAAGTTGCATAATCTTAAAAACGTTCCGGTAAGAAATATGCATCAATATTTAAAATTCTTTATCCTCACCACGAAATGGAATAGAATGATAAGTTAAAACAGATTGGTCTAATAGACAGCAAAAGAACTGTCTCATTAAAGAAAAAGTTGCATTCTCTTTAACTTTTTCATATCGGTGGATACACAAATCAAACCGGGCTTATCAAGTTTCTATGATGTATCAACATGTTATGGCAACTCGGAAGTACATGTAAGAGAGGTGTAATGAGTGACTACGACAGTCAACTTGGCGAATGACATCAACTACATGTATGCTATGCTCAGTCGGAAGGCATATTACTGTAGTGAAGAATTGTTTTCATTAAAGACGATAATTTACTGCATCATAATAGTTGATAGTTGACTGTAGAGATATCAGTATTACACAAGTTTGTTCTATATGTACACAAAACTTTGGTCAGGAATTATGAATTACAGGATATTTAATAGGTGTGACTAGCAACATGTAAATAACCGGTACTGATAGCTATCTTCTTCTTTAGAGAAGAGAAAATAACAATAAAAGCACAACCTATTACTTACATTGCAACATTTTCTTCTGATACATTTGTAAAACATTTCCATCCAGTTTTAGCATGATGTCGAATTGTAGTCATTAGATTAACAACAGCTTCAGGTCTAGGTGGACGAATTAATTCAGAATTTGGTATCCAGTATACAGCATTCATCCATGCTTCTTGAGCGCCATCAATATTTACACATTTATTTGGTTGTTCATTATTCAGTACGGGAATCCAGTGTGATTGTGAAGCTGGGAGTAATAATGCATTTACACAAGATGTAATACAATCAGCTACAGTCGAGGGAGAATAACCACCTTCTAGTGCTAAAACTATACGACTGTTTGATATAGACATACACTAGAAAATGAATTGAAAAAATCATAAAATGAAAAAACCAAAAAAATATTGATTTAAGGGTTGAATTCATGAGTCAATTGAAGCTAGAACACCATGGAAAACCTAGAATTATTGGACGGCCGTTTCATCCTATTGTGGGACTCCTAAACAGTGCGAATCCACGATCCCGCCTCGCGAGACACGAACCCAGGACCTATCAGTCTCGTGCGCGGGCGCTTAACCTTTAGACCACTGAGCCGGCCGGTATCCAACGCTGTAAATGTCTAACTTCAACTAAGAAAATCAAAATTGTTATTTCACTGTTGAATTTTTCTGTGTTATTAATGCAGATGACATTATTTAGTAGCTTTATACAGTGGAATGTATAAGGGCAGGAGTTTATCAAGTTGATTATAAACCGCTTAGTACCCAATCACATAATTTTGTAACAAGAATATTGTCTTTAAGTAGAAGTGGTTGAAAATATTGTTGCATTCAACTGATGAATAAAAAAGCACTTCTACAAATAAAAAAAATACATACATGAACTGAGTACTAAGAGATGATTGATACTATGTCGTGGAACTTTCAATAAAAAATGTGATCATCTGATTGTAATTAATAAGGTGGTTCATAGTTCCACACTTGTCAAGTTTTGTTGGTCAGTTGAAGGCGGTAGGCAGGAGGAAAGTATATTTGTTGGGAGAATTTACAAGGTACTTATTTAGATAATACTTATACGTAGTCTTCAATTGTCCATTTGCATCTTTTGGTGTTTTGACAATGTCATACTTTCGATGTACTGAAACTCTTCACTCAGTTTGACAATTGTTGCAACTTTGAAACCACGTTCACAAGCGCGTCCTGAATTCTACTGCTAGTCACTATCCATCATTGCTTACAAAAAGCTTGTGAATTAAGGCAATATCGAGGCATACGCACAGTATGCACATATGCCAATAACAGACTGATCAATTGCAGTCCTTAACCTCAATGGGAAGATACAAGTCAAACAATATCAAGTGAATTTAAATTCACCCCATTGCACAAGCGAGTGGCTATCAGACTCAGTAGCTGAGTAGATAACGCTATGGCGTTTGAAGCGAATGGTACTGGGTTCGAGTCTCAGAGTGAACATCAACTCTGAGATCCAGGTACATCCAGCAGACGAGTCCCAAATAGGACGAAACGCGCGTCCAGGATTCCACTGCTAGCCACTATCCATCATTGCTTACAAAAAAAATTACGAAGGTTAGTTTCAGGATTCTGGTACTTACAGTCAGTCAACAACAGTAACTTCATTATTGTAACAAACACCTACTCTTCCAGTAAACAACAAAATACATGACACCAATGGATTTATGGTGTCGACTTTAAAGAAAAAACAAAATTACCTGATGCGTAATCCATGCAAATAAACCAGATGATACAGAATAACCGCCTAATGCTTCACCGTGTCCATAAGCAGCGTCATAACCAGCTGAAATTAATATAATATCTGGTTGAAATTCATGTCCGACTGGTATAACAACAGAACGCATTGCAGCTAAATACTCTGCATCACTTAAACCTAATAAAGGTTCTTTCCAAGTACTAGATGACAGTGGTTGATTATGATGTTGATGATGATTATATGCATTCGATACTAATGGTTGGTGATGTATAGGATATTGTTGAAAATGTGAATATGAATGATAAGGTTGACAATTAACTGGATTAGTTTCAGATAATAATAGATCTGATTTATCTGAGCACGACTCAATTGATTGTGATAAACAGAATGAACAAACTTGGCTACTTCCAGTGCTTGTTGCTTTATTAGATAGACAGGTACAAAATGGTGTAAGATCAGAATTTTGCCTATTTCTTATAGATATAGAACGTTGAAATGGTAAAGATGTTGAAGAGGATGATAAAGAATTGTGTCGTTCACAATTACATTGATTTGAGTAACTCGGATATTGGTGATGATGATCAGATGAACCAATCGTTTTGCACAATTTTTGCTTTGAAAAAATACAATTAGAAGAGACGAAAAATTGTATTTTAATAATTCAAAAAAGCATGAATTATCAATAACTTTTTTTGTCGATCACAATAGTACACTGTAATTGTGTAATTCAGAAGAAAGTTGAATGTGAGGCGGAAAGTAGTGAGTTCCAGGTCCGGTCTGACCATTATCACCGGGGTGAGGACACATTCAACAAGTCCTATAGAGAACGAAACTCACGTCCTGGGTTCCACTGCTAGACACTTTCGCTTGTGTGTATAAAATTATTGTCACTTAATGGCAATATCAAGGTGATTAGCGCAGGATGAACGTATACTAAAAAAGACTGATCAATCACGGTTCACAAGATCAATGGGGAAATCCAAACTTTGTAGTGTAAACTAATAGGTTAGTGGTTGAATCATTCAACTTTTAGTTAGTAGATCATAGGTTCGAGGCTCATTCCAACTACTTTAATTTAGACAGCCGGGTAACATTTATAACCCCTACATAGAAAATTGTGACACACACGTGTATAAATAAATGCTTACTTGGGAAATGAATTGTGATGATTTTGTTTTGGCACCCTAGTGTACCAAAACCCTCAAACAATTCCGAAATTTGAGAGATTACAATATTACCATTATGTTCAATGAATAACTTCATTATCTTAGAATTTCATGTTTTATACTATTTTGTATATTGTCATTACATATGTAAAATGATACGAACAACTTACTTTATCCTGTTCCGATCGATTAGCAACATTCTAAAGTGGAAAATAATAAGAAAATATCATTGAAATCAAGTTATATGGTATTTATGAAGTATTATGTTTCAGTGGATAAGAAATACAGTAAGTTAAAATGAAATACTGAAGATTTCTGATTTTAAAGGGAGGATTTTCAGTTGTTTAATATAAACGTAAAGCTGTCATTGGTTTTCCACATATCCCAATCAATAAAACCATACTGATTATAAAAACAGTATTTCATTTTCCTCCCAAGAGATTCGTTTTTAAATAAAAAGGATATTGTTTACTTTATAAATTAAATCTTGTTACAATGAGTAAAAATGATGGAAGAATTTATCGACTGTTCTGTGACTATCAATTTTTTTTAGCAGTGAAATCCAGGACATGCGTTTCATCCTATTTAGGTCTCGCCAGCTGGATGTACTTACATCCTAGAGTTGATATTCAACGGGAAGATTCAAGCAAACAATATAAAAATGAATTTTCAATCTTATATTTGATTGTTCACTTTTCGTCTGGTAACAAAATCATGTTATCTTTAATGATCATGCTGTCTGCATAAATGACAGATTTCATTCCCAAATAAATAGTTATTTGGTAAGAGATTCTATCATCTGAAAGTCATTTTGTCAAAGGTTTGGTGAACAAATCTGCGAATGAACAGTTTACTTACTCAAGTAATTTACCAAACTGACAAGGTGGTTATAACACTAATATTAGTTTTAATCTCTTCAGGTAATATTAGACTTTATTTGGTGGAGAATTACCATTATATGGGATGATAAGGGAATATTAAAGTTATAATATTATTCCACACTAATAAAAAAAACGTAATTTCCGCAAAAAATGTATAGGAGAACGTTAAAACAAAACCAATTCATTGGTCGTTTTCTGAGAATTAACATTTACCCTGACAATCGTTCATCGATGAAAAATATCAAAAATATGAACAAATTGAGACCAACACCAAGAACGCTTACTTGAAACCATCGTTTCCTTCTTTCATCAGCATTTAAACTATAAGGACTAACAGTGGATGTCGTTGTTGATCGACGTTTCATTTGTGATCTGATTATTTCAGTATAATTATTATCATTTGTACCATTGTGTGGATTTTCCCATGCAATATTTATTAACTGAGCTGATGGAATTGTTGTATTGGAAATATTATTGGCAAATTTATTATTGAAATTTATATTTGCCATATAGTTTACACTATGATCATCGAAATGATTGAATTTTTCTGAGGAAATATTACTATCAGAAACTGATACAGTAACAGGATTAGTAGAGGTGTGATCACTATCACAAGAATTACTTTGCGAGGATTGATTCTCTTCTGTACAATTAGATACTGAACCAGTACCAGGAAAAAAAGTCCCACCATCATATCTATGCAGACTTAAGTAAACTAATCCAGGATGTGTTGTAGCCAGCTTAGTTCCATTGCCATGATGAATGTCCCAATCAAGAATTAAAACTTTTGAAACAATACGCTCACGTAATAAATGCAATGCAGCAATTGCAACAGAATTAAAATAACAAAATCCCATAGCTTGATCTGGTTCAGCATGATGACCAGGTGGGCGAACAATAGCGAATCCATTACGGAAATGACGTTTCGCTACCCTGTAGATGAAATTAGAAAGTCAAAAAGAGTTATAAACAAATTTCTCACCATATTTTTAAATATCTCGATGCTATGCAGTGGTAATTTATCATAGGGTTAAGGATGCATTTTAAAGGTCATTTGATTGCTAGCACGTTGCTCACTACTTAGTAATTGGGTTAGAATCTTATAGTATATATATTCATTGAAAAACTTAATTATTTGTAACAATCACTAAACAACACACTTAACTTGGTTAAGTGTCAAAGTTAGGATTTTCTAGTTAAAATAGACAACATCCATTTAATTGCAACTATTATCATGATCGCTAGATTATTAATCAATTAAGTAAATATCAGGAAGTGATTTTAAGATATATTTTATAGAAGACAAAACTGAATGCTTTAACTAGAAATTTATAGCAATTCATATAGTTACTAGTAAGATTTTTCATATTTCTGGAATATTCACTTATATATACTGTATATATTCATGACATAACCAACCTAATGAACACTATATCTCAAGTTTCTTCACACTCATTTATGATCAATCTACAAGTATTATACCTTTTCCATCTCAACAAAATGAAATACATACATTCTAACTTGGTAGGATTTTCAACATTGTTTTTTATATTGTAAACTATGGAAAAGAGTTCAGAGAATAAACTAAAATCCTTTTTTTTGTTTCTATCTCATTACACTTATTATTATTATTTCTTTATCGTTATGTGGAATGTTAGTACACACTAATTTAGCCTAGAATTTTTGTTTAATTTCATTAAAAAGATGAATCCATTTAAAATTTCTACTTTCGTCCGTTATTAGTTTTATTATATATATATATATATATATATATATATATATATATATATATATATAGTAGTTTCTGCACTACATACATAAATTCAGTAAAGTATAATAAATAATGAATCAAAATAAATATGAATTAGTATAAAAGATACACATATAGTATTAAGAAATCATGTACACATAGGTATTCATTTAATTATTATTTACATAAGTAAATAGAATTACAATGTTATAATGATTAGTACCTAGAATAAAGTGATAGATGAAGAAAATTGTTTGAATTAATATTAATAAGCTTTTAGAAAGAAAAAAAAGGGTTCGATGAAGAAGTGGGTTATTTGTTGAAAAAAGAGAAACTTAACTTTTAAACACGCTTTTATTACTATTTAATCATCAAGCTGTATCACGAGGCAAACACTAACTTCGAATCCCGAGGGTAAACGGAAAAGAGGTGGGTCAAAGAACAAACTACGTCGAGAATTGGGAGCAGACATCAAAAGAGTGAATATCAACTGGAAACGATTGTGCAGGATAGAGTTGGATGAAAATGCTGGTGAGCGGCCTATGTTCCTGGACGTGAGGTAACAGGCGTAAGTAAGTAATGTACAGTATAAACTTTGAGGTTAAGATTACTGAGACTATATAACATCGATAATTTATTACGTGATAAATTTTAATATGTAATTATGGAAAGTTCTAGAATGATTCAAGAAACAATTATTTGCTTATTCTCCAGTATACGTTGCGTAATACTAGGCAGTAACATTTCGACAATCGACGATAATATCAGTAAAATCTGTATCGAAATTTCTGACACAGAAAATCCATCCGACTGACATATGGAATCTAAATTCCAAAGGAATCTTCAACATCACTGTAAATGTTCGATATTCAAAAGGCAGCAACGTCAAGATGTTCCCTGTTGTTCGCAATCCTAGCGGTCACTGACAAATGATCATCGTAAATCTAACGAGGCCAATTTGTCAAATTTAATAGTAGTTACTTCTTATCTTAAGAAAATTATAAAATGGGAACTTGTTTATTATGTAACTGATTTGATATGTAGTTCTTCGTTCACTCGTAAATCATGTAATTATGCCATACAATTGATTTTTATCAACGGATTACTACTTACAATCAATCGATCGGACAATGAAGTACTTAGTTTGAATACCTTACATTTATAAAATACAAATACCAAATTAAGGCAAAAGAGGTTAACAATTAACAAAGCCAGTCATTTTATGGCTTACGTCAAAGAGTGTGCGATATGATGCTTGTACTGTATTGGAGAATAGTGGAGTAAAACTTTATTTTTCATGAAAGTAAACCCCGTTTAAATTACTCAAAAAATCTCACAATTTGCTCTGATATGAACAGCATAGGATTTCATGAGTAGAAAAATGACATAAAATCATGAACTGATCAATGTTAGGCGACCATTGAACATCTGGAAGCACTGAACGACCGTTTCATCCTAGTATGGGACTCTAGTGGTTCCAGGTTTTCAATGGTGGTCTAACATTGGTCGGTTTATGATCTCAGTTAAAAATCAACAATCTCCACAACCCTATACTGAGAAAATTTAGTAGTTAAGTACTGACAACTATTTGGGAGTATACACTATTAAATTCTAGCCACATTAAGCGTATGCTTATTCATGATTTACTGGTACCTATGGAACCTCTGACAATGTTATCGAAAGCCTATGATGATACCGGAGTACACCATTGACCACACATCAAATTTAAAATTTCACTACTAATGTCTAATATATTCTCTCTTATAATCCAATGAAAAAATCTAATACTACTGATGAATATTCTCATAACTAACTTGATTAAATTACACAGTTCGATATGTCAAGATTCTTTAATTCCACTAAGGATCCCCTCGAACAAGTCAGTAATATTGAATTACAAACAAAAATACAAGTATTAGACTGAAAGTTATGTAATAAATAAAATATAATTAAGGAAAATTTATAATCCAGTATCACAATCAATAAGAAAATACTACAACAGACAAACTCATTTTAACTAATACACTAGTCAGTAAAAAAATGATACATGGTTAGTTAGTTTGCTAGCCCATAGCAAAATTAAATCGCTGTTTATAAATTCTAGGTAGCATAGCTTTCAGTGATTTATTAGTGACTGCCATTTACATGATAACTCTAAAAAAACTGATGACTTTAGATTAGAAAAGTAACCCACTGTGTGTCACTGAATAAAAAGTAAGGCGAACAAAACAAAGAAAACTTTCTTTCCAACAAAATCAATTACTTAATCAGTATATTCATATTTACAGTTGTTTGATGAATATATGGGTCTATAGAAGAATAGAAATAGACTACATCATAAGGTGTTCCGAGATTTCAAGTATTGAAAGCAGGTTGCATAGTGATCGGGAAGTTAGACAAGAATAGGGGGTGGAAATAATTTATGGTTATGAAAAAGAGAGATACTTATCTCGTTAACATACATGAAGGAAAAAGTGGGAAAATGTAAAGGTCATAATAACAAGTGAATAACAATCATGGAAAGCTGTTAGAGGATAATAAGAACTGATTACGGTTTTTAAAAAAGTACAAAATAATAACAATCAAAACGAAAAAAAGACCGAAACGTATTGAAAAGGGAATTAGGGCCATGAAAGGATCAAAGACTGCATGTATTGCTTTAGCACACAGAGTTCAGGCTTGAAATTTCGAAACCCTCAGCAATGAACAACTTTTTGGTTTGACCTCGCTTTGATCCTATTCTTTGATTATTTAAATTATTTTGAAAGAAGGTCCTGTTGGGGCAATGTGCCAAGATTTGATTAGGTGCTCCTGTATTGAAATACTGATTGCTTTGCATGGCCCTCTTAAAAGCCATCGTGGGTGATGTTCTGAGATGTACTTGGAAAAAGTTCGTTTGGTACGGCCAATGTAACCTGTCCCGCAAGAACAAGTAAACTTACAGAAGTAAATCAATGTAGCTCAACGCTCAAGTTTATCCTCAACGTTTTCTTAAATAGATCGGCTCGAAAATATATTACGAAGCTTAACTGAATAGGAAGTCTTCCTTCGGGATTTCAAAATTCGTTTATTTGTTATTTCTGCTATCATATATCCTTTAAATTCGATATTCATACAAGAAGTTTCATTGTGAACTGTCGGTGATCTTTCAGGTTCCAGTCTCTGTGTTAAGTTGCTATCGATGAATCATTCATAACGAATATTTTAAAAAGTATCGCAACATTCAGAAATGAAGTTTCTGTTGACAAAGAACCTCGGTCGTTAGAAATAATTGTTTTATTAGATAGTTGTATTGAAACTAAAAATATAGTATACAGAGGAGCAGAATAACAATAAAATAATGAACTAACTGATGAGCAAGGCATAAAACTTGACCAACAGCTAAACGAGCAGCACGAGCTGTTCTACACGGATTCCAAACTGTATCTGAATCTACACCAACACCACCACAAGCTAATGAACATAATTGATTTGATAAACTTGTCGTGGTACATGAATTAAATACTGATAATCCACGATCAATAGTTGTAGATCCACAAGATACAGTTGATAATGATGTAGATTCATTTGAACATTTTGAAGACGGTCGATCATCATTTGAAACAGTGGGAATAGTGCCAAATGTTTGAACATATTCATTTGAATGGAATATTTGTAATTCATTCTGTCAAATGAAAATAATTAATTATACGCTTATACAAAGGAAGAACAAGATGGTAAGACGATGGAATATATAGTCAAAACAAAAACGTTACCATTTAAACTGTTTAGGAAATATATTATTATTAAAACACTCAATGAGCTCATAGACTATTATTTCGTAGGCTAAAAGATGTCATGAACGAATTTTTTTTAAATATGTACTTCTAACCATCGTAAGAAAAGCTTTAAGAGATTCCTTTATCAAAAAATTGAGTGAAAATTTTTTTCGTGAGATGCAGAATGGCATAATTGATTGTTTAGATTGATATATATATATATATATATATATATATATATATATATATATATATATATATATATATATATATATAATGGTAATGTTGAGTTCGCTAAGCTAGGTGGTTCAATAGTGAAAAATCTGAAACGTTTGACAATTTTGAATGTTATCGGATAAAGCCACCTCAACATAACAAACATATTACCAAAACAACCACCTGAAAAACCAACGTTTTCCATTATATCCAAAAGGATTATGAAGACAAGGTATAATTTAACATGACTTATATTTGTGATATTTACTTTAACGTAGATGATATATAAACAATGAGTACAGTAAAGTCAATCACCAATTCAAAATAATTTTCTGTTTGGATGACGGAATACTTGAAATCAATTTAATGTAATATTTTTATTTTACACAAGAGAACGAGTTATTGTATGATTGCACTTTATTTAGAAATGACTATCAATCATATATATATATATATATATATATATATATATATCATAGAGGTGGCCTAATAGTCAAGGTATTTAACTACTAAGTACCAGGTTTTGACCCCGCTCTGTCTACTTTAGTTCAGGCAACCTAGTGATATCATTAGCCTCCATACCTAGGGTGTGAGCTCAAACCCAAATACTTGGTGTTTGAGTTATGGAACATAATCAAAACGCAGTGTTGCATACAGCTATTCTAATTAATGTTGTCTGAATATAATTCCCCTATCTAATATAATATATACTCATTTATTCAGAGTAATATCAAAGAAAGTAGGAAATTATTTTTCAAAAAGAATAATGATTATATCCCTATTTTATTAATTTTACCATCTAAGTAGACAACTGTACAATAGAAGAAAATATTTCGGAATACAAAACAAAAAGAATTCAATAAACGATAATAAAAACAACACACACACAAGAAAATAGAGTAAAAATAGTCAAGAAACGGGGTTAGCAGAAAGTAAGAAAACTAAACAGGAAATGAGGGCTAAAATACGGTCACTGTGGACACTATATGAAGTAATAATCATAACATATTGATTAAATAATATTACTCAAATGGTATAATCGGGAAAAATTAAATCCAAGAACACTACAAACCATTTATTGTAAATACTAAGCGAAAATGACAATACAGTGCATACATCTTAGCATATAAATTTGATAATACTAGGTGAAATGAACTAATTGCAAAATTTAATATAATCAACCTCACAGAAGCACATAAAACAAATCAAGTTATACTAAGTTAAACCAGTTATCAACTAGAAAGTATATAGTGTAAGCTGTCAAAATAGATGAGGATTACAAAAGTATCTGAATCGCTTTACCGTTTTAAAATGTGGATGTTATAACCACTACATCTGTTGTAATAGTAAAAATAGTCGTTTGTCTTAATATTGATATGAAAGATGATAAATACTACAATACAATTGATACACTATTCCTAGATTGAAGGAAAATACAATTGGGTATAGTAGATCATGATACTAGATATAAGATAATCAGACCACTAGACTATATCACATTATACACACATACATAATTTTAATCAACCATTGGGATACTGAAAAGTAATGAGTAGATAGAATATCTTTTTTAGGCTAAAGTATGGATTTGAAGTAAATAATTGATTATGATACGTGAAAAGGGGTGACAATTAGTAAAACTTTAAAGTTACAATGAATAATAAATCCGATGCGTTTTATGTTCATAAACCATCATTTATAAATATTTATGATAATTTATATCTAATCGACTGAAACAAATAAGCATTATTGAATTGACTAAATAGAGTTTTTTTTTATATTTTTAATCAACGTATCAAAATTTTTTTTTAAAGGAAGATATTTGTAGCTGGTATATACTTCATACAAATGAAGAGGATTATAGTGAATAATAAAAGTCAATATGATGGATTACATTAATAAAAACAGAGATGGTAGATTTATTTTCAATCTAACTATGCGCAAGATACTCAACGTCCGTTGGTCAGATAACAACAACAATAGCCTACTGTGGGAGAAAACAAACCAACTTCTAGATGAAGAGAAAATTAGGAAAAGACGTTGGAAGTAAATAGGATATACATTGTGGAAATCATCAAATTGCATCACGAAGCAGGCGCTAACTCGGAATCTTGAAGAAAAAAAGAAAGGAGGAAGACCAAAAGACACACTGGGTCGGGAATCGGAAGCAGACATCCAAAGGATGGATAGCAACTGGAAAGGACTACCCGGGATAGAGTTCAATGGAGAATACTGTTGGGCGGCCTATGCTCCTCCACAAGGGATAACAGGTGTAAGTATGTATGGAAAAGATAACAATCACCTTATTTAATTGTTCATTAGTTTATAAAAACATAGTTCCGGGAGCACTCCAACAATTATGTTTATAAGTCAACGATAGAGAGTGGGAAGGAGAAAATAAATCGACCTACCTTAGGTCGAAAAAAGTGAACTTTTCAAATGATAAACCCATTCTATAGGGTAGAAAACAAGTTATAAAATACAACTGTGAATTTCACAATTTGGAGAAACTACTCTTTCTTTTAGAATATTCTATGAAGAATAGTCTAGGAAACTATTAGATAATTATTAATTTTAATACTGAATGAATTGAATTCAAGATGAAATATACAGAAGACGTGTTTTCATGCATATATATATATATATATATATATATAAAGTTATTCAACATAAAAACATAATTTACACAAATAAACACTATCACTGTTACTAACCTTTGTTGCCATTCGTGCACGAACTAAACGACAAAATGCCAGTAAAGGTAAATGTGTAATTAAAGCTTCTGAAATATCTGCATGATTTTGTAAAAATTGACTGAAATCATGCTGTAGATCAGGCATATCATATAAGACAGTATATTTAAAACTTTCAGTTAAATTATTTGATGCAAACGACAACATATGTGGAGGTATACAAAGGGGTGTACGAACAAGGCGTTCTAAAGCAGGAGTTAGGCGATCTGGACATTCAGGATGTATACTTGAATCATGAGCATTGGGACAAAGACATTTGTGTTCAAGCATCTCCGGATCAAAGGCGATGGCAGTTACTAAACTGTGATTTGGGATGCTAAAGAACAGAGACAAAAGAAAAGCACTATGTAGTATAAAACATTTAAAGTTATATATACACTAATCAAAATACAAATCATGATTTCCCGAAGACTAGTTGTTAGCGGGACATAGACTAGATTAAAGCATGCTCAATGCATGATTGCTTTGGTGCATGCTGATTGGCTAATTCTTATCCAATCAGCACTAGCCGATAGTTGGAGAATATTCTAGAATCTTCTCATGTAAAAACTATAAATATACTGACGTTTTTCCTATTGTGCTTCTGACTTGCTATTTGGAATATAATCTCTTTCCTGTTCAACCGTGTTCTGATTTGGGGACTTGTCGAGTGAATCGGTGTCCAAGGATACTAAGCAATAGGAATAGCTGGGTCATAACCGTAAGAAAAGCGATTTATAACACTAGTGGATACATTTCAAAATATATTACTTTTCAGTCTCATCCACTTCAAACTAATCAGTGGAAAAGATTAGTGCCGTAATAAGTGATAAAAATTTACTCAAATAAAAGTGTGAGAAAGGATAAATTGTATGCTTTAAAAGCCTTACACTAACGTTTTTTTTCAATAATTTTGAAGTTCTCAAGTTCGGAAATGAATTCAAATTCATCACAGAATTTAAAGTTCAAATTCATATTGAATAGCAGAACAACACTATTTAACATCAACATTTACGTTGTTGTTATTGTTAACTAAATGAACACAATAACTAATAAGGGTAAGCCAATATATATAATTTTAGGTTGAGGTTTCCGGCAACATTCTAAATTAGTCCCTTCGATAAATTTCGATAATGATATTAGAAGACGAAGATTATCAGAACTATGTGATATATTAGCGCAATACATTTCGAACAATCTGGTCACACATATACTTGTTAAAAGCATTTATATATAAAAATAAAAGGTCAACTAAACAGGAAACGGGGTATTGCTAAACATATAATTGAAACAGGTCACTAGATCGACCTAAATTCAGCTTTCGTTGTGTTGTATAAAAGTGTAAAAGGGCGTATACTAAGGTTTATTGAAGCCTTAGCCATACGAAAATTCAAACCCCCTTTGTGTGTTCAAAAACAGTTTGTTCTTACCTTAAACCTACCCTGGTAATATTGACTTATTATCCAGAGTGATTAGGTTTCGCTTTGTGTTCACATTATTATTACTCTTATCATTATCCTTATCTCCTCTTACCCCGTTTCCTGTCTAGTTGACTTTTTATTTTTATATATAAATGCTCATAGCAAGTATATATGTGACCAGATTGTTCGAAATGTATTGCGCTAATATATCACATAGTTGTGATAATCTTCGTTTTCTAATATCATTATCGAAACATTCTAAATATTCCTTAAATGCATCGCGATCAGCACTTTCCATCATTTTACCTTTCATCTAGTGAACCAGTGCTGTATATTAGAGAATAATATTCATTAAAGACGTCATATCAAGCTCTAATTTTTACTAATATTCACATACTAATGGTATTGCAATTTTCAATGATGTTATCTATGAGAAGATGGAATTGCTCTATAGAAATTGCTTTAGATGCTATCTATGTAAGTGTGTGTTAAAAAGAAATATATTTTTTGTGTAGAAAAATAACTATGATGAAGTAGACAGAATGCGCAGATTTTTAAGTAACCTTTACCAGCTTTGTATTTCATTAAAAATGAGTAGTATTTTACAAACCACTGGTCAATAATTCATAAAACTAATGAAGTACTGACATCCTCAAGAATAACATACATATATTCATAATTGGTTCTGAAAATCAGCGAAATATAGAATTATGTCTTGTATATTAGACTTAACATCTACAGATTGTAACAACAAGTAGTTTGGAAAATGGCAATTCAGTAGTACAGATAACTACTTGTAAGGGTTTATATCCCCCTTATTGATACACAGATCTGAAGAACAAGTTACAATTTTATAAAATTTAAACAAATAAATCTTCAACCGCCACCCCACCCCCTGCCCAAAAAAGAAACGAAGCAAAAAAGCAGTCGAACCAACTTGGGATAACAAGTTGTTTTCATGTCTGCATGATAACTCTGAGAAAGCCAATCACTTTCGGGTAGAGCAGACCAAATATCTGATGCTAATTTATGAGATTGATATATTTTTGACAAATTATTGTCATACTTATTTTTGGCGCTATTGACAATAGGATTAGAGGATGTAGCATTATCGACGTCGTCATCATCACACTTCCTGTCATTACCTCCACAACCATCATCTATATCTGTGGATATATTTTGTTGAGTAAGTGGATTCAACACTGAATTGTAAACCAAGTTGGATTTAGTACAGTTTGGTGATAATTGACTCTCCCAATCCATTTGACACAAAGAATGAGATTTATTTACTGGATTTCTATGCTGAGATTCAACAATATTTGACTGAACTGGAATTGAAGATGAAGCTTCCTGGCAAAGTTTTACAAGTGCTGACAATGCTGTATTTTTCAAAAATATATAAACAAGAAGAGGAAGACAGAAAAGATTTAATTAATTGTATGATTGGCAAAGGTGATGACTTGCCAAAAAAAGACCACCAAAATCAGTTTAGTTTATGTTATTATTGGAACAAATACTTTTGTTTAAATTTTGTTGTACTTTTTTCTTCCTGCCTGAAATTTCTTAAGAAAATATTGTCCTACTGAGTGACAAACCTTCCTTAAAAGTGAAAACCGATTTGGAGTAACACATGAACAGATAGAAATATTTTACGTATAGAAATAAACTATATCCTAACAATATCCGGCTCAAATCTTAATCCACTTACTTCATCAAGGAAAGTTAGCGATTATCCACAAGTTCTCTTACAAACATTATGGTTTAAAATTGATTACATACACCCGGTTACTTGGTGGATGAGTTACACTAATTAGTTAAGACTGGTATATGACATTGTAAGACTGGTTTCATATAATTACAATCAATTCTTTTATATGTGTAATAGACAATCACATGATCTGTTAACTTAACATAAAATGAGAATTTCTCTTGGTGGAAATGCAACCAATATATTTAGTGAAATAAAACAAACAAAGAAGTTTATACTTTAAGAATTTAGTTACTGATTTGTTTACATATACACTTTCATATAAAATTTCCAATGATCACACCACAATAAGACATTTATTTAATAGAAGAAAAATGTTTCAAAATATAATTAAAATTGTCTCTTGATAATTAATATAATTATTGTTAATAGACATATGAATTCAATAGTATTTGTATATATTGGTAATCTAATTATCATTATAAATATACAGATTTTTTAATAGATGCATCTATTATTTAACTAAATAACTATTGTCATACAGGTAATGGTGGATCGTCCACGGGATCGTGGATGCGCACTGCTGAGGAGTCCCATACAAGGACGAAACGGCCTTCTAGTGCTTCCAAGTTTTCCATGGTAGTCTAGCTTCAATTGACTCATGATTTCAACCATTAAAATTTTTAAAAATCTCCACAAAACCCCTTCTGATAATTATGGATATTAGTAACAAAGCAGGGGTTTCTGTAATAAAATATAAGACATTTTTGTCATATTAAGACAGGATATAATAAGTGCCAGTTGGAGTAGGCAATGAGGTTCGAAGTTCCTTGAATATCTAATACATATATAAATATGTTAAGGGGTGGAGAAAAGGATAAGTGTAGATAGGATAGTGAACTGCAAACAATCATTCCACCAACAGCCCTAACAATATGCTCTTCCTATTTACAAATAAGAAAAATATTTTGGTGTTTTGAGTTCGCTGAGACGAACAGTTAAATTGCGAAGCCTTCATTGTTGTTATGGAAAACATCATCAGTGCAATCCGTGCTGAGATATTCATGTATCATAATGACTATTGGGAATTGAAAAGTGCTACAAAGCTTTCTCAAGAGGGATAGAAAATATTATCTTATGGGGATAAAATTAACAGCTAGAATTCGAAGCTAATGGGTCGTCTCTTATACAAGGCAATGACTCAGATTTAATTAATTGTACCGTATTAAAGAATGACGATAATAGAAATATGTTTTCATTTATTTAACTCATCACTTAAATAAATAAATAAAACAGAGCAATACAAAAAGAGATGGCTTAGTGATTAAGGCGTTCGAGTTTTAAGCACGAAGTCCCCAGTTCGAGGGCCACTTCATCTGCTTCCGTTCGAGCATCCGGATAGTATCGTTATATCTCACACTTAGTGTGGTTCATGCCTAAGTACCGGGTGAATGAGTTCAGTCAAATTGATGAAAAGCATGGGGAATGAAGAATATTAGTTGAAAAATGTCTTTATATCTAATCAACGATTGAATAGTAAACGCTAGACAGCATGATAAAATTTTTCCTTAATAAATATTGAATTCATGTCTAGGAGTCATAAAGTGAAAAAAAAGTGGAGGTAAAAATTGATGAATAAGTTTCAAGAATACGGAAATCTACTTGTTATATACCTTCATGATAATTCACATTTGCACCGATTTCGGAGAAAGGAAGGTATTCTTCAAGGTGCCTTGAATCACCTTCACGATAATGAACTCTTTGTGATTGATGATAAGAATCTGTGTCATTTCCCAGCTTCTATAATTAAATAAGAGCAGAGACAGATAATACATATAAAAATTATATAGATATAATCTATGAGAGCATTAGAATGACTGTAAGTAACCGCTGGTGTTCTATATATCATGGGAATAAATATCAATTCACATTACCATGAATTCAACGGCTTGTGACATATAACTCTTAGGTTTACATATTCGTTGCATACAAAAATCTTATAATCCAATTTTTGTTATAAATTAGTATTTATTTTTTTGACGTTTAATGTTAAAAATGCCACCCAACTGCTCAAAACATAGTTGACAGAGCGTTACGTAAATCTGTAGCATAGCAACGGCTAAGAAAACAACGGGACAGTCACCTACAAATGTATATGTATATGCGCACAAATAAAAGTAAAGTACCCATAAATAGACTAAATTGTCATACAGTAAAGAAACTGAATTTATCCACAGAATTAAATAAATACATTTAGTTAAAAATAAATCAATAATGACTGAACAAGACAGTAAAATATTGGTAAAAAGACCTTGATTGGTTTCAAAGCCTATTTTCATCACTAGCTCACAATATTTGGCAAATCTTTTAAATCAGTTTATAGAAAGACCATCAGTCTGTAGCGCTGAAGAAAACGAAAACCAAGACAAAACAGTTGCCTGATTGACTCTCATTTACAATGTTTCTTCAACTGACGTTATTTGATAATGTAAATTACCTACGAGACATTCGGAATTATATAAATGATCTATAGACAACAAGCTGTAAAAAATCACTAGTATGAAATGATGATACTACAATACAAAGACCACATACATCAGTGAATTACCTTTAGCAAAACTACAGTCAGAACAAATAACTGCTAAGGTAACTTGAATATGGTTTAGTCCTCAGATTCGTTTATTGTCGTGCAAAATAACGTAGACATTATATGATGAGTTTGAGTCACTGAAACGATTTTCAATTAAGTGTAATGTTTTGTAGGCATGAAGTTGTCCTGTGAGCACGATACCCATTAAGTCGGGATCTAATGATTTACGATCCCAACAATATAGCACAAAAAAAGTTCAACGTCACTGATGATAATAATATTACTACAGATATGGTGGAACTCTTCAGAACGTAGGTAATTATGAATATTGGCATGTTGAATAAGATTGATGAGGTTTTTCTAGAACCATGTAATGTGAGACAAACATATATATTCTTTGTGTAATATTGACAAACACAATTGCATATTAAATAAACACAAACATATATATATATATTACATAGTGTAGAGTTAGATTTCATTGTCTTAGTAAACACATTGATATTCAGACAATATACATAAATCACATAAAGAACTATGAAGTCAATCATGCCGCAGAAACCTCTTGAATTTTACAATGAAAAAAAGCACAACATACAAAAACATTCAAATATACGAGAGCTCCGTATGCTATTAGACATAAGTAATAATTATTACACTTTTGATTACCTAGATGTGATATTTTGATTTATATGCTTTACATCGGAACTATACCTACAATTTATATACAATTTTCATCCACTGCAAAATGCAGTGATAAATTAGAATTGAACATTAGCTTACAAATATTAATTCTATCTATTTATAATCTGTGATAATCTATAAAATAATTTCCTGTTGTCAACTGAACTTGAAATTCTACAAAACGAGATTTAATATTGAACATAAATAGGAATTTCTGATCTGTTTGATATCAACGAATTCGTTGATAAAATGTAAATTAAACTGCATGTCCGTAGTCAAATAGACAGCAGAAACTATGATTGTAAGCAAATAGGCAGTCTAATTTTTTCGGTGAACACATAAAGGATATGACCATCAAGTGGTCAAAGTGGAAAGGCTTGAAATTCCTCTCCCTATTAATAATAGTTTTGATCCGTCTAAAGTATGGTGTGTTACATCAGATTACCGTATTTCCCTAGAACAATCGGTAGGTACGCACACATGTGTGAACAAAATTATTCGGAGTTTTAGAGCATGAAAAGTTTCTTTTTCGAAAAAATCGATAGTTATTTTATTGACGAATATCACTGAAATACGAATCAGTGAAAAATATCATTCTAGATACCGATAACAAACTAAGTTGAATAAATTTCTATCTCATGGTTTTTGTGATGAAGCATTTTGGATTTGTATTTACCATCCAATAGTAAACATAGTTAATTCCTGCAAATACTCTTTTATTGTTAATGTGATTAAAAACGACCTTGATGTAATTTGGACAAGTTCTATATTCAAATTCTGTACAGAATGGTTTCTAGCAGATTAAGTATGGATAGAAACTCAGAAGATCTGTTTAATGAAAAAACATAGTTACAATAAAATTAAGTTTTCTCTACGATAAAAATGTGTTCAGTAAGCCGATAAAGTATAACATTTGCATGTTCATACTAAGTCTAATTAGCATCTATCAATATAACGTTAACCATTTCTAAGTGGTTATTTAACAGAGTGACCTATTCGTTTATATAAGTACAAAGTCAGATAAGTAATGTTCATTGTGAATTTTGATAAAAAAGTGAATGTAACATGGTATTACATTGTTTTTTCTGTCAGGCATTCAAATTTACGTTGTATCCCCCCCCCAAAAAAACAAGACCAGCAGTCAACCAGTATCCCAAATATAAATATTATCACTGAGCTACTTAAACTACAAGTGGCCCTACAGTAAGATTAAGGATTTCATATGAATCGACAACCATATAATAAATAATGTTGTAATATTATTTTAAAACTGATAGAATATAATCCAATTTAAATCTTTTGTCTTCTTATGTCTGTATTTTTAAAGTTGTCTAATAATAACCTTTACATTTTACTAAATAAATCAAATAACTTTCAATTAACAGAAATGAAATAAACTATAGTACATCACAGATACTATAGGGTAACGAAAGCTATTTACATAAAGAATGTAATTCTTTCTTAAAAATTAAACTTTGAAACTATGTAAATTATACATTCAAAATGAGAATTTTTCGTGTGTGTAGGCGATTTCAGACATCTTGACGGCCAAATATTTATAAATAATTCACATTTTAACAACAAGAAAGTTTATCATGTATTGAAATAATACTAAACATTTGTTATACGAATTTTTATTTATTTATTTAAACACATAAATATTGGTACAAGGATAGATATGCGCCACATAAATCACTCGATATATGTGAGAGCTAGGATACTGGCCGGGTGACCAAACCGAAACAGGTGGTTTTCATAAGGGATCACACCCCGAATCTTTGACCTAAAGGTCTGATCCATAAGGCAGTGGAGCAACGTCAGGAGATGCTGTCCCATGGTAGCCGGTGACCAATGATTGGTTTATACGACATCTGTTCCTTTAGGATACTGGAGTCCATGTGCACCATTGGTTTGAAATCGGGGTTTTTCAATTCCCCTATTTGAACTCTAACACTAACCCGGACATTCACTTTTCGTCCTCTTAATTTCGTAAACAACAGTAATGTCACGAGAAGGCAGTGACTAGGACTTCCCTTGCAGTGCTTGTATGCACGTGGCCATGTGAGAGCATTTTCATGGTTAAAAATGATAATTAAAGAGGTCTAGAAAAAAAATAATAGTAATTGTGGAATAACTCACTAATAAAAACACAATTTGTAGACCACCTCGTATATAATATATCAAATTATTTATATATTGCTTATTAGTATTTGTCACAGGAGTTTTGCGGTAAAGTTAGTCAAACGTCGGAAAATCAATGCATTTCACATTCAGACTACAACTCCTAAATACAGGAACGATTAATAGACGGTTAAACTTGGATCGCTACACAGTAATAATCAAACAGAATAAAATACTAATGCTGGATAACAATCTCACCGGGTACGTAAATAGCTTTTCTAACACAATTGTAATAACATATATAAGAAGAGAGTTAGTAATACAAATAATGGCTTGATCGATTAGTGCAGCTTGCTAATTGTTAAGTGAATTATTTATATAATATTCCTTAAATGTATACTTGTGAGAGGCCTATGTAAATATGTAGTGAAAATAATATCACGTATAGACGTTCAGTATTCAAAAGTTATAGATTGTCAGGAAAATAATTCTATTTACTGATCATTACCGATACCAGTTATATTTGTTCAATAAACATGTTGTTGGTGTTACTGATCCATATGAGGCACTAATATATTTTAGCTTAGTTAAGTTTTAGGTGTTTTCTCTTTAATATGCTTCAAGACCTCAGCTATAAAACATTTCAAATTAATGAGTCCTTAATTGGGTAATGGTGATTTATTTATCATTCAACTGGTTTATTTCAAGTTCAGACATGGTTTCAAATAATTCGGTTTGAACAACCGGAAAGTGTAACCATTCCTCCCACAAACGATATGTCTGAAATCCGAATGTATGCACTTGCACTTAGAAAATAAATCATGTTCTACTTCTAAACTGGTAATCACTTGAAAATTTTTAGTTGAATTGAACGTGTTTCTTATACTAAATTTATTGAATAAGCAATAACATTATTCATATTTAAACCGCCGATTTTTAAGCAGTAAAAATCGCTACACATTTCAGCTTAATGAATTGCTTAACATCACCCCTAAAAAGTGATCTATAATCACGCGACCTACATATAACGAAACCAAAAAAAGGTGAATTTGCTGCGGGCTGCTAACTTCTAACTCTATGAATTATATTAAAAGGTTAGTTTATAATAACTAGGACAAGAAAGAGTAAATAGATGATGTCGATCAGTTTAAACAAGCCTTTTAAATAGCACATATAATTCCTGGTGACTAGTATTCGATATTATCACGACAATGACAATTCTGTGTGTATATATACCATAAAAATCTTGGAAAATCTACATATTACAAATGGTAAATCGAAAAGCAAATTAGCTATCTAAACAAATAAATCAATTATCTCTTTATACACAAAGATTATTGATAGAAGTTAGGAATTACCGAAATGTGATGTAAAACTTCATCAAGGTGTATCGAAAAATAGATCAATTGTTTTAAGCTTTTTAGTAATACATTTATCAAGTTGACATCTGTATGAATAAACTGAATTATACATTTTGTCAAGGTGGATAAACAAACTAATTATGATGCTCAAGTTAAAATAAATTAAGTTGAATAAAAACTTACAACTCAACTGAACACTTTTGGCAGCCTGCTTGAATATTTGGGCTACCTGTTCCTACCATCTAGATATTTCAAGTTATCTGATTTTTATTTGTTTTAAAACATTATTATGTCTATTAATCGTATAACCTATTCAAGCGCGTTTATGAAATGTTTACGACCTTTAGCTGTACAAGTTTCGAAAAGAGATATTATGGTTGCTGGAAATATGCAGCGAAAAGGATGAACATTATTCAGATGTCGATTCCTGAATTGCTAATATCTACCTGGCGATCACTCAATATTTATCATCAGGACAGAGTAAGAAATAAGGAAAGGAAACTTTTTGAAATACTTTGTGCGACGAATTCGATATTGTACTAAAAATATAATATTGAGTGAAGTCATTAATAATAATAATAATCACTTAAACTACAGTACATTCATTAAGATTTTCGTTCGAAAAGAATGCCGAAAATAGTTTATTAATGTTGACATGAAATGAAAACATATGCGCTGTATTAAAATTTAATTTAAAAATAATGCCAATGAACTATATATATCTGAAGATATGTAAGCTATCCTTTAATTAACTCATATTATTACTGTTAAAGAGTATGAACAACAGAGGTTCACCGTCAGTAATAGTATAGTAATTCTATGACTCTAAAAATGATGATTGGACTGGTTCTGTTTACGTTTCAACCCTCCAAGTATTTCATTCTTTAAACTCAAACTGAAATGCAGTAATACCAGATTCTATTCTTCATAAATTGTGCTTATCAGCCCAAAAAAATTCCCACAACCGTAAAATTGTATACACATTTACAATACTTGTTTAAAATTCATACTACTAAAAAACCATGTTAGTAGTGTGACTACCCAAATTACAGACAAGTTCACAATGGAATAACCTAAAAGTTACATATGACAAAAGCAGAACAAGGTTAATGATATTTTACTAAGCTAGGGGAGTAAAATTTTTTTACATCAAAGTGGTTGTTTGTAAGTAGGCGTTATATTAAACAACATTTTAAGTTGGGAAGACAATACAAAATTTTCAGGAGTATATCACTGAAATTTAACACTAGCAAAAAATATTAAATTACTATTTTCTAGGAATTAAATTTATTTACAATACGACAGATGGTTATATATATATATATATATATATATATATATATATATATAAATTAAATATTAGCCAGTCGATTGCGAATCCGCATTATCTAGATACTCATCAACAAGGTGTATCCACCACTCTTGCAAGAAAAGTTTACTCCATAACAGATTTTAACCACGATTTCAGAGAATCTATTGGGGTACATGTAGAGCTCAAATTGATCGGTTATAACGTAGAACTAAATTTTTGATTATTATATATAAAACTATTCATCTGTTCAAAAAGTGAATAAATTAATTATTAGAACTTTACGACCTTACACAGGTTTGTTTAGCAAATATACATCAGAGACAGTAAAAAGGATGAAATCTTTCTAGTTGCAAAACTCAATACAGTCGTCAAGTACCACTTTTGAAAGGGGAGTATTTTCAAGTGTTTTCAACGAGATCACGACAAAAAGTTCAATAAAGAGAAAAAAAGTACTCCGGGAAATTAAAAATAAAACCATGCAAAAATGTGTGTAATATTATTTCTGTCTAACAAGTATTGGCCTTAAATTATGAATACATCTGTGAAATTTAGGCACAGAGACATTGACCTGGAACTTCACTCCAAACACCACTTTAAAACTACAAGTTAATAGTTTTTAAAATAAATTATTTCAATAGGATGTCTACTGTCCATAAAAGAGCTAGATGCCAGTAATTTAGGGAACAGGTGTATAAGAGACAAAGATTGCACTCCATCAACTTAAAATCAGGGGACCAGATGTTACCGATAGTTGACATTGCTTACAGTCTCGTGGCATATCCAAGATGACATGTAATCAATCATTTACCAAGTATGGATCAATGAATCCGACTTTGAATCACTGTTCTTGAAAAGGAGGTTCAAACCTAAGAACTACTGATAAAAATCGAGAATCTTAACCATTAGGCCATCCCCACATTGTACGCTTAACAGAGTCTAATAAAATGTCATTGGTAAGTCTGCAGTCAAGACATATTACAGTGTAAAGAAAAACGTATACTTCATACATAGCGAATTATCTGCAACAAAAAAAAACAAGGATACGTAGTAGAGAATACAGCAGTTTGAAGTACAAACACATCTAATTAAAACTGACACAATAACCTCGTAGGAACAATCAATGTTGGAATCGACATAATTTAAATGTCCACAGAAATAAAGTGATTAGAAGTATAAATATGATCGAGTAATTAAAAAAACCATTACCTCTTCCAAATTTATTGGTTGAGATGACGTCCTTTTTATTTGTCGTCTAAACTGACTAATTATTCTAAGTAATGCAATCATTGTTTGTATTTGTTCATTTGTTAAACGACCATTATATTTAGAGACTAAGTGATAATTTAGTTGTTCTAAAATTGATTGGATTTTGTTAGTTCTCTAGAGTCCGATTCTCGCTCACTAGCACCAGTGCTACCACGAACAATACCAATATCCCCACGTTCTTTGCTTAACTCTTTAATATTTACAGAATTGAAAGACGGTACATTACTAGATGTGGAAAGTGATGATGAATGAGAAATATGTTCTAAATTCGATGAAAGACACGTAGGTTTTATGGAAGCATTGAAATCTGCTAATTTTCTCTGCAAATCCAAATCTAGTGAATGGTGCTGATGTACAATTAAATTTTCATCACCTAGCGTAAGAAAACAAAGACAAAACAGATTAGAAGATAGGCGACGATGGGTGATAAATAAAGAAACAAATCAATAGGGTTGATTTTCACCATAGATTTTTAATAAGGAGGAGAACTATTGACAAGCGAAGGGAATCGAACAGTTGTTTCATACTAATTTAATTTGAACGGTTTCTCCCAAACCTCCGGTTTTAATAATTATCATATCCGCGCTAGTAACCAACTAGGAGGCGAATTATAAACGTTTTAGTGATAAACCATGATCGGTGTAATTGAGTTATGTTTAAAGTTAGTAGGTTGTTAACAGTAACAGGTGATGTCAACTAATTTCAAAGCATGTGTTTAGTTCTAATATATGAGAAATAAACACTACTGAATGAGCTGGATTACATTTCATTTTTCTTATAGTCGTTATACTCAAATTATCATTATTGATCCTTCACTATTGTCTTTATGAGCTGATGGTTTGAGATACAAGCCTTTGTTAAACCAGAATAGTACTTCCGTCTGATAAATAATAAATATACTTCAAAATCCAGTAAAACAGACCTATACGTAGAATTCTATTAAACTATAACACTAGATTAACATACACAGAACAGAAGAAAAAGGTATTATGACTTCATTAGTAATGTTGCAGGTAGACCTAAAGGTGAAGTCTTTTTCTGTGAAAGATGATGGAGGGGAGAGTCAAAGAATTCAAAAAAAAAACCACAGGTGGCCCTGAAGACGCTAGTAAACATTTTGTCTAGTCAGTGTTGAATAGAAGTATCTTAGATGCATTTAAAAAGTGGCGAGTCACATGTCACATTTCTGATTGGATGATTATCTATCATCCTACTGTGTTTAATATGGCCCCAGAATCTTCCAAAAGCCCAAGACCATCTGGAATATCACAAATACCCTCAGCTTTTTGTACATAAACTAACCTTGGAGTAAAGTGTTCTTTTCATACTATGCGTTTTCCCCCTCATGTTGTCGTACAGATTTAGCCTGTGGGTTATTAGAAGAGCTTAGGAAACCGATTCAAACGTTCAGTTAAGTTTATCAATCAGTGAATATCAAATTACTAATTAGAAATAATTAGAAAATGAGTTTGCAATATTAACAAAACGTATGCCCTAAAGGCTGACAAACCATGAAGGGAAATTATGAACTAGGTGTCATAAAAACAAGGGATTGTTAGTGTCAGAAGAACATTAATTGTAATTATTCATCGAAATATGTGAAGTCATTGACGAACACTGGTGACAATCAGTCAGTCAGCTACAACGTAGGACCAGGCACATATATGCATCGGTCCAAGTTACCATACCTCATTACCACAACAAGATGAACACCGGATTCATAAAAGTAGTTAATTCAGTTGTGGTAATATATAAAAGAAAGATTGCAATAAGGATATAGTACAGGAAGAAAGAATTAGTTCGTAGAAAGGAAGATATGAAGCGATTTTAATCTCCCAGTTTAAGGGAAGACAGAGAGTGTATACACCGACGCCATTGTGATCGATGTCACCAAGAGTCTCCAACCATTGGTTACGAAAGTCACGCGGACCCCAACCAAGTAGTCTGCATCTACCAACATGGCTCAGACCAGATGTTAGTGACTTCAAGCACTGATACCACGTTTTGGTTTGGCCACCCCTAACTTTCTTCCAACGATCCCGAACACCGGTTAGCATTGCACGTCGTGGTAATCGGTGTTCAAGCATACGTAACACGTGGCCCAACCATCTCAGTCGATGAAGATTCATAACCTCATCAACTGATTTACCATCATTCCCTAATACCCTGCGTCTAACCTCACTATTACTTACCCGGTGATCTCAGCAGACACCAGCAATATTTCTAAGGCATCTGTGGTCAAATACTAGTAGCTTACGAGTGTCTTCTACTCTTAATGGCCATGTTTCGCTGCCGTAAATTAAAACAGAACGGACTGCCACGCAGTAAACTCGTCCTTTTATTGATAGACGGATATCTCGCCTTCGCCACAGGTGACGTAAGTTGGCAAAAGCCAAGCGAGCTTTTCGAATCCGTGCTGAGATTTCGTCAGACACCAACCCATTAGGGCTGATCAGACTTCCAAGATAAGTGAAGTTGTCAACGTATTCGACTACTTCACTCCCTATCCTTAGTTCAGGTGTTGACGCAGACCAGTCCTGAAGCAACAACTTGCATTTAGAGGGAGAGAAGCACTGGTGACAAGCTCTTATTCAATAGCTGTTAGCTGTTTCAAACGTTCTTCAGCTAACGTCAATTCTTGGTGGAATTCAATTAATTTCAAATTTATAGTTTATATGGTAGAGATTCCATTGGTTGATAAGAAGTTTTTAGTGTTAAAATCCTTGAATTATGAGAGAAATTTAGGAAATTTTCAAGGTTTTGTAAAAACCCTATGAAAGCAGCTGGAATGCTAAGCGTGGTTGACCTTGTGTGATAGATGATAGACACAATTAACGACAATCACATCTTTGTAAATAAACAATCCAGCTGAAAGGATGCAATATCAACAAACACGTTCTATGTATTTCTGAATGAATTACTGTGGGTTTTTTACGCTATTGTTGTTTGATAAAATTTAATTGTACTTTATGATTTTGTGGTGGTCGGTATTCAGTATAATTCTCTAACTTCGTACACTGCTCGTCCTGATAACCGCTACTAGATAACGCCCAACGGTGTATAAATCAGAAGACGAGTACGAAGCGTTGATTACGTTTATTATCGCACCGCACACAGATTACCCAAACCACAGGCACACGAAACAAGAATGATATGCAAGTGCCGAAGAGCAAACGAGAAAGTGAGTGAGTCACTGAGCAAGTCAATGAACAGGATTAAAAGTTTCAAATATATACATAGAAAATGAATGCGTCATCGAATCGTTTAAGCGACTAACACTAAAGCTAACGGAATGAATATTTGCGTAAGCGGTAAGCAATGCTCAAACATGCATGTTCATACAAGCGTAACACTAATAAAGGTACAATGGTATAGATAAGTTGTTGTTGTTGTACGAATGAATGTCTGTTAAATAAGTTAATAAAAGGGCTTAACCAAATCAAACGTGAACAAACTCAAATGTACATGAGCCGCTATAATTTCCTATTACAGTACAATATAAATGTTGATGTTGAGACTGTTTAACACGATCAAAAACAAAAGTGGAATCAATGCACTGATTTACACATACAATTAAACATAACGCTTAGGATAAAATATTGATAATTATCGTGTGACATAATGCTTTTATTTAATACCTTAACGCTAATAATTTAACTTCTACTTTCAGTCTCAATCGGATCATGTGACTTGTTCAAAACTATAAATCCACTGTATTTTTGTTTATTTCATGCTAATTTAAGAAAATAGTGTTTAAGATAACTGGGAATAAAGTAAAAGATGTTCTTAGATCAATGTAAAACTGCTGTATAATTGACATTTTACCTAAACTGATGATACGAATGGAAATCAAGATGTACCAAAACGTTATCAACTTCAATAGGCACTATACAAACCGAATTGACTAGATTAACTGTTAATTCAGTAAAACATTAACAATTTAATGATGTAGAGTTCAAAGATCCGACCAATAAATTTATGTATATTCGAAGAATAACAAACATAAATCTGATACTGGCCTTCCAAATGTTTCTTAAATCCTTATAAATATCCTCCAAAGGGTCACGGACAAAAGACAAAGGCTGGTAGTTCGAAAAGAAACTTACTTCCAAGATTAGCTCAGATACAGAAGTACTTTGTTTATTTTACTTACACAAGAATATTTCTAGGTTTATTCGTGGCTTTGGTATTCTTAGAGCATCTGCAGTCACGCTAAAATCAATAACAAAATTCGTAGTTATCCAATTACGATATAATACATAGTTCATTTTTTTTCTAGAATGCACCGGAGAGCTTCTACTGAGAGCAGATCTAACGAAGTATTTTCAGACCTTTCCCAGCTTTTGAGGAATTTTTCGAGGGACTTTGGAAGGTCACTAACAGCAATCACGTCAGTTTGTACTTTAAAAAGCCTTTACGCTGACTTGGCCTAAAAATGGTTTGGCGTGTCTTCAATTCAGTGCCAATCAATGAACACTATAATTTAGAATTAAGTATGGTGTGACTTATTTGTCACACATGGTGTGTAAGGGCTAGCGATACTACTCGGTTGTAAAAACCGAATTAAGTAAAGCTGAATTTAAACTAGCGAATTACTAGTTGCGATGCAAATGCTTTAACCAATAATCCACTTCACCATCACGTCAACAAGATAAGAGAAACGTCAATTAAGCAATTAATTAGTATGTGATAAAATAATATGTGAACTTTTACAGAACCATGTCGTGCATTGTTAGAATTACATATGGAATTTCGAAGGTTGGATTAATAATTTGGGTAACCAGCATCGAGTTATGAAAGGCCATCCGACAAAGTGTTGTGTTGGTGAAAAAAAACATTAGACCTCAATACTCCAAAAGTTACTAGAAAGCAAGAGAATTTCATCAAGGAACATTCAAATATACTTTACTTGTATGGGAATAAATCTGCCCGTTGTTGATGTTATGGACTGTAGTTGGTCAGTCTATTTTTGACATGTAGGCATCCTGAGCAGAATGTTTCTCACATTGCTATTTATTCACAAGCGTTTTTAAACAAAGTTTTATTAGAGATTAGTAGTGAAATCTAGGAAATGTGTTTTATCCCAAATAGGATTCCACACCTAGATACTATCCAAACCTTATTTAGAAAATTGAATGTTTTATATTGTAACCTGTATATATTTATCAGCAAGATCCTTCAACGTTTTTTATTTTTAGTATAAAACTAAACTATCCAGTTAGTATTGGAAAACTGTCACATGAAACGTAGTAGAATTGTAACCAAAGTTGATGAAAGAAATAGTCTATAAACTGAGGAATTAATGAAAAATCACTAGATCTCAATAATATAACAGTGAAACATTATTTTCTATATATTTTTAGAAAATTTTTATAAAATTATACACATTTAAGCTCACATGTTTGTTATTGTTAGAAATGAGAATGATTTTTTTTTGTTGCGAAAACTAACAATCAATTGTGGGCTGCTTAAAATAAACTTTGAGTTTTATATTATAATCTTTATTTACACTCAACATATATGAAAAGTGAATTTGAATATGTCGATCATGTATTTCATTACTAATTATGTACATATGATCCCCTCTATTATATAATAACATAGTGGAATGTATATTAGGAGAATGAATATAAAAGTAGATAGACAGGTCAATTATAAGAATGTTGCATAAAAATTGCATCAATTCAAATTACCATAGAAAAAGAGAATCCACATGAATGAAAAGATATTGAAGTAAAACAAAGAGATGTATGATGATGATAGTAATAGTAATAATAGTAGGGAAAAAGTGATAAAAACGATAGTGACAATAGAGGATGATTTGTCTAATCCTATTGTTCATTAGTATTATAACTTCTCTATTTATGTTTTACAGAGGATGATCGTGAATTAATTCACTAGTTGGATACTTTTTTGATCCTGTTATATAATTGGAAGTTAAAAGCAAAGAATATGTATTGACTAAAACCAGTTATACTCTTAATACTGTTACTAACCGGAATCATAGTTATTTGAAAACATGTCTTTTCGAAGAAGGGAGCCGTAGATGGTCATTTTTGAAACGTTATTACTGTATTTATTGTCTCTGGATACTTTATGTCGGCCTCAGATCACAGATAAGGGATTATTTTGAAGCAGAAATAAGTGTACTGCCATTTTGTTTAAAAAGTAACAGGCTACAGTGTTTGATATGAGCTTCTATTTTGAAAGTTGAAATCAAATATTTAGTCCTACTCCATGTTACACATTTCTAGAATAAATTCATTTTACTTTTCCTCTCAAAGATCAATTTTACCGCCTTGTATCTCATTAGTCAGATCTTTTGTATAGGCCTTCCATTTTTATACTTGCAGGTGTACCGTGAAAACGTTAGCTTCCTATGTATCCGTTTACAGTGATCGCTTATTTACTTTCATGTTTCTCGAGAACTGAGTTCCGTTATCAAGATATTCGAAGATTACTTCGTTTGAACACATTACCAACTTACTGTTCACTTATGCAGAAATCACTTTAATGCATAATTATCCAGTCTTCGTAGAGGTTGCTAATTTCCGATCATTTATGTATATACTGAAAAAGTTTGCATATTTTTCTCTTCTTAATTTAGGATCAATTTGTTTTAAGAGGGGATGCCCTCATAGATTTGACTAGTAAAACCAATACACTGATAAGGTTCCTATCTATGAACTTGGACTCTGTTTAGATTCCATGGGCTACATCTATGGCATCATGCAAATAACAACAATCTTTCCTTGATAATATCAAGCCTATTTATAACATCATATATTTCATTGAGATCATTCTAATCTTGTTTCTTTACACTTGTATATCGGATACATCGCTCATGCGTAAAGTTTGGTGTTACCTGTGAAAATGTCTAATAAATAAATACAGAAATATCCTTTATGACTCAAAGGCTTATACAGATCAATTAGATTTTACAATTTCAACACATTGTGTTTTCACCATTAATTTTATAAAAATCCAGATACCAATCGACATTAGCAAGTACCCACAACGAGTTTTAGTATATCCTACATTAACTGATTACCGCTCTGTTAAGGTATTTCCGTTTGTTAATTTTCGATAGCACTAACCGAACTAGAAGAACAAGAGATTTTACGTCTCAAGCAAACTAAATCCTTACATAGCAAGATATTAAAAGTTAATTAAAATATATTCCTATTTTGAGAGACCACTGCTCAGTTGACCACCAACATGATAAAGGAAACTTCGTTAAGTAATTTTAATACAAGTGTTTACAGAGCCGTCTCTAATTTAGGTTAGGTAAGATTACTATATTAAAACAAAAATGTTCATTTAAGTGAGGTTTTTAGAAGTTGAGAGTTTATTCATGTACAACGAAACTTTTTGTATTAGATTTTCATATTGTTTAGAGCAACAACGAAAACTTCTCAATTAAACCACTCAACTCAGAAAATGCAACATCATGACAAGTAGGAAACTGCGCTTGTCATTGTTTTACATTAGGATAAATAATTAATAAATTTATTTAATGGTGTATTACAAGTTCAAAATGTATTCCACATATTTCAACTTTGGGAGCCAGGCAACAGTACAATTGGCTCCCATAAAAAAGGATGAATTACCTCGCACGTAGGTTAATAAATTTTATGATTACGTTACATATCAGAATAACAAGATGAGGAAGAATTTGTAAGTAGCAAATTGACATACCTAAATCCCACTCACTGAAAGAAGGTGAATCTGCACTATGCCAATGATCAACTATATGAGAGATTCCATGTTGACCTGAATCACTTCCTGAATGTTCTAAATTTTCATCGAAGTCTGATTCTGTAAAGGGATTTTGCGACGAACCAGGTAATTTGCTATCTGTTCTACAATGTCTGTTACTTAAAACACGACCACGACGACGATTAAGCAAGTAAGCTTTTAAGCGTTGTTTGACCTGGTATCAATACAACAAAACTTGGATGAAGCAAATGACTATTTCATAGAAATGTTGTTAACAAATTACTCCAGTTAAGGGTTTAAATTTAATAGGTATTGGAATAGGCTTCAGAGTTTATGGGAAGGTATTCCATAATATGATAAATACAATTAGCAAATAATAATGATAGTAGATCATTAAAAAATTAGTGACCCCATAATAATACTGTTAACATCTTTTGTCAGAGGTATAATTACGAACATTTCTTCTGGATGAATAACATCGACCTGAAATTTTGAAGTGTTAATAGTTCGGCAGTGTAAATATTTTGTCCTAACTCCTTATGAGCCTTTAAATCAGCATCTCTGCACGATTTTGAGAAACTTTTCAAAAGAGGATGATTGACTCGAGTTTACGAAGTTATTTGTAATTGAGTCCCATTTGATTCTAAGTTTATTTTTTCGCCATCCAAGAGGGATAGTGCTCATCAGTTTGTTTTGCGAGAGAGCACATGGTAAAGTCGAGTTAATCAAGAACAAATAAACTGATGGAAATAAATAATTCTGGTGTAATATTTTAGATTATTTTTGTTACGTTTTCAACAAGAGAATATAATGTTGTGTAGAAGGCTCTATTCAGATATCATGATAGCCTTTTAAGAAAAATATCATGGCCAGCATCTTCTTTGAATCCGAATTTCGTTGACGGAATTGTCCTCATGGCTAAATAAGCATGATCTGGAGTCATTTTACCTTGCAAATTTCGACCAACGAATATTGAAAAGTATTCTTTCCCCAAGAAGATTCTTTGAAGATTACCTAATTCGATAATTGATATCATGAACTGATCTAAATTAGACCACCATTAAAACTTGAAAGCAGTAGACAACCGTTTCGTTCTAGTATGAGACCCCTCATCAGTGTGTATCCACGACCCTGGACGAGGGAATTGAACCCAGAACTTTTGGTCTCGTGTGCGAACATCTAACTTTTAGACCATCAAGTCAGTCAGTCAGTAACAACGTAGAACTTCGTACGTACGTACATCAGTTCGAGTTGCCACACCACATTAGCACAGAGATGCAATGGTCGATTCAAATCCCGTAGTGGTAGAGGTAATAAGAGTATAAGCAGTAATCGGGAAAATTAGTGTTTGGAGATGTTATTTAAAGAGTATAATACAGTGAAATAAATTTGGGAAGAGAAAAAAAGAGACAAGGAGGAATAAGGAGATCAAAATTTGGGAGAACACAAAGAGTGGATGCACCTGCGCCATTGCAAACGATTTTGAGCCATGTCATTCAGGGTCTCTAACCATCGGTTGCTATCATCTCGCGGTCCCCAACCAGGTAGTCTACACCTACCAACATGACTCAGTCCACTTGTCAGTGACTTCATGGACTTGTGCCATGTTTTGGTCTGGCCGCCCCTAGCTTTCTTCCAACCTACTCCTATACCACTGAACATCGCACGTCGAGGCAGTCGGTCGTTGGGCATACGTAACACGTGTCCCAGCCATCTCAACTGATGAAGTTTCACTACGTCATCAATTGATTTGCCATCCTTACCTAGTACCCGTTTCCTAACAACTGCGTTACTTACTCGATGGTCCCAGGATATACGAGCAATATTTCGAAGACACCTATGATCAAATACTAGTAACCTACGAATATCCTCTACTCTTACCGGCCATGTTTCACTGCCATAAAGTAGGACGGAACGAACTGCTGCGCAGTAAACACGTCCTTTGGTTGATAGACGGATATCTCGCCTACGCCATAAATGACGCAAGTTGGCAAAAGCTAGTCGAGCCTTCTGTATCCGTGCTGAGATTTCGTCACACACCAGACCACAAGGGCTGATGAGACTTCCAAGATAAGTGAAGCGGTCGACACGCTCAACTACTTCACTCCCTATCATTAGTTCGGGTGTCGATGTAACCCAATCCTGAAGCAACATTTTGCATTTCGAGGGGAGAATCGCATCCCGAACATGCTTGCATTGTTGCTTAGAGTGGTCAGAAGACTCTGCATTTTGTCAGCGTCTTCACCAAATAAAACTATGTCATCAGCATATTCTAAGTCAACAAGTGAACCTCCCGGTAGAAGTTCAACCCCTGGAAATTTAGATGAGGAGAGTGTTATCTCTAAAAGTACGTCGACGACAAAGTTGAACAAGAATGGGAGAGTGGACAGCCCTGACGAACACCACTTGAGGTAATCAATTCTGATGACAGTTCGCCATAAGCTCTCACTCTACCAGTTGTGTTCGAGTAGAGAGCCTTTATAAGGTTAATGTACTTCTTTGGTACTCCTTTCAGTGACAAACACTGCCATAGAACCTCACGATCAACAGAGTCGAATGCCGCCTTAAGGTCGAGAAATACTACCATTGTGGGGCGTCTGAATGTGTGTCTGTGTTCTAGAACCTGACGTAGTGTGAATATCTGATCTATACAACCACGTCCAGGTCGAAAACCAGCCTGGTTTTCTCTAGTCTGCTCTTCACGAGCTTTGATTAGGCGTCGAAGTATTATTGAAGCTAATATTTTAGACACTATATTAGTCAAACTGATTCCTCTGTGATTGTCACAAGAGGACTTTTGTCCTTTCTTATAGACTGGCACAATCAGTGATTGAGACCAGTCAGATGGGATTACGTCCAGTTCCCAAATTCTACCTAAGACCTCAGTTAATCTCACTGCTAATACTGGACCACCATCCTTAAAAATCTCAGGAGTAAACCTGTCAGGGCCTGCTGCTCTCCCTCGTTTCAGATTTCCTATGGCTTTTTCAACTTCGTAAAGACGGAGGACCTACATTAACTTGCCATTCAGGTTGACTGGAGATCGTGGGAAACCGAAGTGTGGCTGAAGGCCAGTTGAACTGATCCCTAAAGTGTTCTGCCCATCGATCCAATCTCCTGGATTGAGAATGAATAATATGTCCATCTTTCTCTGAGATTGTTTCGCTAACAGTCGGTTTCCTTAACAAGTCTGAACAATTGTCTGCTATTACCTATTGCCGCTGCCTTTTCCATCTCTCTTGCTTTCGCTACCCACCACTGTTCGCGATCATTGCGTAGACTTCTTGTCAGCTTGCGCTTAAGCTGACTCCGCTCTTCATTATGTTCAGAGCCAGGTGGAATGAGTTTCCGAGCATCTATCAGTGCGATAGATGCTGCTGAGATCCAGTGTTGCTCCCTAACCTTACGGTTTACCTTACTAGCAGATATCACTGCTGTTTCCACAGCTTTTCGGATATCATTCCATGCTGCATCGGGGTGGGCATCACATACATGGCTGCCTAACTGTTTTCCTAGTTGTTCCTGAAATATACTCTTAGCTTGACTATCATTAAGTAGGCCCTAAGAGGTTTCCTTGCAGCGTCTTTCCTACGTCCAGTAAGACGCAAGCAAATACGCGCTCGCACTAGAGCATGATCTGAATCTAGGCATGTGCTCCAGAATGAGCGACAGTCTTCTATCGAGCCCCTCCATCGGTGGCTGATAGCGATGTGATCTATTTGGGTCCAACGTTGGGACGAATTAGGGGGTCGCCATGTTAAAAGATGTTTTTCCTTATGCTTAAAGTTAGTATTTGCAAGGAACAGGCGGTTATCTGAGCATAGCTGCAACAGACGGTCGCCATTATCTGTTCTTTGAGCCACGACCATAAGATCCACCTAGGTGTCTTTCCCTATCGCTTAGTTTACCTACTTGAGCATTAAAGTCACCGGCCACTATTACTACATCCGAGCGCCTAGCTTTTCGGAGAAGGTCCGAAAGCTTTCTGTAAAACTCATCTTTTACATCATCTGAGCTGCAGTCAGTGGGAGAATAGGCAGAGACGACGAAGAGGCAACGACGAGTGTCCCTATCTTTCCGGATCTTACTGTTCCGTTCAGTCGGACAGCGCACAAACGACTGTCTACTGGGATCCACTCTAAGAGAGCTAGTTCTGCCCTAGGACTCAATGCTATACCTACGCCGGCGAGGCCACGGGAAGCAGAATCAGGGCTTCCAGATACACGAAGCGTAAATCGAGTCGGTTCTTTATTTTGGCATGGTGAGGTCAAATGAATGACGCTACTCGGATCCTGTATGCGCGTTTCGGAGACGCAGCACACATCGATGGCGCGAGATTCTAAAGTTTTAGCTAAGGAAGCCTGCTGTCCTATTTGGCAAAGTGTTCGTACGTTAAAAGCTCCTACGTGTAGTTTAGAGCGTGGTTTCAGGAGACCAGGAATGGCGTTCCACGTACTCGAATCGTTTGCCCTAGCGGTGCGAGGTGATAAAGAGACGTGAGGAGGGTTAGTCATGGAGATAAGAGAGGTATTAGGAGGTGTAGGAAGGATTTGAATGTGACAACTTGGTCTCGCGTGCTGTTACGGGTATGAGGGCTGATGTCACTTCCCGGCTGCCCACACCGTGGAAGGGTATTTCTTGAGGAACCTGAAAAGGAAATTGGATTAGTGTTGGTCTTGACGACCTGGGAGCGTGACCGCAGAGCCCAAGGGACAACTGCTTGAGGCCGGTCGCGCACGGCCTTTTTGTGGAAGGTTTTTAACGTGTTAGCTCCGTTCTTCAAAGGGCCTTACCGCCGGAGACGGAAATCCGTGAGGTAAGGTGAGGTGTGACATTTTTAGGGTCGACCTTTTCTAACCCCACCCCTCCTTGTGGGAAGGCAGCATCGCTGTCATGCTGGTTGTCCGAGGGAAACACCTTACTGCTGTCACACCTCTCAACAGTCAGCAGTACGACTTCGCCCTCAGACCATTAAGTCGACATCCAACGGTGAATTCGATCAACAGGCAGCTGTAGTTTATGGTACAAAGTTATTCAAATCCTACTACTAATTAAGCTGGGAAAACTTTCAGACGGTAGACCGAATTTTATATACACGTATCTTCCTCATAGAAAGTACAGTTGAATAAAATTAGAATACAATGACTGTGATAAGATGACTAGTAGATTAAGACCTAAATGCGCATGAGTTTCTTGGCTCGATAAGGTTTGCATTGGTAAGATGGAAATTTTTTCTTTAAGGATATCAAGATCAAGTTTGGTAATTCTTTATTGTATACTTATACGCGATTACACATACAGATAATGAAACCATGGAGATATTGTAAATATACGAAACAATTAACCAATTATGCATTATGAATGACATTATATCCTCATCCTCGCATATTTTTCATATTTAAAATGCTGATTAGTTTGCAATATCGTTATTAAAACGATAAAACTTCAATCTTCTACATGTAGTAGGCGCTGGTGATATTACCCAGAACAGCAAAGAAAGATCCCCAATGAAATCATCTGGCTCAGAGAATAAAACACCACTAAAAACTTTAATCTGTTTTATTAAGGTGACAATTTCGAGCAACTGTATACCTCAGCTATAAAGCTATGACGAAAACCGCTAAAACAACTAATGGTGCTACATATCAAATTATTCTGTATACATGGAAAATGTTACAACCACTTTTAATAGGAAGATATCGTCATTAAATTACTGCTTTCATTACATCACAGATAGTTTTAAAATTTTAACCCTTGTTAGCTGAGAAATACCTTACTATTTTGTTATTGTTTCGAATGAATAAGCCAATAAATTTGGGATCAAGGAAAGACAAAATATACTTTCATAAAAAACCTGATTTTTGTTCAGGCGTAGTGAAAACCATGATTTAATCGTTGGTTATTTTGAGACAGCAGATGGACGGCTTTAGCACATTCTAGATAAAGGCTTCTAGTGGCTCCGTATCGAAAAATGAAGCTGAGACTGGGACAGAGAAGTCAGTTACGTAACACTGAGGGATGAAGGATAGTTGTATGAAGTTATTATTTCTTGGTTCATCGTAACTGCAGTTTCAGATTTGATTAAACATATTTCGACGTCAAAGTCAGTGATCACCGATCATCCGGATATATAAGATTTTAGCCGTATTGTTAAATCGCCCAGGATCACGAACGGCAAACATTAGTGGAAGGTAAATATAAACAATGATAGAGCAGTGTATAATGTGTAGATGATCACTATTTAAAGGAATAGACATCTATAAATCTGAGCATTGCTATTTGCCTTCAGTGGTAGTCATCTAACTTATCAGCAATTTCGCAACGTTTAAAATTCATAATAAGTACTGAACTTAACTGTCACTTCACAGTTAACATTAAATAAATGTTCGTCAGTTTTACTTATGTACAACCGCTTAGCCTTCAAAGATAAGTGATCCCATTTATCATGAAACGGCAGGTTAGTTAGCACCAAGCCATAGAAACATATTAGTAGCAATTTTAACAACTAATTTTAGTTTTAAACTACTACTTATTATAAGCAAAGGACATGTCTATAAGTGATAAATATGCACTATCATTTCGCACATTGTGCGTTGCACTGGCAAGTCACAAAGGCCTTATGAAATCTATAATGCAATCATTTACTTAGATGATGCATTGTTATTTTCATCAGAACTATTAGAACGCAGTCCTGATAAAAATTATCTTCTGGTTGAATTACCAAAATTTGTCAAAAAGAGTTTTAAATCATATTTATGACTGCAACCATTGATCTCAGTAAAGTTTAAAACATTGTAGCTAAACTTGAGGGCTAATGATCTTACATTTTAAAATATTATTGCGAACTAAACAGCTAGAATACTAACCTGCGTTGAAGAAAGACGACCTTCTCCTCCTTGATCAAAGGATACTTGACGTGACAGAAATGAGGAGCGAGAAGGGTTTGATGATATGCTTGCTGAATACTCTGGAGATGTTGGTAGTAGTTGGTGGTAAGAAGTACGTAGAGACAAACCATCTCCCAATCTGGTGGTTGTATATGTTTCGGTCGATGCACCTTTCGTAAATGGTGGATGAGTAATACGATGTCCTGTGCTGCTGGATAGTTCAACAAGAGAAGAAGTAGACTTCAGAGATCCAACCGTTCTATTGGGTCCTCTTTGATCCATTCACACATAAGAATGGTTAAATATCCTTAACAGATGGCTAAGTCTGGTAACTGGGTAAAGTTGCTGAAAAAGAAAAGTATGTAAACTAAGGTGTATCTTAAGAAAGTTAAGCACGCTATCGTCTCAAAACCATCCAGAAAAATAAAATGGATGATATTATAGTGTGTATGCCAAACATTAAAATTAGAACCAAGGATATTTAAGAGTAAAAGTAACGAATGTTGTATAATGTTGCCCCATGTAGTTCCTTCAACAGATAACAGAACAAATAAATTTGGACTGTACAGATTAGTGCTGAAACAATGATATAGATACTGATTAGTAAATGAAGGTCTCCTATAGTAAGATCCTACTAGAAATATTTCTTTGTTAGGAACCTAATCTAAAGATTAAATTAAAGGAAAACATATGTATGTATATTCAGGGAAAATTTGAAGAGGTTATGATATATTGATGACCTCAGATAATGCTAAGAATTCAGGCTGTTTTTTAACCAATATCTGAACAGGTCATCGAAATAAAGTATGTTGACAAAAACAGAATGAAGTAGTAATATATGTGGTCTACGAGTTTTCGCAAGGTTCATAATCACTTTGATTTGTCTTAAAACAGGTTACTTTGGCGACAAAAGGTCACTCATTCAAGAGACCAGTTATTGTTCGTCTTTTATTAAACCAAAAATACACTTATTAACGACTCCGCAGTTTCTACAATACTTGTGTTAGGACTTGTTGACACTAAAAGATGGTGTCAGTAGATCACTGTCCGAGAACCACAAAAATAAAGATCTCAATACTATCAAGGAGTCGTCTTAAACAGGAGTGTGGCGCATATATATCTGGCGTCCCCTTGTACCAATATCAGTCAGTCAGTCAGCTACAACGTGGGACCAGGCACATATGTGCATCGGTCCAGGTTGCCATACCGCATCAGCACAACAAGATGAACACCGGATTCATAGCAGTGGTTGGGTCAAAGGTGGTAATATATAAGAGAAAGATTGCATATAGAGATATAATACAAGAAGAAAGATATGAAGTGATTTTAATCTCTTAGTTTAAGGGAAGACAGACACCAACGCCATTGTGATCGGTTCTGAGCCATGTCACCAAGAGTCTCCAACCATTGGTTACGAAAGTCACGCGGACCCCAACCGAGTAGTCTGCATCTACCAACATGGCTCAGACCAGATGTTAGTGACTTCAAGCACTGATGCCACGTTTTGGTTTGGCCGCCCCTAACTTTCTTCCGACCATCTCCAATACCGGATAGCATTGCACGTCGTGGTAATCGGTGTTCAAGCATACGTAACACGTGGCCCAACCATCTCAGTCGATGAAGATTCATAACCTCATCAACTGATTTACCATCATTCCCTAATACCCTGCCTCGAACCTCACTATTACTTACCCGGTGATCCCAGCAGACACCAGCAATATTTCTAAGGCATCTGTGGTCAAATACTAGTAGCTTACGAGTGTCTTCTACTCTTAATGGCCATGTTTCGCTGCCGTAAAGTAGAACAGAACGGACTGCCACGCAGTAAACTCGTCCTTTTATTGATAGACGGATATCTCGCCTTCGCCATAGGTGACGCAAGTTGGCAAAAGCCAAGCGAGCTTTTCGAATCCGTGCTGAGATTTCGTCAGACACCAACCCATTAGGGCTGATCAGACTTCCAAGATAAGTGAAGTTGTCAACGCGTTCGACTACTTCACTCCCTACCCTTAGTTCAGGTGTTAACGCAGACCAGTCCTGAAGCAACAACTTGCATTTAGAGGGAGAGAAGCGCATTCCAAACATCCTGGCATTGTTGCTCAGTGCTACCAGAAGACTCTGCATTTTGTCAGCGTCTTCACCAAACAGGACTATGTCATCTGCGTATTCTAAGTCGATAAGTGGACCTCCTGGATGGAGATCAATACCCGAGAACTCAGTCGACGAGAAAGTTATTTCCATCAGTAGATCTATGATGAAGTTAAACAAAAATGGGGAAAGTGGACATCCTTGCCGGACACCACTTGAGGTTGCAAAGGTAGATGACAGTTAGCCATAAGCTCTGACTCGACTAGTAGTGTTCGAGTAGAGAGCCTTTACAAGGTTTATGTACTTCTGGGGTACGCCTTTCAATGACAGACACTGCCACAGAATCTCGCGGTCTACCGAGTCAAATGCTGCTTTTAAGTCGAGAAAGACCACCATTGTCGGACGCCGATAAGTATGCCTGTGTTCTAGAACCTGACGAATGGTGAATACGTGGTCGATGCAGCCACGACCAGGTCTAAAGCCAGCTTGTACCAGTATTAATGTATTCAAATAAATAAATACTTAAACAGAGGTATGTTACTCAATGAATTAGTAATGACATCAACTGGTTGAAAGTAAACGAATTATCAATAAATTATTCTAGGTAGAATATATACCAGAAGACGTAAATTTATGCCACATTATTCCTACTGAAAGGTAGAATGACAGACCTTTTCTTACTATTCATCTCTTAAGAAACAAAAATATCTTCTACAAAGCTTATCACGAAATAAATGCTAACTGGTGTTGCTTTTGGAATTATGGAATGCTTTTACCTTTAAAAAATGTTATAACTTAATCCATTAATAATTTTGCAAACAACTGACTTGTACATTCAGAGAAGTAGGGAAATAAGGTTGGTTACAAATGATTAAGGATCCATTAAGTGAACAGTAAGCTATGTTAAAGATACGGATACAGATAACAGAAATCTAAGGTAGACTAACCACCACACCAAGTCTACAACTAAGCGTATGAAGCTGAAGCACGTATGTCGTAATATACATATAGGACAACATACATTTTGGCTTAATTTTCACTAAGAGGTATCAAATTGGTATGTACGGAATCCAATCGATCAATCACAATTAAGTCGTGAAGTACTGGAAATTGCAACTCCAAAGGAGAAGAGATATGGAACTCAGTGGCCATGTTATTCCTATTAGGAAGATATGAAGAGTAAAGTTAAACAAGGGTGAACTAGTAATGAAAGTGTGAATTGTTCTAAGGTCATGGCACAGTAACACTGAATGTTGTTTACCAAACATAAAATGGATGACCACTAAGAAAAACATCTGAACTTATTTAAAACCAATTGATAGTTAAGAAAAACCATAGTTTGTGACTACAGTGCTGAAATGTATATCTATGAAAACAGTGGCAATTCAGATGAAACGATATTTTGTTGTAATGATCGCTGGTCTAAGGAACCCCATTTTTGTCCATTCCATTTTAACACTCGGGTTATTAATGTTCCTATGGTCCAACCTTACCAACCAAACTACGACAAAGTATAAGCTTTATCCATATCACGCGAGCTAAACGGTCTTCAAATGTTTTTTAATGAACTAACAAGTAGAACGTGAGAAACGGAATAAGTGATCTAGACAACACGCTTTCTTAACTCATGGAGTTACGTTGAAAACGAAATATGCTTACAGTCAAAACTATCTGGCATCTATAATGAGTTACATACTGTTATATGAGGATGTGAAATTCAACACGGTATGCGAGTGAGGAATGAGTTCATGATGAACCAGTTCGTGATGAAAACTTTAAATGTGATTCCCGAAAACAACCGTCAACTACATATCAAAATTCATATTGTTCACACAAGTTTATAACTCATTTAGCTCTAGCAACTAGGTAGACATTCTCAGTGCCACTTTAACGTCGCTTAAAGGTCATCTATAACTTATAGTCTCACCCCTCGAGATCACGTTTAGTCCGTGTTTTTCAAATAAAGTATTCACAGTTTAAAAAACGACTAACCCACAAATTAAGCTTCGGAACAATAAGTCGAGTTACAAGTTTAAAATTACTTACTGCTTTTACGGTAACAATGAAGAGGAGCCCAAATTTTCTATATCTGGATCCTGAAAACTTCGGAGGTGGCGCTGGACATAAGGTCACGATTTCCAGCCTCACTTGTTCGGATAAACAAACTTGATCTAACAACCAATATCTCCTTGAGAAGACAGTACTCCTGTACTTGATTTAAATATATTGGCATTTTGGATCCATTTAACGTTCAAGCACATTATTCTGGCTAACAACTTCTAAAATTACTTAAGTCATCAATATTAGGTGAAATTTCGGAAGATGCTGTAAATGTTACTTGCGCAAGGTTACAACAGCCACATTCTTGGTACTGAAACTCATCGGATAGGATATTTCGATAAAATGAACAACACGGAACAGCTGATTATCTAAATGATAATTGAAGAAGCGAAGCCGCGTCTCTCAGTATGCCAGAACAAACCATGTCCTAATAAGATGTGCCGTGCCTTGGAAGCTGCATTGAGTGGTTCATCAGTCTATTACTCAGGCTCATCCCCATGAATTTTGTTGTCCTGAAGCAAGCGCGCTATAAGAATGGGGAATACTATCCGAACGAGATTTGCATTTCACAAACTTTAGTTTGGTCTTGCGCAACAAAAGTACCATTTTTGATCCAAAGAATATGTTCCGATCCGGACGCTCATCAGATGCTTTTATTTTGCCTGACCTAACTATTCGAGTTTTACGGTTTCTCATGTCAAGAGGCTAGCTATAGTATATCCTAAGTTTCTATACAACGCATTTTTATCCATTTTATCCATTTTGAATATATATGTTTTCCTCCGCACCCATAAACGTATGCTGCAATTTGTCTAACAACTTATATTTCATTAATGTTACTAAGGATGCTATGTGCTCTGTTTTTCGGTTTTTAGTGTCAGCCACGAAATCGGTTTGAGCACTCAAATTCGAACTTTATGAAGGGCACCTCAAGTCACTGAACCTTCACCTATTAGAGTATTGGTGACCCAGATGTAACCTTCCAATGATTCAAAGCACCCTCAAATACTTACTTAAGCTCAGTCTAACACTGTAAAATGGAACACTCAACATCACTGTGTTGGAAATACCTTTATTCTGGAAATTATTTACGACATTCTCACCTGTTAATATGCCTAAAATGTTGCTTACTAAGTAGAGAAGCCAACAATAAATTGAATCTGAAAACTGTAAGGGGTGTAGATTATATCATTATATCATTTCACTCCTGTGAAATGTTTATATATGGAACTACGTTACATGTACTTAATTACATGAGAAAATGCATCATACATATATCATAAGTTTGATGTTTTTCTTCTGCTTCCTGTACGGTGGCAATCACTAACAGATTCGAAATTTGCAAGTGATAAAGTTTGAGGATTTTAAGGTACCTACAGTGTTAATCCTAGT